CGGACGAATTTATGGGGCTAAAGGAGTATCTGGTTATTTACCGTGAGATAAAAACTAGCTTAATCAGCGTTCCAGGTTCTGTAATATTAATTAGCCGCGCGAAGAGCGGAATTTCGTGTACGTCGCACTAAAAAGAAAAAATCTTATTTATACATTTATTTTACCCAACCGCGCGAGAAAGTGCGAAGAACGTTTCATTTTTCATCGACGAAACGAGGAATCCCACGTTCCGTCGAACCCGGTGATTATTCATCCGTCTGTTTCGCAAAACTTCTCGTCGAGATAATTGCGATTCGTGCGTCCTTCTAAATAACCAGTGATTATTTACGAAATTACACGTTGAACCGCACCTTTTCACGCTTTTCGCTCCATTTTATGATACGTTCGTGTTAATCGAGCCGCAAGATAACGCATATTAGGTAATCGTTGAATTGTCATGTGCCGCACATTGCGGAGGATAATTAAACTCCTCGTTGTTAACATCAACCGCTTCAATTACACGTGCACGTAAATTAACCGTATAATCGTCAGGAAAACACTATGTCGGTTAAACTGTCTACTCTTTTTAATGACTTCAATTACTTCCGAGAAAATGATATTCAATTTTTCAACAAAGAGTTGCGTGGTCTCAATGAAACCGGTTGGCATCGATCGTGCAGACTTTATTGCCATTGGCAGTGGGTGGGTCTGGGCTCCCAAATTGTAGCTTGGGCCCTATTTGGGCCACTTGGCACTTCTAGTAAAGCTAGGAGACCTAATCTTCCCAATATACAGATTGGGCCCCTCTTGGGACCCTTGGCACCCTTAGCACTTCTAGTGAAGCTAGGAGACTTGGCCTCCCCAAAATACCGATTGGGCCCTATTTGGGCCACTTGGCACTTCTAGTAAAGCTAGGAGACCTAGTCTTCCCAATATACAGACTGGGCGCATCTTGGGACCCTTGGCACCCTTAGCACTTCTAGTGAAGCTAGGAGACTTGGCCTCCCCAAAATACTGACTGGGCCCCCTTTTGGAACAATTGTCACTTCTAGTAAAACTAGGAGACCTAGTCTTCCCAATATACAGATTGGGCCCCTCCTGGGACCCTTAGCACTTCTAGTGAAGCTAGGAGACTTGGCCTCCCCAAAATACAGACTGGGCCCCCTTTTGGAACATGTCATTTCTAGTAAAGATAGGAGACCTGGCTCCTTCCAAATAATTACGCCAATGCCTGCAGATAAAAAAATATTGCACCAACGTGAAAGTTTCGAATACGTCAGATACACCTGCCCATCGAACCCGAATGCGTCGATCCCTCATGGCCGAAGCAATTTCCTTGCGGTTCGATGCTTCCAAACGGCCCCCCTGAGACGCGATCGAAGCTGTCTCGGCGATTTATTAAATTATTCCAGATTATATGAACCAGGCTAATGCCGATTGGCATATCTCCTTATAGTTACGTAAGGTACGTAAGGAGCGTCGGGCTCGACTTGAGAAATTATATTCTTTCCTCCTGTTTGTGGAAAAACATGCAATACCTTATTTCACATAGCAGTTTATGGGTTCCAAGATTTAATACCCCCAGAAGAAGTAGAGAGCTTAGGGAGTAATGGTACTTTGAAGGAATTCGCAATACCAACCCTCTTACAATCCTCATTTAACTATCTATCCTAATACACATCCCCTGCTCTCCCCCATGCTAGGTTCCCCCATTGTCTAGTCGAGTGGACAGTAGAGGGTGCTGTCAGGATTTGGTTATTACCCCAACATTATATTGCTACATTTTCATTATAATTGAAATTCCACGCTTAAATGATGTTCAACGAACCTCTATACCGTAGGAAACACGTAGAGTCAATGAACAGAGAGCGCGGACCTCCGAGAGAACAGGTAACCAAGTGGTCGCGAACTGGCTCGGAGGGCCGATTTTTCTCGCGTCCGGTTCTTACGAGTGCTCGCCGAGCTAAACATCGCTTTGTCCGTGGCAACGCATTAACCTAACGCGCCAAGCAGGAAACGGGTCTCCGTGATTATTTATAGTGGCCTGGCGTGCACTGGTTAAACGCGTTACCCGTTACTTCATCGGGCAACTCGGAACGTGTACGATTTTCAAGGGCTGTGGGGATGGTATAAAGACATTTTCGATAGTCTGCGAATTTTCCCGCTGGTGTCAGATAGCCGGAGGACCCGATAGAAGGCCCGACAGCCAGGGACTACACCGAAGTAGGGAAAAAAGTTCCTGGAAGGTCGATCCCTCGCGGGCTTAGCCGAGAAGTCGTCCCCGAGTGGACGATCGAGGCGTTGTAACGGGCTCAGGAACCGTGAACTTGCCCATTAGAATTTGTAAGGCTTCCCCACCCCGCTGCGAAACGTGGTCTGCCTCGTTATTCCGCAGAATTCTCCTCAAGGTTGTCGCGGGAGTTTAACCGGTTCTGAAACTATTCCCCGGCGTCTTTCAACGTACACTTGGAATCATTAATGTCTGCCTGCCTCGGCTGCCTGCCTCGGCCCCACCACGTCGCCCTGTGCAGCAGGAGTAGGAGTAGGTCTCCTGGCGCATTGGGACATTGAGACTACCGTTTGTCAGGTCGTAAATGTTGCCTGTAATGTCATAAAACTGTGTGCTGAGGTGTGAAAACACTATATGAATAAATGATAATGGTTCAAATTAAATATGGACCCCAATGAATTGCGGAATTAAAAGGGGCATCATGAATAATATGCATGCCTGGTACAGAGGGGCGACTTTGGCCATTGTAATTTGTCCATTTACTTTTGAAATTCTTCTATAAATAATTTATTACAATCATGCACTTTGGCAAGGGCCTTATAACTGATCCCCCAACGGCGGACCATGGAGAGAGTCCCAATTTCAATTGAATTCTATTCTTCGAGGGTTAATACCTTAAAATCGAGTCCATTATAGAAATATTTGTGTTTCGGATAATCTACAATCCCCGTGGCGCCATAGAAAGTGGTCAGTCTGAAACTGGGCCCTACGGCGCGGCACAAAATGGTGGGGATATGTCCACTGTTGGCGCGTCTCGTCGGTTCGGCGCTGCCGCAAAAGTTCGGGACTTTACGACGCCGATCAAATTTCGGAAATTCAATCCGTTTCCGCTGATTTCTTGTTTCACATCGATTTATCGTAACGGCCAATAAAAAATAACTTATCAAACTGTTCTTAGCTTTCCATTCTCGCGTGTTATCGATCGCAAATAATTGCACGAACGTGGTGTCCGCACAATATCGGCACAAATCTCAAGCTTTTGCTTTTAACATTTGCACTTTTTCTTTTTTCTTTTGCAACCGCGATAAAAATAAAATTGTTTTTCAATCGTATCTCACCGACGTCTGCGTCGTTAATAATCCCTGAGCTATATTGTACATATTTACATTTCCGTTCGAACGTTTTTGCCTCTTCAGCCTCGTTAATACGGAACAATTAATTCAACTACTTGTTTAATAGATAGAATAAAATTGAATAACTAGGACGTTGTAACAAATGGAATAAATGGAATATTTTCAGATCGACGAAAAAACGGGATGGGAAGTGAGTTATCGGGAATCGCGTCGTTCTATAGCCGGCAATCAATGTTTCGCAAATATTAAAAATCATCGAAATGAAAAACTTGATTTCGTGAAATCGTTTGTACGGTACACCGTTCTAATCCGGCCTTCGAATATAGCTTATTAATTGGATTGGAAAGTCGAGCCGTCTGTACGAGTTACGGAAAATCCCCGATTATCCAAACTGTTTGAACGATCAAAAGATTGATTAATTAAAAAGAAAAAAAGAATCGCCAAACAATTAGTATGAAGCTTACGGTACGTGGCTCTGTAACTGTTCTATCGATGAATTCTCAAAACTTTCAGCGTGAGTCCAGAGAAGGCTATAAAGACAGAGTGTAGTTAACAGAAATTCCATGTATAATAATTTACATTTCTATGTAATATCTCGTCATCGTTTAAGAAGTATTTATGTTTCTTCATCAACAATGTCGCGACATTCCTTGCACGTGCCGACGGAAATAGGACGATCATTCCACTCTGTCTGCAGACGCGCAGGAATCCGTTTGCATCACGCTGTATTGATTGATATGTGACGTATCATCGTTTTCCCTATAAAAATCGATGATTCTTGCATTTTATAATTTGTTTATTTTTTTTTTCCTCGATAACACGTGGCATTGACACGCATCGTGTAATCGTGTCACGACAATTCTTTTTTTCCTTGATTTGTTTTCTTAAGAAATTGTTCATACGATATCGCAAATTGCAATTTCTACTTTTCTTTGTTTTGAGAAAAGTAATTGAACTCGATCGTACACGTAATCACACGTGCAATAAATAGTCGGAAATGGAGTGTAATTGTTGCAAATAATATGGTACTTCTGTTAATTATGCCCTGACGTATTTTAGATTAAATGTTACTTAGTTTTCTATTTTTATATGAAAGTATAAATCGTCTAATCACGTTCGCGCTGAAAGTTTTGAGAATTCATCAATAGAACAAGTTTTAGATTTCAAAATATAACTTGAGTCAAAGCATTGATAGGAATTCTCAAAACTTTCAGAGTGCCCTGTCTAACTAGCCTGTTTACTTGAACGTTTAGCGATGATCTTCGTCAATTTATTCATCAAACTTATCAATAAGCATGCGGCGTATTTCCTCGCTATGCCGGAAGAACGTCATCGTATCTAGCCACCTTGACACGAAAGATCCGCAATTCAGCGACGGTTTCGTAAGCTTTAAAAGGCCTACGGCTGCTTCGAAAATAGAAAGGTCGATCTGTTGCACGCGTTTCGGTACGCATGATACACTCGAAATATTGTGTAATGCGTTACCTCACACCTTATGCCCGAAACTACTTTATGAGTTAAGAGGATGACCCTGGTTAATGTGCTCTTCCATGGTCCTAAGACGAATTTTGAATAGAAAAGTGTCATTTTTATCTTTAGGAGGTGATATTGAAGACTAATATGGCTGTTTGTAGAGTATCTCAGTGAAGGACTCAGAGTATTCTAGTGCTCAGTACTCTAGTGTTTGGTACCCTAGAACTCGAGGTTCTAGTATTCAGTACATTAGGACTCAGTATTTTAGTACTTGGTACCTTAGAACCCAATACCCTAAGAACTCAGTATTCGAAGACTCAGCACCTCCAGCACTCTAGAACCCCAGTACTCAGTACCCAACATTCTAGAACCCCAGTACCAAAGCCCAATAGTATCCCAATACCCTAGCACTCTGAAACCCCAGTACTCGGTATTCCAGCAATCAGTACCCTAGTATTCAGTATTCTAGGACTTGGTACCTTAGAACCCAATACCCTAAGAACTCGGTACTCGAAGACTCAGCATCCCCAGCACTCTAGAACCCCAGTACTCAGTACCCAACATTTTAGAACCCCAGTACTAAAGCCCACTAGTATCCCAATACCCTAGCACTCTGAAACCCCAGTACTCGGTATTCCAGCAGTCAGTACCTTAGTATTCAGTATTCTAGGACCCCAGTACCCAATACTCTAGAACCCCAGTATTTAGCACTCCAGTACCAAAGCCCTGTGTACACTAGTATCCCAAATACTAAGCACTCAATATCCTAGTGTCCCAATACCCTAGCACTCTAAAACCCCAGTACTCGGTATTCCAGCAGTCAATACCCTAGTATTCAGTATTCGAGGTCCCCACTACCCAGCACTCTAATACCCCACCACCTGAGTGGCCCTGTATGCCTACCGTCTCCTTTAATCTCGTGTTAGTTAACGACTATAATCATCTTTAATACACCATGCACGCATGGTTGATCATAATTTTAAGAGGGAGGGGGCAGAACAGCCGAATCGAGTTCACGGACGTGAAGCGGAGCAGCGAGTGGCCCGATTGAAAGGTAGGATTTACGGGCATACGTGACATAGATGCGCATACTTGAAATAATCGACGTTAATGGCCGAACAACGTGAGTTACGCAGCCAGGTCGGCGGTCATGGGGCAATTTAAACGCAGAGTCTGCTCGAGCAATTTGTCAGCGACCTGTGTGCACCAGTGTATTATCAGTGCTCTACTCCTCAAGGAGGACTCAGCAATGGGTGACTACGGTCATCCTCGGCACGGAAGGCCCAGTCGGTAGGTGACTATAGTGAACGATGACTATAACAGAAGTTTGACCTCACTTTCCATATAGGCCAGAAGGAAACTGAGGCAAGTAGATTAAATCTTGTATAGTCACGAGTTCGTTGAACCATCCGCTTAGCCACGTGACTCTGGTCTCCAACGACAGGTGATGAATCCCACAAAGCCTGCGTTTCTTTTCTACGAACAATAGCAGTGATTCGAGCAATTTAAGGCACGTTCCTAATGCAGATTAAGGAAATTGCTCTCTGTAATTTTGGACTTTACCTGGAATTTGAATGTTGTCTCGGTGGATTTTAATAATAAATAATGCCAAGTGGAAGTTTGGTCGATAGAATTTGGTAAATGGAGTCTTTTTACTGATATCGACTGACGCGATTAACCTTCAGACCATCTTGCGAAATTGAAAGTTCTTTTTATTCAGTTTTATTCGAAGAATCGCATTAGAATTCCCCGTCGTACTCGAAGGACCGTAGACACATTCGATCGTCCCCAAAATCAATGTTAGATGAAAAATGGATGTGCGTTGGTCGCGTAGAAACGAAATGAATTATGGAGCGGGGAAATAAGCAATTGTTAGACGGGAGTTTCGCAAAAAAATCGAAGTCCTGTCGGGCTGGGGACGTGTCGAGGACGAGTTGGAGCGGTGGTGTTAAACGAGTGACTCAACCGACTCATTATCGAGGCAACGGCCAAGAAATTACAGGTCTATTCTCATGTCTTGACAAACGTTTTACGTGGAAGTATGATGAGATTTTTGCTTAAGACCGAGGTTAATCGAAGGCCTCGCAGTTATTGTAAGCGTTAAAAGGAAAAAAAAACCAGTGGCCGAGGTTGCTATTTTCAGCCTCATTAGCGTCATTAAACCTGTCGCGTTTAATGTTAATGACCTTGTTCCGATGGAATATCCATAGGATGCCAAGTGTCTATTTACAGAATTAAATCCACATACAGGTATTAGAGACACCAGTTGTGGGATATAGGATAGAAGTGTGGAAAATATAAAATTTTCCAATTACCAATTTTCCTAGTTACAAAATTTTCCAGCCACCAAATTTTCTTAGTTACCAATTTTCCTAGTTACAAAATTTTCCAGCCACCAAATTTTCTCAGTTACCAATTTTCCTAGTTACAAAATTTTCTAGCCACCAAATTTTCCTAGTTACAAAATTTTCTAGCCACCAAATTTTCGTAGTTACCAATTTTCCTAGTTACAAAATTTTCCAGTCACCAAATTTTCCTAGTTACCAATTTTCCTAGTTACAAAATTTTCTAGCCACCAAATTTTCTTAGTTACCAATTTTCCTGGTTACAAAATTTTCCAGCCACCAAACTTTCTTAGTTACCAATTTTCTTGGTTACCAAATTTGAAACCCCCCCTCGAGTTCAATTGACTCTACTGCTTTATAACACACCATATACGTGTGTTTGCTTAAGAAACTTAAGCAAATCCTCATATTTGATTTATAACAGATATATCCCATTGTAATATTTCTGCTTACACTGATCAAAAATAACAAAAGATAATAAAAAGAAATTATGCTTATCATCAAATGACGAGATCAGACCACTGGAGAGACTTGTGTAAAGAGAACGAGGTGAATAAAAGCCTGTCTCTAGATTCGGAAACCAGTTCGTATCAATTTCGGTCACCTACGCCTACTTCCGTGTACGACCGGATGACACGGCCGGATGTCGTGGGCGTTTCGGGATCGCGATCGACATCGATCTGACGAGAGTTGAATTTCGCCAGAGAAATTAGTAAAACGAAGAAACATCGACCAAGTGTAACGTCAGAGTTATTATATTTATCAAGCAACAAAATAATATCCGGTGCGTTTCCAAGAACGATTACTTTATCATTTCCCGTTTAAAATGGAGCACAAGGGAAGGATTGTATCGGGAATGAAATTTCTTGGATAAATGGGACGATGATGATCCGTTGGAAGTCAAGTGTACCGCATTCCATTTCTTGTGCCAACAAAATCTGACGATCGATAGAAAAGGAATGGTAGCGTTCCCTTACGGAAGTCGATACAGCAGTCCTCCATTTTATTGTCGAAGAACATCGCGTTAAGTAAACGAAAGTATTCTCCAAGATGAATTTAAGAACAGTCACGTAATTTCGTTATATGTGAAATTTCCTTGAAGACAACCAGGAGGTCTGACTATTCCTAATTCCAGACAAAAGAAGCTGTTCCGCCGCCATTACGTTTCTAATTGAATACCCGGCCGATGTACGAGACGGCTTTCAACCTGATAATAACTCTATTACCAAACCCAGCAGTAATACTCAGTTACGAAACAAAGGAGAGAGAACTATCTATTTGTTCTCAGAAAATTCAGTGAAACTTTCTTCCTACCAGCCAGAAAATTATCAACGTCTTCGTGGCCGATGATAGGATCAGAGTTGTTTCAATTTAAGACATTTTGTTCCGCTAATTAGGCCGTTCGAGAAATATCAGAGTCCTTCGTTCTTAGAGCCTTGGCTCCACCTCCTAAGACCTCAAGCGTTTAGCTTCAGAACTTCAGAGGTTCGAATATTAATTTTCTAAATCATAAATCTTAAAATTGCAAAGTTACTATCGACCTAAATGCAACTGTCCATCGAGTAGCCCTAAAAGACTCAAAGGCCCAGGGTAAAGCAGCTTCTCTATCGCCCTGGATCTTTTCAGAGATGATCTGAATTCAAATTATCAAATCAACAGTAGAAAACGTCTAGCTTGACCTAAAACAATTTCAACATTCAAAAAATCCTTCATCGTTTCACCAAGGACCAGGTATTCTCTAAGGACATAGCTAAGCTAAGTGAAAGTTTATCAGCTGGAAGTGTTGGGCCACCGTTAGGGCAAAAAATGGGCTTAGATCGTCATGAATTTCTGCGGTTGATCGTTAGTCATCTTCCACTTTGATTTCACTGGACGTTGCTTAAACGTTGATTCATGATCCCGAGTGCGGCAGCCGGGTCGTTGAAAGAAATGCGGCTTGTTAGCGATGGTTGGTTACCTAACCGAGCCACCGGTGATAATGACACGTTGCTAGTTCGATCTTTTTGCCCGGCCTCTCACTACGCATGAATGACTGCGAACGAGCATGGCAATGGCTTCGCTGTTGGATCGTTAGACACGGCGTTGTGTTGCGCGAGCCGGGAATTAAGCAGCGTACGCTGCCGCGTTTAACTTTCCCGGGCAAAAAGCTTGAAAATTTCGTGTTTATTCGAACGTTTCGAAAGTGTGCTGAACAATAGGTTCATTGAGGATCGTTCGCCGGGCACAGGTAGCCAAGAAGATTCCAAGGAATTACCATATTTCCTCATTTCAATCTCCGAGGAGTCATCAGACGATTATGCCATCGTTGATTCCCTTTAATTAATACGTAATCATCGTCTCTGTAGACGCGCAACTGTATAGTCCTACTAGGTTTCATAGAATAAAGTAATAGAATCTGACTTCCCTAAGGGGTAGGTCAACGCCCACACAGCATCCTTCCTATTCCAGGGAGGGCTGAGATACTTGTGTCAATTATTACTGCTGCTTTTCATTTTCCTTTTCAAGAAATTTAGAATTGACTTACTTTGGTGTACATAGCGATGCCCAGTCCTCTGATCCGGGCACCTCCCTAAGGGCCAGAGCCCTATGGCCATCGTGCTTCCAGAGGACCAATGGGAGCAGAACACTTTCCATTAACCAGTGCCTATTCTTTTCAGCCAGCAGCAGTCAGAGGAGGTCGAGGATCTCTGGAATCATGCTTAGATCCTGATCGCGGAGCAGCACGGGCCCCTCCGGGGTGGAGTGGTGGTGGAGCAGGACACCAAAGACAACTTCCAAGGAACCTAAGACAATCAAGGTGCGCTAAGCGGAGAGCACGGTCCTGGAGGAGGCTGGAGAATGAGCATGTTCAGCATACTGCGTAGAAATTGGGCACTTCGCGTGTCGGTGGTGCTCAACATCTGCGTGTTGCTCTACGTGTGCGCCCACTTCGGCTCCTCCGGGCCCTGGATCGAGGAACCGCCTACCAATTGGGCGGCGCCGTTACAGTCGGACACTTTCGGCTCAGTGGAACTCGTGAACGGTACCCAGAAGGGTGCCACATCCTCGGCGCTGCCTGCCACCAAGGATGCCTCTGGCAAGGCTGTCCATGGGGTCAATTCGACCAGCCTGGCCAGGACCAGGCTGCCGACCACCAAGTCGTCGCTCGAGACTGTCGATAATCGTGGCCGGAATCAAACGGTGAGTGATTTTCAGATTATAGATGAATCGTATAGAGGGCGTAGGTCAGGCTAGGGTAGGAATCATCAGGATGCTGATGAATATGACGGTACAGGCTTTGGGGAATCCCCTGACTCTGGGTTTTGAGTCATACAGTCTATTACCACTGTCGGTATGGCAGAACAATTTTGTTTCTTTTGCCGCAATCTTAGTTTTCAACAGCGGAGTCTGGGTCAGTTGTGACCCAAACTTACAAAATATTACCCTAAGGTTAAAGATACAACGTAAAATTTAAAAAATGAAAATAATATCGAATAGGAAATTAAATGGAAATTGTACCTCTCTCCATGGTCCGCCGTTCGATGGTTAACGTAAATTAAAAAGTATCCAAAAAACTGGTGGAAAATCAGTGTTTCTCAACTTTCACTGTTGAATTGTACATTCACAGTGTACTATATTCTTGGATTGAAACACTGTTCAATCACCTTGTCGTCTACGTTCGATGGTTATCAGGCTTGTTAAATAAAATTGTAATAAATAAAGCTGGTAACAAGGAAATTGAGTTGTTCGATGGAAAGCACGATAAAACATGATTTTCTCTCGACCTTTCCTCTCAATTATCGCAATTGTACGAGAGATTCCTTGCACTTGGCTCGAGCGAAGAGCTATGACTGCTAATCGTGGCGGTTCAATCTATTCTATGACATCATGATGTTAACAAATCAACTGCTTCTGATCGAATCAACGATCGACCCGTGAAATTGCCCGTGCTACAGGATATAAATAACGACTCTGTGAATAATTCATTGACCCTTTTGAACAGCTGATCGTCTGGGGAAAGTTGGAAGGGGGAGACAACAAATGACGATACGGTATTTTCATTTGTTTCTTTAAAAAAAATGAAGAAATCATCAGAAGGCGAAATAGTAGAAATTCCTCTTAACTGTGCTTCTATTCACGAACATCCTATTAAAAAAAAAAGACAAATTAATAATCGAACGTGTAGTTAATATTAAAATATTGTGCAGTACATATTCCATGGGTGGCTAAGAACAGCAGCCAAGAATCCTCTCCTGTTTCCTGCCCAACCTCTGCCCGACAAGATTACCGATGGACGAAGAATCTCGATGAGCAGGTTCATTCTTTTTTCACGTTTTACCGCGTATATTTCGTTCACGACTGACGTCACCGCTTTTACCTTCCCTCGACGAAACCTTTCACCAGTGGATACCCTTTTTGTTCTCTTCAAATAACTGGTCGACGTTTGAGATACCATTCGTATCTATCGCGTCCTCAGCATCTGTAATATTACTTAGTAAATGGATCCACAGTTCATCAGTTGGGATCATATCCTCGGTATTTAACATTTCAAGAATGGCCATCAAAGGTATACCCCAGGAATCATTGTACTAACATAGATGCACCTCCGATGTTTCTCACTGTTCACCTCCTTCGATGTCTCATTTAGGTGAACAGCAGCCTGCCATCTGCTCGACCAACGATGAGCCTGAAGGATGCCATCCTCTGCAACGAGAAGTCCATGAATCCTAGGAGAGCCCAACGGGGCGACTATTGGGTCCTCTACAATTACGTGCCGATGAGCATGGCGGTGAGGTGCTGGGAGAGCGTGACCTACACCACTCACGCGGACTACACGTTCCTGGACAATCTGGAACCGTTGCTAGAGCGATGGAGGGCGCCGATATCGATTGCGATGCACGCCCCTGGCACAGACTTCGCGGCGACGCTGGACGCGATCAAGTACTCGAGAAACTGTGGCAGCACCCTGATCTCGCAGCTGGTCACCTTCCACGTCTTTTTTAGCAGCAAACACGTGCCAAAAGTGGTGGGTGTATCTACGGTTCTAGTAGGGCAGTCCGCATGTCCGACTATCCTTGTGGGGAGGCTCCTGCCCAATGAGGTTACCCATAGTCCTCCATGCCTCTACAGAATCTCATTCGTCCCCACAGGTACCCCCAAGCGAGAAGGTCGTCTCTGACACGTACAATTGCTCGCTGGGACCGCCATGGGTGAACGTGACGTTCTCGAAGATGTACAAGAACGAGAAGAAGTTGCTTTACCCTGTGAACGTTGGCCGCAATATAGCCAGGGAGTCGGCCGCTACGTACTACGTGTGTGCCAGCGACATCGAACTGTATCCGAGCCCAAACTTGCCCGCTAAGTTCCTCGAGATGATCAGAAAGAGAGACCAACCGAGCCTCTACAAGCCCAATCCAAAAGTTTTTGTACTGTCCATCTTTGAAGTGGACGAGAAGAGCCAACCGCCGAATAACAAGACTCAGTTGGTAAGTTAGAGTTCGTGTTTACGGACATCCCTGTGCACTATGGCCTAGAAAGGAACACGACTGCCGTACCGTTCCCTCCTCTGTTCTACCATATTGACCCTTGATTCTCATTCAGATGTAAGTGGACAGAAAGATAGAGAGAGAAATCCCGACCACAGGGAAAGCTTATTATTAGCCGCAAAATGGAAGCGTACCGAAATGAAAGCACGGCATCGAGTCCGTTCACACTTGACATTTAAGCAAATCGAGCTTGGAGGTAATTAAGCGCCGTGCGAAAGAGCGCGTCAGCGACTGCAACCGATGTCTGACAATGCGTTAAATGGCGCAGACACGAGGGTCATTTAATCAATGTCGCTTCCTTTGACCGTGGACCTTGATGCTGGCAATTAATGGCGTCGCTGGGAAGCGCAGCTGGCCAACTGGACGCACTTCTATCAAACATTCAATTCAATTCCACCACTTTTTCATTCGAGAACATTTTTCAGCTGTCGGTCAGAGCACAGCTTCCATCATAAATATAGATAATTGAATATTCTTTGTTTCTCTATGGAGTTAGATCATCTGTTTACTCTTTTCTTCAGACGTTTATTTCTCTTTCAGTCCCAGATGCTGAAGGCTGGCACCGCTATCCCTTTCCACAAGAAGCTATGCTCCAGCTGCCATAACGTTCCTCGAAGCAAAGAATGGCAGGAAGCGCCCGAGACCGAGGGCCTCCACGTGTTCCATGTAGGCAAAAGGACTGGTAGCTTCGTTCACTGGGAGCCAATCTTCATAGGGACCAATCATGAGCCTCTGTACGACGAGAGGCTCAGCTGGGAGGGGAAAAGCGATAAAATGCCACAGGTGTGAACTGAGTAAATCAAAATCTAATCTATAAACGTAGTGTCATTCTTCAAATAGTCAACCTATCGGCTGCAGTAAAATCATTCTAATTTATGTTATCTTTATAAGTGGCTTAACTCGGCAAAGCCAAAGCATACTTTATCGGTCAAGTTCAAGTGCCTTACTACTTCTGAGATAATCTGAGATTTGATTGAATGCTCTTGTTGATATAATTCTCATTCACTTCAGGGTTACGCATTGTGCGTTCTCGACTACGATTTCCTTATCTTGGACAACGCGTTCCTGATCCATCGTCCGGGTATCAAGATCTTCAAGAGGGACCCGCACCGAGAGATGCTGACCGCCAAGACGAACTCTTTGATAAAGAAGATAATCGTTCCGGAATTGAAAATTCTTTATGGAACACGGAAGGGTTGCGCGGTGTAGCCCGCAGAGATAAGAGCACGGTGCGTGCTCCACAGGTGTCATTTAGCGAAGTGGCATCACCTGCGACCATCTTCGACGTCCAGAATGTCAGAAGTACAGCGAAACAACAGCAATGTTCGCGGGAGGCTTCTTTTGATCAGACGTGGCTTCAGTGGACAGGTTCATGCCCGTTTAAGTGTCTCCTATAGCGAGAAGAACCTGTGAAGACATTTTTATGATAAAAAATGATGCCAATCGACACGGTGCCGAAAATAGAAAATTGTTGATTAGATTTTCGACGGGGCAACCTCGCGTTTGATTCAACTTCTCCTATGATCGTTAGTTCCTGCAACGAGTCACATGTTGTGCGTCAATCCTTCGTTTCTCGCTGATTAATTATTTTCTTCTTATACTTCTTAAGCAGTACAAAAGTGTGATGGCAGCATAAACACAAAATCACAGAGAGACTTTAGTTCTCTTCACTGTAAAAGAATCTTATTACACGTATTTTTCACCCAGAAAACGCGTTTAGCTAGAATAAATTGTACATAGTAGCGTCGAAAATGGTGCCTCGTATATACAAAAATGTTGTGGTCCTCGGTGAATGTGTGCATTTCTGTCTCGTTCCATGTTCCCCATTGCCCTTTGCGTTCAACAGGCAACAGGAGGGAATGAAAATTGTGTTAATGAAGCATACAAGTATGCAGATACATGCCAAAAAAAGTACACTGCTCAAGTTAATTAAGCGATCTTGTATTTGGAATGCACATTTGAATATCAGGAGTAATTTTATACTCGTAGAATTTTTAACGAACATTTAGTTGATCATCTCGGTTATATAAAGCGATCATCTAATTATTTTGAACAGTGTATGTCACAGTAAACGCAGACTCTATGCTTCCTGTTTCGATGAAAATAAAATAAATGGTTTTAATTTATATTTATGATTCTTACATGTACAGAGGCATAGAGCTTTGTGCGGTTCACTATGATCCAAATGACTGAAGTCATCATTTTCTTTTCTTTTTTTTTTTTTATCATTAAAGGATAAATAATATTAAGTGATTTGGTTATATAACAAAACAAATGTAAAACCAAATGAAGCTATAAGATAATATGTATAAAATGTAAAGGCAATGTTTTGTTATACAAACATAGCAATCACACTTAAGTCAACTATGTAACATTCTCAGTTGTGTTTAGTTTTGTGTTCTTCAACGAATAACGTGAGAAAAGAATAATGAAACAAATCAAACACGAATTATTCATGAAGCCAGGAACATTTTACTCTCCAAGACTGAAGAACATTTGATAACAGTTTACTAGGACATATTATCCTAATAATCTTCGATTAAAGAACGTCAAGTCATTAGTTGTTTAATGATTCTTTACTTAGTGTAATGAATTAAGATTAACGCGTTTCTTTGTACACTGATGAAAAATGATTGGTGCTTCCAATGTTAGATATCAATCATGAAAGAAATACTCTGTTCACTTTTGATCATTATAAAAAAGAAGAAATTGTTATTTTGAATCTCACTAAAGAAAGTCACGTGACGAATCCATAAGGATAATTGTTTGCTACCATTTTTCATAAAGTCATACATCTATTTCGTAACTGTCCATTATGTGCTAATACTTTTAAAAGAATCATTGTGTAGATCACGTTCGAGAAGAAATGTTTCTTATGCAATTACGACTTTGTGTATTTTATGAACACCTTCGACATTGTATGTGAATGAAAACAAGAGATATAAATATGTCTGTACCTTTAAGCATAAGCATAACGTAACTTGTACTATTTTACACGGTTGGTTAGGAAGACAATGTGAATTTCAATACTCTAAGATAAGAAAATGTACTGTCATGAAATGTTGGACGTGTCTGTGAATTCCAAATTGCGATATTTTATCGATGAAAGTGACGCAAGTGTTCTTTTTCTAAAGTAAAAATTTATTTTTCTCAATTGTGTTTATTGTCATTTAATTGTATTTATCTATTGTGCAATTAGTACCTATCAAAATTAACTGTCAAACAAAGCATGACAGTAAATGAGTGAGATAGTAAAAAATGTGCATAATTCGACATTGCTAAGGGTACTCTCACTAGTCAACAAAAATGAAGTCACTATTCTTTAGTAATCAATTGTACAATTTAATTTACAATTAACAGTCAATTGTTCCAAGTGATCAACAAGTTTCTTTTTCGTGTGAGTACTCTCAATAGTGTGTGACACATGCACAATGCACACAATTATAATATTACTACATTATATATACACACACACATCTTTTTTATCGCCGCCCCGAGTAATCTGAAAAAGGCTACAAATGTAAATATGATTTTTTTTTATCAGAAGACTTAAAAAATAACTGAGTACAGTAATAAATGTCTTTAATCGAGACAATATTCTGGGAAATCTAAAATGCTGACCCAATTTTTGTGATAACCATAGGGCACAAGCTATCTGCTACTTCAATGATTGTTTTGCTGATTATTGAAAAAGAAATTTAGTTACACTAGCAAATACTCAATTGTCGTAAGAAAAATTTAATTTTTTACATGTTGCAGTTCACTATAATTTTGTTTTATAGGAAGACATAAATTGGAATAAATAACAGGATACTGTCATGCAAGAAAAAAAGAAGAACTAATGGAAAATTATGTAACATTCTCTTCTAAGTAAAAAATGAATTGAATTGAATTGAAGTTTTAAGTTACAGAAAGCATATTCTATGGTGTGCTTAAAAAATTATTTAAAAAATTTGATTTACAGATTAATATTACTATATAAAAAAATATTGTATATCTGGCATGTATACTGCTGAGTAATTTTTAAAGACACCAGTGGTGTATTTTAATATAAATCTCCTGATAAGTAGTTTCATTTGTGAAAGCAGATTTTTCTGACAAGATAAGTTCCTTTTAATGCTCTTGCCTTTCTTCTTTATTCGTCGGGGCTGTGCAATCCGGTGTAATGATTGCTCGTAAATAATAATGTGTATTCTGTGCCTTATTGTCTTTATCTTCAATGCGTATATGCGCATGCGTGTGCGTTTGAAAGCAGTGTGTTGGACTTGAAAGCACCTAAAAATGCCCATTCAATTGTAAATAGTTAATTATAATAATAAAAATGTTTCCAAGGTGCAATGTATCTTTGAAGAATTCCTCATATAAATTATTAATACTAACAGATATCAATTCTAATAATTCATGGCACTTTAAGACACATTTTATTATTATAATTAACATATTAATCAATTCTTCATGTAAACAAGATTTTACCTATAATACGCTTTTTATAATAACAAAAAATGAAAGAAAAATTTCTCTCCTCTAACGTCATTTAGTTTCTTCTTATTATAATTAGGTTTTAATACGTGTAATTCATCTCTATTGAATTTATTTTTCTCTGCTGAGCACTTTATTATAAAGACAAAGTGCAAAATTGCAAAAAAAATTATAAAATCATGAAAGAAATAAATAAAATTATTATATATTATAATTGTACGTATTGTAAATATTAATAGCCAACAGTATATATATATTTTCTGTGTTACACTAAATTTTCACAGATGTTGAAACAAGAACTTTTCCAAATTTGTTACAAATACTACATGAAAGTTTCCTCTTGATAATATTGTATAAAATACAATGAAATAATCAAACTAAAAAACAATAATGATCCTTAGTATAAATTTTAAAATTCAATACTATTATTTTCAAAAATATACATACATCTTTTATAAACTTTAAATATTCTGTGTGTTTAATACAAACAAAAATTATACGTATTGTTAGTTAAAACACTTTGTGTTAGATTGTATAAAAAATATATATATATATATATAAATGATCCAGCATATTGTACAAAACAATAATCTATTATAGAAATGACATCTGAAAGATACTCTTGAAGAAACAAGTGATGCTTGAAACAGAAAAGAAAGTATTTGTTGTTAATATAAGTTAAATTAATATCGAACATGTATATTAATTCATTAAATGTTTCTCTGTACTAGGAAGTGTTCGAGAAACATTGTATCTTTGAACATATGTATATTATACTTGTACAAGCACATAAAAGAAAATCTGACTTGACTTTTTGTTTTTGTACATATGTATGTAAAATTGTATTTTTCCAAATAACAGGCTAGAAATATAAATATTATTTGAATAAGTTTCAAAAGACTTCAGTTCATCCCTTGATCACAATTTATTCTATTTCAATTATGTTTCTTTCCTTTTTTTTTTTTGTACCATTACAAGGAATATTAACAGTTTACATTGAGTTGAAGTCTTGTACTAAGTTTCACAATGAAAACATTTACAAGCATTTGTATATTTCAGTTTATTTAATTAAAATATACAGATTTTAAACGTGATCACACATTTGTTCGAGTTCTCCTCCTTCGACCTAGTCTTAACCTGAGATAAACCACTATTTAATTTTCATTTGCTACAATGTTTCTGATTTCATTAATAAACCCATCTGTTCTTGTTACTTCAACTCTCAGAAAATACTTAGTTTCGATCACCTATTTAACGTATGTTAAACCTACAAGCGCGATTAGACGGTTTCGTCCTTTTTTTAAATTTTTTTTTTAACTACTCCACTCTTTTTCTCTATGTATAATTATATAATAATTTTTCATGTATATAAATAAACGCTAGCAAAAATTTTATTTATTTCTTCTCCTATGAGCATAATCATCTACAATTTTTATCTACACGTATATAGACACCTCATGAATATACGTGTACAATTTACATTTACAATTTATGTATTTAAATGTTTAAATACATATTTATATATTTATATGTATATATAGTGACAACTTTATAGTGGCATGCACCAAGAAGAGTCATTCCTAAAGTATATATATATATATCTTCTTTTTTAATTAAGTCTAATATCTATTCCATTTAAAATTTGTTTTAGTCTTTTGTCGCTTTTGTCTGTTACAATAATTGAAAAACACTTTCTTCTTGGTCCATGATATCCTAATACACTTTTTATATATACATATATATATACATTTAAATGGTAACTATTGTAGGCACGTGTTATTATTTATCATACTCTTCGTCACCCTTTCATATAACTTATGTTTCTTTGCACTGTCTATAATGAAACGTAAAAATATAAAAATATTAGATAAAGTAATTATAAACATGTACTTTTCTGAAGTATTACTACAATTTTAAACCTGTGGACACAGTAAATTCTTTTATCACAATGTTATTTTATATGAAATATATTTTCTATTTATTAAATGAATTAAATCAGTTCCAAAATTTGTATAGTCAAGTTAAAATCCTTGATCAGATTCTTAGTAATTTTTTGTACAAAAGAAAAGAGTATAAATTGTAAAATAAAACTGTAGTATGTACACGTGAACTTACTGTACCACTTTAATTATTTATAACAAGTTCAATCTAAATTGTCCTGAAGTACATTTTGCACCGTGCAGTGCTAGCTACTTAAAAACTTTAAATTATCCCTTAAAGTAATACCGCATGCTCAGAAATCACATCCTTAAAATGAAAAAAAAAAAAAAAAAGAAGAAATTCCAATGAATTGTATTCCTACTTAAAAATTTAAGCACTGATTTATATAAAACACCTGCATCCTGATCACCCTTTCATTATTATACAACTATAAACAACTGAATTTATTACTTATTCAATTAATTCAACCATTTCAATAAATTGTTCTAAATATAATCTATATTTCATATCGCATAATAGACAGTCATTTTGTTGCTTCGTACCAAATGGTTGCTATTCAAGACATGGTGCACATATTACTTACAATGAAATACCTCTAACGATGATAAATAGAATAACGAGTTATTCTTTTTACATAGAAAGACAGGGACTTTGTGCTGTGATCGTATAAAGTTAAATATCAAAATTTAATGATTACTTTTCATTTTCATTGAATCTTGAATAGCCACTCCGTACTTAGCCAAAGCAGATCACTGATTACGTACCTACATCCTATAATATTAATAACTTCTAAATCTTACTGTAAGCAAATTACATTCTCTTTAACCATTTGTTAATCACCTTAAAGTCGTTTCCTCCTAAGAAGACTGTAACACTTAAAGGAATCATTGGAAAAACATAATTTCTACAAATCACGTATACAAACATTTTCTCCCTTTGACGCATTCATTCTATCTTCTTGTTCATCCTTTCATACTCATACAATTTATACATATGTTCATTTACTTTCTTAACTTCCCCCTTTTTTTTTCTATAATTAACACCTCAATAAGCTAGTCAAATATTAGAAAGCATAGAATAATTGAAAGGAGTCTCATATTAGTCATTAAGCCAGTGATATTTTTTTAGCGAAACGAAGCAATAAAAATATTAAACAAAGCATCTTTAAATAAATACAAATTTTAATCCATATTGATCATTTTTGAACTAACAGTTGGAATTTGAAGAAACAGGAACATTTAAGTTATCTCCAAGAAATAAGATAACTGTTACTTTCCAAGATCAAAAATTAGATATCTGTTCTATAATGCAAAAATTGTATACGGATAATGACACACGTTGGACAACAGGATCAACTGGAGAATACACGTGCAAATTCTATTCGTTTGATATTTCGTCACAGTGGAACACGAAAAATGAAAGAACACGTTATACCATTCTCAATTGGTGTTTATATTATTGCTAACATTGATAATGTTGAAAAGTACGCAATTATGAAAAATACTATTGATTTTTCACCTTTAATGTGTCGTGGAAGTTGAAGTGGCGTATACCATTGCATCGATAAGAAAGCTGTTGCCCTGCTTGCTATTTAAAACAGTTCAAGAGGAGGTAAGAATTACACTAGAAAAAAAAAAAAAAAAAACGAGGTTAATTTCTCTCTTTTTTTTATGTATGAATTTGGTCCATAAAATGCAAGCCCAATTCCTTCGAGGCATCTGGAAAACTTTGACTCTGACAAAATACCTTGCCTATGGCATTATCCTTGACGCATAAGATCCGCGATGAAATGCAATAGTACAGACGAAAATATTTATAATCAGCACACCTTCCATAGAAATCAAAAGCAACACGCAGTAAAGAAAGAAAAAATAAAAAGAAACTTTGAGGGTAAGAAACAATACCCTGTAAAACAAGTAACATAATCAACACGTGTTACTCTACCTCATTTTCCAAGACGCTTAATTCGTGATCTCGTGGTTAATGATCTAGCGCTTGGATTATAAGGTGACTTTACTCTCTTAGCCATCCCAGAACTAGTGTTGCATCCTGTGCTCGTAGGATTAATCGTCGAGCATGCCCCGTTCCCGGTACCATTATTATTTTGTTTTATACCGGACGACAACGAGGATGACCTTACTCTACTCGACTGTAGATAACCATTATTACTAGACTGTTTCAATTTACTCGGCAAAGAAAGTCGACTTTGCTTTACCATTCCGTACTGATGGACTAATTGTGCTGATATCGTGTGACCGTTTATCTCGACGTTACGTGAACGCAATGTTTTAACAGGTGTCGCAGCAGCAATGGTGTCCGACCTGAAAAATAAACATAAATATCAATGACACTGCGATGGTTGTATACAAGAATATTTATGTAGAGAAGAAAAAAAAAAGAAAGACTAACCTAAGCCAACGTTGCGAAACGGTGTCTGGCGAGCCTATAATAGACATAGTTCGGTTTATCCTTCGCTCGGTACAACTACTCGTTGTTCTATTACTTTTCCCTTGATCCCACTCTCTCGCCCCACGACTAGCAGCCCAGAGTTGCTTCAACAGACCTTTCAGCGATGGTCTTCTGATCGCCTTCACCGGTGTGGCTTTCTTTCCTAAATTTCTTTGGAAAGTGTTCAAAGATAGCCTGTCTTGTACAGGTACAGTTGTAGCACCGTTCGTCGAACGAGTGATATTCGATTCGGTATTAGGCCAACTTAAATTACTGCTCGCATCCTTCGTCGACTGATTAGCCGGATCGTTCTCGTCGACTGGGTTCCTACGATCCTCCGAACGCGTTCTCCTCTTCACCGATGATTCTTGTAGAACACATGACTCGTCAGACGTGTTAACTACACTCTGTGATATTGCACTATGTCTCCTTTTATTACCAACAGCACTACTCCTCGTCTTGCTAGCCGAGTTCCTTACACTTTCCTCCACTGTATTCCCTGTCACCGATACCTTTGTACTCCGCAATTTAAATCTCGAATTAACATAAGTTTTCCCCTCTAACGAACCTGAATCTACAATAGTATTACGCGAATGGGCGTTCAAGGTGTGACCCCTTCGTCCGTTCCTGATTTCCGTTCTCGGGCCAGAAAATAACGTGGACTGTTTATGACGTGGTTTGTTTAAAACGTCACTTTTTATCTCATTCTCATTAGCATTACTTTCCGTGATAAAATCACTGTTCTGTTCGTTACTACTAACACAAGTAGAAGAGTCAATGTCATTACGTTCACTAGAAAATGCACTTTGGTGTATCACATTTTTAACATTCGTGTCGTCTCTGTCTTTTGATTCGGAAGATTCGTTTTCATGAGTTACCTCGTCAATACCATCCTCCTGTTTATCTAGCTTCTCTGTCTGTTCCCTATCAGGCCTTTCAATTACCTCTGTCGAGTCTTTTTCGAATTCAGCGATACTTGTTTCTAAGTTGTCGACTATTCCGTTAGAAATGGTCTCTGAGACCTGAATACTACTTTCTATAGGGTTGTTCTCTACATTTTCGTGCATTAGATCTTTCGATTCGTGAGTTAAATCAAAATTTTCATCAACCTTGTTTACCAACAACGGATTATCTGATCTTGGCTCTCTGCTGTCTTCGGTTCCAGGCAAGAAGTCTGGTCTCTTGAGATCAACATTGTGAGTTATTATTGGAGAAGGTCTTGGTACGCTTCGAACAACTGGACTGGGTGTTAGTTTCTCTGGGTTTTCAGAAACTGGTGTAGCTGTAAGCGTGGGTGCACTATGATGCGGTAAGCCACATTCTTTTTGGCTCAATATAACCTTTTAAAATACAGAGTTTGATTAATATCTCGATGAGAATTTTTCCAAGTTCTTCTGAAAAGAAAATAAATACCTCGCTACGGGATGGACCAGGTGGGTCCAGCATTAATGTAACTACACTTGTATTATCGGCACGCAGCCTTTTCGAGGACCACCTTTCTAATGCTCTGTCTACTAGGCTCTTCGAGGGGTTTATCCATAGCTGAACGTTATCAGCTTGCTGCTCAAAATCGTTGAAAATAATTAATTCGAACTTGACTATTCTTATAAAATTGTTTATAAATACACACCCCGTTACACGTTTGCTGAGAGGCAATCAGGTGTTTCTCATTGTGCCTGTCGGCAGCTTGAACAATAGCAACTGCAGCTTGGGGCGTCAACATGTTCCATAAACCATCTGTTCCAAAAATAAGACAACGATGTGATTCAACATCAATTGCAACTACTTTAACATCCGGTTCTGGAGATACAACAAAGGTATCTAATTCGGAATTGTAACTCCAAAGATCACCTAGAAAATGAATATATCTGGTTATTTTAGATAATTGTATAAAATCAACTGATCTATGTTACAAGTCGTACCTAAAGATCTAGCGACAGCAAGAAATGGTATTTCATCTATATGAGTTGATCTCCGAACCGGTCCCTTGTGTCCTATGCGCGGTCTGTTCCACACAACTCTTGGCACTCCTGATTTACTGACTACTTTACCACCAGACTCACGTATTCTTACCATTTCTGGCCCACTTTCCGGCTTGTGGTCTTTGGTTAACGCCCTGGCCCGCCACTGTGGATCGCCGTCCACTTGGTACCCAAGTATTATACCGGAATCTCCAACGTGGCCAATATAAATCTTTCCTTTGCGAATGAACGCTATGCTAGCTGTGGTACCGGCCGTAGATGGTAGCCCGGATGCGGTTCTTGGCCACTTATCTATCATAGAAGAAAATTTTTAACAAAATTCAAATTCACCCTTGATTATCGATATACTATTTTTCTAAAATTCTCTGCTATATAAATAATAAATTAATCGCAGAGAAACGTACGATATCGAATATTTTCTCTCAACTACTTTTTATTTCAGTTGATACTTTCAGGTTAGCTCGGATTACATAACCTAAATTCTAACCTAATCGGGCACAGGTGGTGGGGGAAATACGCGGGACAATGAGAGAAATTCTTCAACGAATGTTATAAGCATCAGTTTTCCGGGCGAATATATTGAAAATCTATTCAGATTTTCGAAGAAACTAGAGGAACGATGAAATAACGGGACTAGATATGAAAAAAATGGTCTCTTACCAAGCTCCCGCCACATCGCATAGTGCGTGTTCACGTATCCGTCTCTGATGGCTCGAAGTACGTCTTCGTCACGATCACTCCAAAAATTTTTCTGCTTCACGATTACGTTCATAAGGTGCTCCTTGGCGAAGGTAGCTGCCTCGCCGCCACCGTGGCCGTCGAATATCCCAAAGAAGGCGTACTCCAGATCTTTGTCATCCGGTGTAGATTGAAAGGCCACGCTGAACATGTCCTCCATGTACTTACGACCGCCCTGATTACAGTGCCCGGTCACTCTTAGGTTAACCCCAATACTCAACGGCATGATGGACACACGCCGGTGACACGGGATACCGAGATGTGGATACTTTCTTCGTTTACTACGCACTCTTTCGACACGTACTCGGTGAACGGAAACCTCGTATTTACTGGGCAGGCTGCGCGCAGCTCGAGGGACGCACACACACTACAACGATCATGGCCCCACACGGCACAATGACGTTGCGCCCAACGGAGTAGGGCAAGAGGGGTCGTCCCCTCTATGATTTCACCGTCGCCAATGCGCCGCACCACGTCCGACGTTTCTCGACGGAAATCTTCAAACGGAAGATTTTCGACCGATGGCAACGCGTTTTCTTCCCCCGATCTTCCCTTACCTTTCCCTAAACTTACCCCTATCGCCCTGACATCAAACTCCTGCCACGGTGAATACGTACGCATCAATTTCAATTACCTATGCATTCCAACAGCTGTACAGTATATTTGAAGTTTTCGAAAAATTCTACATCGCGAAGTTAAGCATGGAACTTGAGATTCGCGCGCTGATTTTACGCGGGATCGTTAATGCATCGTTTATGTGTGTTTGGGGAGTTTTGAAATCATTCGATCGATGCATTTTTTCAGATAATTTTTCTTGATATAGTTTTATCCCCACCTAAAATACGTTAGGTAATACCATAGTATGTTAATCGGAGAAAATTCTGGGGAATTGATACCGTTTCGAATTTAACCGGGGAAATTAGATGTACCCTATGAAATTACCAAAAATTCTCCGTAAACAGCTACACGGTAACATTACCTCGGTTATATTACGCTCACCGATGACTACCACACGCAAAGCGTATCGCTTACCCCTTACCTTTCTACGTTGCTCCTCCATCCCCACCACTGTGGAAACTTTTACCCTCCCCCTTGCCCCGTTGAGCCCCTGACAACGGGCCGACCCATCAACGTTGGTGCTATTCATGCCGCGCATCTCGGCTCACGCAGTTGCTACGTTGTCACGTTTCTTCCTTTGGACTCGGCCTTTCTTGTCCGACGGCAAGTTCGAACTTGTCTTGAGGAATTTTTTTTTCAAAATTCTACCATTGAAAGGAACGTTGAAACGTAACTACTATATGTTAAACGATCACGATTACATTTTGATTATTATTTTTGGAAAGAAACGAAACGTTTCGGTAAGATCGATGAACGTACGTGAGATACTTATTGGAGCATGTAATATTTCGCATATTCTCGGATTTAAGTTTCCCTCTTCGTTCCACTATTTTAATGTTTAAAACGTGTGACACACGTTTTCAGGGGTATGCTTCAGGGTGATCGTTCAACAGCTTGAAACGATGATTTTATTTCAGCATTTGATCGATCAAGTATATTCGCGAAAAACATACCGATGAATCAAGTGAAAAGCAAACATTCTGTTTTGTCAGGCAGTGCAGTTATCTCTTTCCAAGAGTAAAACACGGGGCACGTGTTTGAACTTGCTCGCCGGACGATCTGGCAACGCTGTGCTTCGTTCAAAATAGCACTCCCAGCTGGCGGCTTTCGTTTAACATTCGATAGAATATGGTTTGATAAAGATCATTTTACATTATCTTAAATAACGTAACGATTCGATTGTAATCGCGGTTTGCAGTTTTACTTATCATGAAAACTGACTGTTAAGAATTTGACAAATTTGAAAGCGACTGGCGACACAGTCGATACGTGTCATCGATTGCATCATCTTAAAAAGATGGCTGTTCCTTTCTGCTTGGAAACAGTTATGCGGAAATACATCAATAGGTTGTTAAGCTATTTCATACATTATTTACGTTAAACATTTAAAATACTTTCAATAGAAACATCATAATTCGAATAATCTGTGATTAAATCTCGATTATTGATTAGAAAATAAAATTTATATAAATAGAAATGTTCTAAGTAAATGCAAGTTGAAATTATTTGAACAGTGTCTGCGCTACCATCTACCGACAATTAGGAGAATACATAGAAATTGAAAAACGTGGGAGGGTAAAACGTTTAGAATTACTGCAAAAGTAATTTTTAAAATTAATAATCAAAATATATGTATTCAATTTGATAAATTTATCTCAATGTTTTAGAGATGCTGGAAATATCAAATGATCATCGGTAAATCAATTTTCAATTCAAGGTAAAATTAGTACAGTTTGACTGGTCCATGTATTTGTTAGATTTGCTTATTTTATTAGCACATTTAAAATTACCTCTTCGCAGAATAGCAGGTATGAGAATTTTAAACACGGACGTCTGCATACCACGCTGAATCATTCGGCAATCCTCAGGACAAGTCCGTGCAGGCAGTGACCTGTAGTCACTGTTCAATGCAAAGTGTTTTATATTTTGATAATAAGATAGAGCAGATGGCGTTCGTTCTCGAGGCACAAATTCAAAACTCCTGGAACACAAAGCATGCGTTATGGAGTCTAAAGTTTAGATGAATTGATTATAATTTTTTATTTGAATTGTAATTTATAAATGTTTTCAAGTCTTCGCAGCTTGACGAATGAGGAAAGGATGAAAGTACAGAAAAGTTTTTATAAAAATAAATGACTGAAAATGATTAATTTCTTCTTTATCGACCTCGACGACCGCCGCAGCGCCTGTGGGGTGATGGTAATGCAGATTGTCGGTAAAAAGGATTACAACTGTCGATAAAGGCGTGTTCCTTTTACCTTCACCTCACTACATTAAATCAATTATTAGAGTTTTTGTAACACGTATAATATCAAGAACAAAATTATAAACAATTTAAAATCGAGCACCGGAAGCGGGAACGCTCAGCGACGCCACACGCCTTATTAGGGTGCCTTGGGCCTGACGCCCCCGCCATGATGCACCCGCATTCTGTTCTGTTCCACGCACCTGGAAGGTTAAAAGCACACATGTAACACCTTCATCGCCATCTTGTTTTCACAAAGCTTTATTACAATAAAAGTCTCTATCTCATTGTCAGTAAATCGTGAACAATTATTGCAATTTTACCTACTATCATTTTCATGACGCGCAATCATATCTCGCGCGGCCCCTAAACATGTTCAGTCTTGTTGGATTGGAGTCACTGCTGGCTGTAACGACGAAACCGCCACCTGACAAAATTGCGCTAAAGTAAAATATGAACCACAATGAATTTGCATTATAATATTCATTATCAACGAATAAATGATTATAATACCAACAAATAAGACAAAGTTTCATTCATTTCTATTTTCTTAAATCCTTTTTCTAAACACGACAGCGATTGAATTGTATATAATTATTTATTTCATGTATTTATTTGTAATGTGTTAAATAAATTATGCAATTTTCGTTACAACAGTAATGTTATCTTATTTGTACTATCTCTTTATCTTAATTATCTCCTACTTTGTGTAAATCTACCCTATGAATGTCACCGAACTATAGAAACATGTTTGCAGATTTATAGAATGCAATAACATGTAACATGGTGCAAGAGGAGTAAGTTGACGCTGAACTGGTAATATATTTTCGCTGAAATGAATGGCTTATCAGAGGATGACACGTCTGATAGTAGCGATGAACATTTTATTGATTTAAAGAAAAGTAATTCGAACTCTAGGGAAAGTCCTAAACCTAACGTAACTTCATCCGACAGCGGTACCGAAGATGAGAGTACCGGAGATGTAGATTTCAATGACGTCGATCAAGCAAGTAACATTGAACTTTTCACTCAGGTTTTAAAGAATTTAGAATATTCCCAGAAACTCGAGATCAACGATGAGAAAACCGAAAAAGAACCGTCCACTTCGAACTACCTCTTACCGCCAAAAAATGAGGGAAAAATACAGAAGCTGAAAACAGAACCACAAGATACGTCTTTCAACGAGATCACTGAACTTCTGCTTCAAGGTGAGAGTAGCACAGCATCAGCTAGTAAAAAGAAACTTGTAAATACTCCTGTAAAAACTGAAGACGCGGAAGCTCCTACCGAATATACCATCCCAAAAGATGGAGTTAAGATTACTCTGCCTGGTACGAGCTTAGTGTTTAATAAAAAGAAGAAGAAGGGAGGTCAAGATATAAAAGCAATTTTAAGGAGACGCTTAAGAGCTAGTCAGATATTGGTAGAAAAAGTTGGATTGCTATGTTGGCTAGCCTATGGATTTCATTTCAACAAACAGATTAATCAGCCTGAGATAATGGCAGCTGTATTGTCTTTAATTTCAACTTCCAATTATCCGAAGAAAAGAATCGATCTGGTATATTTAGAAAAGTTTACAAAATGGTTTAAGCATATATTCTCGTTTGAAGTTGTTGAAACCAATGGTAATAAATGCATAAATAAGGAATCATTGTTGAAGGTAATAGAGGAGAAGAAAATTTCTGATTATAAGGAGCTAGTATTGCTATACATTGTTGCATTGAGAGCTCTAGGTTTAAATTGTCGGTTAGTGATCTCTCTTTGTCCACCACACAGAGTGTATAGTGATAGTCCATTATTCCAAAACGATTCGAAAGGGCAGCAAACCAAATCGAAAAGTAAATCTAATACAGGGAAAGAAGGGAGTTCATCGAAGAAAGGTAAGAAAAGTGCGAAGAAAGAAACTGATACTACAAATGTAGTCCAAAATAGCCCAGAAGCAAAGAAAAATGCTAATATAGAAGCAAAAAGAAAAGCAGCTGAAATTTTGCGTTCAAAACCCCAGAAAAGTACAAAGAAAAACAAAGATTCCAAAACTAACAATGAGGCAGCTACAACATCAGGTAATAAAAGTAAAGGTAGCAAAGATGAATCTGAAACTGTGGAACAAGGAAAAAGTGGGATCAGTTTCAAACAATTACGATCTCGTAAGGTGAATGCTGTTCCTAAAGATAAAGCAATAGCAGAAACTGATGGTACAAAATCAAAATATTATATAGAAGAGGATTCCACTGATTCTGAAACGGAATTTCAACCTACCCCCAAACGTTCAAAAAATAATTCGAATAAAAAGGAAGTAACAAAAACTGTTAAAAGCAATAAGAGAAATGTTACAAAGTTACTGTCTTCTGATAGCGAAACTGAGGAACCAGATAAAGCAAAAAAGTCACAGGACATTTGGGCTGAAATATATTTAGAATCAGAGGAAAGCTGGATCTGTGCGAGTGTGATGGATGAAAAGATCCATTGTGTCACAGATATATATGTAAGGAAATTGAAAAATAATGTTATATTTTAAAATACTAATAATAATTATACCTTGTTCCAGAAAAGAGCAAAGAAGCCGGTATTATACATAGTTGCTTGGAATTCAGAGAATTTAATAAAAGATGTGACTAGACGTTACTGTCCCCAATGGCTGACAGTTACACGTAAACAACGCATTGATGAGAAATGGTGGCTTGAAACTTTGTCCCATTGGAAGGAAAAAGATACTGCTATTTCTAGAGCTGAAGACGAGATGCTATTACAGAAGTATGTATTTAATTAAATACTTTTATTTCTGAAAAATGCATATTTTCACATATTATGTATATTTTAGAGAATTGGAGCAACCATTGCCTAAAACGATTGGTGAATGCAAAGGACATCCATTGTACGTAATTGCAAGGCATTTACTTAAATTCGAAGCACTATATCCACCGGACTGTGTACCATTGGGACATCTTAGCACAGGTGATGCCATTTACTCACGGCACTGTGTGCACACGCTTCGTTCAAGAGAAACGTGGTTGAAACAGGCCCGAGTTGTAAAACCGAAACAGGAGGCTTATAAGATAGTTAAGTCTCGTCCAAAATATGATAAGGTAATGGATGTTTTAATCTCCCACATTTTTCACTAGCAAGCATAATATTTTAATATGGAAATTTTTACAGCTTTCAAGAATGGTAATTAAAGATTCGGCGTTAGAGTTATTTGGTGAATGGCAAACTACAGAATATGAACCACCTGAAGCGAAGGATGGTATTGTTCCGCGTAACGAGTACGGAAACGTAGATTTGTTTAAACAATCTATGCTTCCAAAAGGCACGGTTCACGTAAATCGTAAGTAACTAAAAATTTGCCTGAACGCTATATTTTTCAACCGAAAATGGCTAAGCCATATCTGATCTAGCAATTAGATAAAGAACGGGATTTAAGATACAATCAAAATGGAATAATGTTATAGTTCCAGGTTTAAATCGTATTGCTCGAAAGCTTAATATAGATTGCGCCCCAGCAGTGGTGGGTTTTAACTTTGGATGTATGGGCGCGGTACCAGCTATCGAAGGATACGTTGTTTGCTCAGAACACGAGGATACGTTAAGAGAAGCTTGGGAAGAAGAGCAGGTCGAAGCTACTAAACGAGCTAAAGAGAAGCAAGAGAAAAGGGTTTACGGTAATTGGAAGAAGTTAATTCATGGTTTACTAATAAGAGAACGACTGGCGGCTAAATACGAATTTTCGAAGGAAGAGAAATCGGTCGCAGCGAACAAACGACCAAAAACTAAAAGAACAGATGTAAAGAAAGCTAAAGTTTCGTAAGTTTCATAAGAAATTCTTTCAATTCTTAATTTATATTTAAATGAAAGAAAAATGATCTGAACGACACTAAACGGTTGCAAGACAACTTTACCTAGTATTACAGAGTTAGACGATTTACTATAAGTTGTACAAATTGTACAAAATTGCGATACACATTGTCTGAAAAGGTATACATATATTGCATGTTTGTGATTGAAAGAAGCATTATCATGTGAAGGATTTGTAATTTTTCTTTGGTATTATTGTTTCTAATTTGTTTTTCAATTGAGTGTATGTGTATGAAAAGAATCTAAAATTCTTACAATTCTGTTGTTGAATAATTATGAATATTCAACATTATTTACCTAAGAAACCAGCGATTTTTGTAAAGCAATATTAATAAATTCGTATATTTTTATATATTACGTGTTAATATGAATTTTGTATAAAGTGCTAAAGACGATAGACTTCTGGGAAAACGCGACGACCCGAGGTCTTCACCCCTTCCCATGATTTCCACCCTAGCCCGTAAGCGGCCCGGGCGAAAATGCCGATAAAGTGGAAGGGGCCTCGTATATATAGGTCTGTGGTCCTTCCCCCACCCCGCCTCTTGAGTGTGTACAAACGTCTGCGCGCGAAAATTTAAATTGATATTTACTTTATTATTCGTACTTTTCAGTTATATATTAAATTTTATGATATTTAATAATTAGAAAATATATTATTTTGTTTATACATATATATAAATCACTTGTAATATTAATATCATCAGAATTATGATTTTAAGAATTCTTGCTTCCCCTACATCGCCATTTTCCATAAAGAAGCCTTGTATATACAAAAACTGATGTGTTTATTTTCAAACAGGAACAATTCTAATTTACAGATACATTTTTACTTAATAAATATTTGAAATTATTTAATGCAAAATGGATCAAGAATATTTTTCTAATATGTACCAATGGTGAATAAGTACTAAATAATGTTTCTTAAAAAGATATAGGTTAAGTTATACACACGATTAATAGAATTTATATTTTAAATATTCTATTAATTAGTATTATTTTAAAATAGATAACTCTCGATTATTATATAAATTGTAATTTGTACTATAAATTTATATTTGAAGGTTTGAAAAATGTGGAGTGATATCCAACATAAGAACGCAACTTCGTCAAAACTTAATAAATGCATTAAAAAGTAAAGATTTCACTTTGAAAAACAATGGTCCAAAGTCTGCGAAACAATATATTTACGATTTACTAATAGCAGAGTATTTGTTGAACCATAATTATGCTTATACTCTATCTGTATTTGCAAGTGAAGCACCCCTATTAATAGATTTTTCTAAGAAAACTGTTCAATGTTCTGACGAGAATGAGAAATGTAATAAAGAAAAATTACGAAGCGACTATGTATCGCATGCCTTAGAAACGTTAGGTATAAATCCTCATGATCCTAAGGGACAGTACGTCATATCACAGTATATTGAAAATGATATGCCGCTTCTTTTATGTATATTAAAATGTATTACAATGTTCTCTTATAATCTGCACAATGATGTGCCAATAAAAGAGAAAATCATTCTTTGTAACGAACATACACAAACTGAATTTTCTTGGCAATCTTACAATGCATATATAGAAAAATTAACTGCATTGAAGAAGAAATTAATTATACATAAACAGACAGTTGATCACAAGTTGCACGAAAGAGAAATGATGTTAAAAGAACAAGCAATACTCATCGAACAGCAGCTTGAAATATTGAACAAAAAACTGCAGGAAGTTCAGGTAATATATATTAATTTTATAGATATTCATGAGTTTAAAGTAATTTTAATTTTGTAGAACATCATGCATTCCTTGAGTTTGAAGGAAAAACATTTGAAAGAAAAGAAGCAGAGTAAGGAGCATCAGATTTTTCAAAAGGAAATGGAATTGACATTGAAAGAAAGATTATTGTTACAGGAAGCTGAAAGGTAGCTTCATATTTAAACATATTTTATGCGTTATTTCTTTTGAATTACTATATATTACAATTTGTACAGATTGCAGGAAGAACAGGACAAGCGTAATAAATTAGAGCAAGAGCTAAGAAAGTTACAAGAACAGAAAAGAATGCAACCAGAACCCTCGGTAGACAAAGTATCTAATCTTATATTTAAAAACATAGAAGTACAAACGGACGATATTAATGACATAATACAAAAAGATAAAATTAAAGTTCTTACTAAGGAGAAGGAAGAATTAACTGCCCTTGTACAGGATCAACAGTCAAAGATTGAACAGATAACTCAACGCGCTCTTCAGTTATCACGTCAAGTAGAAGGAATACGTTCGTTGAGACCCATCAGCGTAGAAGTTCCAACGCAAACTGTTAATACAAACACGGTTATCAGTGAAAGTAGCTCAACAGAAGATATTCTTCAAGATGCAAAACTGAGGCTTAAACGTTTGGAAGAAGAAAGTTTGAAAGCAGATCAATATTATTATAATTTCATCAATAATTCACCATGATGTTGCCTTTATAGTAGTTTTATAGCAGTAAGAAATTTGTTTAAGAAATATACATCAATTTTACAGCACAATATTTATATTCATTTTTTACACTGATCTAATTTCCTCAGTTTACAGAGGAAATCTGCAATCAATGAATAATGAAACGATAGAAATACTGCATAAAAATTTTTATTGCAATTACTAATTTCTATTATAAATAATATAAAATTTGTATTATATGTACAAATCTATGATTGAACTGAACGTGTACCAAAAATCTTTCGTTACCTACTTTATTTTATAAAATTGGACGTTAATATAATATACAAATTAATCGCTAATTTTTTTTTCTTTATTATTATTATTCGAATTCTACCTTAATTACATGCAACACCAAACGTAGTATATAAAATGTTAAGTCAAATTTTGTCCATTGTTGTACATCATCTTCGTTTGGGATCCGAACTCCTTCTAGTGTTTATGGTTAAGGATTATACTTATATAATTTACAAAACAAAATCAATAAATATCAATGAATATTTTATAACGTATAAAAAAAGGATATTGTTTATCTCGGCTTTCACGACCTTCCCGTTCATGAGTACGTTCCTTTGTGTAGGGTGACTTTTCCTGAAAATAATATATTTATATAAACTTTATGAATGCCATCTTTGTCTGCAATTGGCGTTTGGGTACTTGATAGTATCACCTAGTTTTTCTGGTCTTTGCTATTGTCTCCCATTTCGTCTTTTCAATGTACTCGAAGCGGACGTCTTTATCAACTAAGGGGTCAAGGAATAGTGTTAGAAAAATGATTAAAAAGTTAATTTATAGACTGAATGTTGGGATATATGCAAATTGTGATGTTACAGGATTTACCAAAAAATAAAGTGTAATATGTTATATGTATAATGTGTTGTCAAATATTCTAATTAAACAGGGACACGAATGTTTTCTAAACTTGTGATATCAATTTTATAGCGGGAAGACGACTAATGAAAACCTACTCATGAAAACGCTAACTTTATCATTGATGATTAAATTGACAAAATATGAAGAAAAAAAAAAGTCTTCTAATGCGATGCCCTAATAATCGACCATTTTATTTTAAATATGATACTCTTTATCTTTGTTAGATGATTGAAAAGAAAATGAAAATTAAAACAACTAACCTTGTTATAATGATGTTTTTCTCTGTGTTCAGGGATATCACCATTTTGATGTGTTCCCTTTGCTGAAAATAATCAATTATCGTTTATAGTAAAATAGAAATCTTTCACCGACAAAACAAATAATCACCTCTTTCATCATCTTTCCTTCTCTTTTGTTCGGTTGCAACTGCGGATTCATCTGCTCTATCCTGTTTAAACACAAATTATGTATACATGTATTAAATGAAATTATTATGATTTATATTAAATACTATAAATATAAAATATACCCTTTTTCGTCCTAATTTCTTTTCTCTACGGAGTTCCTTTTGTTCATCCCTTATTTTACTTTTACTTGAACGTTCCTTTTTATCGAGATTACCATCTGCCCGTCTTCCTTCCTGTTAACAGAAATAATAGTTACAAAAGAGTATTTAGAAAATGGAGGATATGATAATAGTATTTCAATGATTCACACCTTTTGTACACTTTCAACTTTTCTTCTTTTGGCATCTGAAATGAAACACGAATGTCATAATTTATATTAAAATGTATACGTACAATTAATATATGTATTTCTTGCATTTCTTTTTTAAGTGCAAACCTCTGTCTGATCCATCTTGTGTTGGCCCAGAGCTAGCACTACTATTTGATACACTAGAAAGATCTCGGTCTAAATTATCTACTCCAGTTGCATAATAATGTTCTTCCTACAATTATATTCAAATTAAAGATTTATAAATGTTATCTGTTCACTTTTATAGTATGTATAATTACTTTGTAATATTTTCTATCTTTTTTATCCATTGAGTCATCTTCCTTAACCTCCTCCTTTTTTATATGCTTATCCTTACTCTCTGAACTTTCTTTATTTTCTTCTTTTTTCCTAATTTTTTCCGAACTTTCACTGAGTTAAAGACAAAATATTAATTGGTTATTAAAGAAAGAATTAATTACTTAGTGTATAACTTACTGATGCAATTGATTTGATGCAGTTCGTTTTTCTCGTTGATCTTTATTTTCTTTTTCTATTCTTGTATCACCATTAGTGATTTCTTTATTCGATATACCATCACCAACTTTCTCTGACGCTTCGTTATTTGGGGCATCTTGTGTTTTTCCAGTCTGTGTAGAAAATAATGTTGAATAAACTACTCGATGCATTAAAAGTACCTAAACCTAACCTTGTCCCCCACATGATGGAAATCTGCTTCGCGAATCATGTTTGGAGTTTTAGCTTTTAGCTGACCGCTGTACGACGTAGCAAGAACATGCAAATCCTGACGTTGACCACGTTCCTCTTCTCTAACCTTTTCTACTTTTCTTTCAAGAATTTGAGACAACTTTGCCAGCACAGGGAAATGTGGCAATATTTTGATTAATATTATTAAAGAATTTCTTATTTGTACATAATCCTTGGAATCCAAACAAACCACAATAGCCTAGAAAATGAAAATACAATTTTGATATTTTAATCCCTAATCTCTTTAAAAAAAAACACCATACCATTTATACAAATGGAGTACCTTTGTGATTTTATAATGCCACTTATGGCACACGTGTCGATAATTTTCAAATCCTACCATGTCGTTCGCCTCGGAAAATTGATTACTAACGCGAAACTTCGTTACGAATCCCGGATAATTACTACATTCCTAAAATAAAACGTGAATGTGTAAGAATTTTAATGATTGCTTTCAAAGTACACGAGAAAAATATACCTTATCGAATATGGCTTTTTCAGAGTGCCACCTCATTACTGTTTCTAGCATGGCGCACAGAAATCTACCGTAACGATTCGCCTCGTTCTCGGTACACGAGGTAACTGAATATGTTATATCACAGAACAGCTGGAAGATTAAACATAGTTCAATAAATAATTGCACGTACGTTTAATTGATTAATTGTACTTACTCTGTCATAGCAAAGAAGGGTTGAGAAGTTTGCTGTTTTTAAAGAATGTATTGTGTGAACAAATTTGGCGCAATACATAGCATCCACGGTGGTAAATGTACACCGGGGAAACAGGCACAATTGTAGGAATTGTGTTATTGTTTCATTCTTTGCGGATTTTGCACTCCGAGATAAAAACCATGTATCTTTTTCTTGCCTAATATTCAAGTATCAATAACAAAATTAAACCTTTCTCTTTTTAGTGTATCGTACAATCAATAAAATTTACCTTAAATATGCAAACACTTTTTCAACGTGTTCCTCTTGCTTCCTCCTTTCATCCTGTAGTTTCTCAATCAAGGTTGTGTATCTTTCTTGCTCCTTCTTTCCCTTACTAACAGTCTATAAAAAATATATGAATTTAAAATTAATGTTTTACAAAGATTTTATGTTTCTCTTAAAGAAATTTTTCAACGTACCATATCTTTGGAATCAGCACTTTGCGCAGCGAATTGTTTCAATTTATTTATTTCCCTCTGATAACTTTCAACGGGAACATACAGATCGTACATTGACAGTGACCAAAATGTTACAAGGAACTGCGGAGAGATATCTTCCCATACTTTTAAAGGATGCAATGGTCTGACTGACTGAGCAACAGGTGCCATTACGGCTTGTGCTGCTTCTGCATATTTTGCTTGTTTCATAGCAGTAGACATTTTTTTGTAATTTGGATCAGCTTTACGTAGAGCATCATATTTAATCTGAAAAAGGGTAGATATTAGATATAATTGAAGATTAAGAATTTAAAAAGTTACTCACATTAATAGCATGTGCAAACATTGGTCTTGCAAGGAAAAATGCAACATCAGAATGTATGTGATTGTCTTGGAGCATCGAATGTATAGAAGGAAGTCTGTCCACGTATTCGTCTACGGTCATTGTAGAACCCAAAAATGTTCCAAACTGTACTAATGTATCTTGGCATTGATCGTACAGTTTTCCTATAATGTTATATCAGATTATATTTTTTTATAGTTCTTTTAGTGAAATCTCAAAAGAGAAATTATAGATATATATATTTACCAACAAGTTTAAGGTGCGACTTATCTGTTTCTCTATACACAACACAATGCTTTTGTTGTGCCATTAAAAGACACAGAGCCACGGCTAAATCATGCTCAGCGAGGGCTTCTTTCAATCGTTGGGAGGATTTTTTTGTATTACGGACTTGACTAAAGTAACCAGCCTAAAAAAATATGTTATTAATAATCATCTATTTAAATCAGCCATCCCCATAATTAAAAGTTACCTCATTTTTCAATAAGTCTCCCCCTGCCATGGCGTTCAATTGATCTGAGGTCATTTCTTCAGCAGCTTCGATACCTGCCATTTTTTGTACTATTTCTTTCAGTATTAATAAATCTAAGCTGTAAACAAAATAAAATAATAAATTGCCAAATTACTGTGAATTTAGAAGTTTTACCGTTCATCTTGTCTTCCTATTTTTATAGAAAATTTAATAAATTAAAAAGTAGAATCCTATCTTCCTATTTTTAAAAATACATAGTACAAATTAACTATTAATGTTGTCTTTTTTTTTTTCAATGTGTGATGTTTATGTACTAATATAATAATTCAGTTGAATTGTACATTTAGTTTTGTACAAATACAATAAACTTTTTCCACTGTTTCCTTAAAAATTATTAGAAATAATTCTTAATTTATACTTTTTATTGCAGAGATTCATACACTTGACTAGCTTTTTATCCCTTCAATTAAAATATTATCTTGCCATTTTTCTCATAAACTTGTAAATACCTAGAAAGAAAAAGTATAATTCGAAATATTGTAATATATTTTCACTATGCTTTATTAATGCTGTTCATATTAAAACAGCTAAATTAAAACCAATCCCATAATAAAAATTGTTATTTACCTTGTCCTTCTAGGTTTTCATTATATCGGTGGCAATATTTCTCATATTGTAAAATAATCTTTCAAATATGTGTCAATTATTTATATCCACTTATTTGTATTTTTAATAGCAAAGTGTTTGTATTATATAAAGTATTGTAAGAAATATTTTGTATTAACAACTGAATAAACCTTTTTTATTTTTCTATCCATTTGTTTCTTGTTTATAGAGGATTATATTTAATCTCAATCCCTTCCTCGAAGTTCTTTCCTGTTTCTGTATTAAATTCCTCTTACTGTTAAAAATGGTTTATGTTTGATTACTTCAAAATTATATTAATCTTCTTTGAACTTTGTCATTCAAATATTAGATGGCTCAGTAAAGAACAAAAATATATTTGATATACATTGGAATACATTGTAATGTAAAATGTGTTTGAAAGAAATGAAGAAAGAACTGTATATTGCCACACATTTGAAATAATCACTGGTAAATTTCCTTTGCAATGAAAAATTTGTAAATTCTATTCATTCAATGTTATTAGGTATTTCCATTTTAGGAACTATTACAGCAGAGTGATAGTATATGTATGTTCACTGCAATTAAAAAGTCTTCATAGTACATACAACACAATTTCATTGATGTTTTTTTTTTTTGTCAGTATTAATATTCTGAAATTACAAACAGTGGATCAAATTTGTATTTCATCTTGTTTTTCAATGTCTTCTTTACCACACATGTGAAAGTGTTCAATACCCTGTACATTTGAAAATAATGTGCTAACGTTCATTGAAAAAAAAAAAAAATACACTATTTGTCTCAATAGATCTTAATAATTCTTATTATTAGTTTAAAAAAGCGATTAATTAATAATTTCTATTAACATTACCACTGAAAAAAATACAATTATCTGTATTAATCTGATTCCTTTGTATTATTTTATACCCTAACATTCGAGAGAAAGAAACGAAGAATTGTAGAAATATCCAATGTATTATTAAAATTAACTAACGTATAATTAAAAGATGTACGCTATGATAAATAAATTTATTTTCTACAATGTACCTTTTTTGTGCTTTAAGTTGATTAGCTACATACTGCAACAAACCAGTAAGTTCGATATTATATTTCTTAAATATAGCTCCACAAAATGAAGCAAGAGACTGTAACCACAGAGATATACTGGTGCCGTCGTGTTTAAATCTATCTCTATCAGCACCGGCTAAAGCTTCCACGAGACAGTAACCGAGTACGTCGTATGAAATGTTTGTTAGATATTTTAAAGAATCTACAACAGGTCCTGTAACATAAAAAGAACAATTAATACAATGTAAATCCTGAAAGGTTCACGTCAGACCAGAATCCCTGGAAAATTCACATACCTATAAGATTATCGTACAATTGAATTTGTATTAAAACATAATCAAACAATACACCAGGCGAGGAATGGGTCAATTTCCCTATTGATCTTCCTACAGGTTTAATAGTTTCCTTGCTCACTCTTTTCATGATCGATTTGATTTTCTTCTGGGCGTCAGCCCTCTTTCGCAAAAGAGCGGCGTGTTGCAATGGGGTATCGTTCTTCCATCGTGCGTACAAACAATACCGATTCTGATATGGGTAGTATTTTAAAATGTTCCACAATTCCTCCGCGACACAACAATTACAATCCATAAAAGATAATGAAGGTAATAATGCTACATCGAGAATAGTCAATACATCATAATATAAATTGTTATTCTTATCCACTGGTTGCTTATTCGAATCTAACGGGCACTGCTTTATAACAGCGTGACATAACCTCATTATTTTGTACATTAAAACAGGATCATGGTGTAAATTCGGGCCCAGAACTATAAGCATCGGTAAGAGTTTATCGTGTATGTTTTCGAGATTTTCTATTGGCTTTGGTGCAAGAGAACTCTTTAGAGGAGGAACTCTTCTGCCTTGTAATTTTTGTGATATGATACAATGTCTGAAATATAATATGGTGGTACAGTTATCAAAATCGAATGGCAATTGAATGATAGAAGATTAAACTTACTTGCGATAAACCAGCTCTATTAAAGATTGAATCATTTTACACAACGCCAATGCAATAGGACGTTGATCGGTTAAACTGTGCTCCGGTAATCGGCTGAATAAGTTTTGTGCTACGTCCCAAGCTCCTATTTCCAGCAATGCTTCGCATAATCCGAATTTCTGATTACTTGCATATTTGTCCTATAAAACGACAATAATGTAAGTGAAGTTATTTGAATACCATTGTTTATTAGGATGAAATTAATCTACCTGGGGATTTTCCTTTTCTTCCTGCACTTCTTCTTTATCTTTAGTAGAAATTACGCTTAATTTACGAACATATTCTTTCGCTTGTTTCATTGCCTGTTCGTGTTCTTTGATGATAGTGCTATCATCCGGAATTAACCAGGGCAATATGTCATCCAATTTAATAACACCGTGTTGCAACATAAGCGCAGTGACTTTTTGCAACGAAAACGGGGTAGAGTTTACCATTGAACAATATTTAAATCCTAAAACTTCACAGAGTACCTGCTGATCACTCATGTAAGAACGAATTAAAGGAATAAAAAATGCATCATCCTGAGGTCGATTTTCAAAAGTTTCTAGTAAAATATCAAGTACTCTGTTGGGGTCAAGATTAAAATACCCTATAAAAAGAATATATATTTAACGTTATATTATTTCAACACTATTATAAACTTGTCAATAAATCATATTAAATGTGGAGCAGCGAGCATGGTAGAATTCAGTAGAAAAAATGGCACTGTGGTGTTCTCTAAATTAATTTCTGTATTCAGGTTTTAAAAATTCCCGCCATTTTTTCTAGATAAGCCTACCACGAATAGTACTGTACATCAAACATACCAATAAGAGATTTAACAATTTCTAAAATTGATGCTACTTCATTTTCTGGACGTTCCTGATTCAATTCCACTATAAGCTTAGAATATCCTTCGCTTTCTTCTCTAAATAAATTAAACTTCCTTTGTTTATAGCTGTAAAAATAGTAAAAATAGCTGTACAAATGTTTTCAATAATACGAATCATATCGATAAAGAAAGAATACATACTACAATTTTGTCTTCACTTTGATGAATTTGGTTTGAAAATTCTTATTCTTTAGCGTTCCTACATCTTGTAATGTTTCAATTTCTAATCGTTCTTTTAATATCCTATCTGTAAGAAACTATATAAAAAGCAAATGATATCAATTAACAATGTAATTATACATTTTTTTTTTTACATTATATAAACACTTTAATCATTCTTGGTATCTTGCGAAATGATACCTTTTCTGATTCTTTTACAATGTAATAGAAGTTATTCCTTTCATCGTTAAGTGCTTCCGCGTCTATCAGTGTAAATATGTCCACTACTGCTGATGGTATTGCTCCATCAATATTCTGAAAATACATATACATTCTGTACATTAAACATATGTAAGAAAATCTAAATTCAATAGTTCTACCGATACACTTATAAGCTCCATTACGGTTTCTCTAATTTTATATCAAATCTTTGTCTCTCAATTTTTATTTCATTTATTCTAAACTTCAATAAATTATTAATCTTACCATCAGTTCACCTAATGTCTGAACAACACTGTCCTTTTTTATGTTCCCACGGATTCCATTCGTAATTAATTCGTATAATCCTCTTCTCCATTCTAAAAGTAGAAACAATAACATACAAAAATGTAAAGAAAAATATAAATTGACAAAGGCTCATTATATATTGCGCGATATCACAAAATGAGGATAGTAATGTATACATTATATCTGTAATATTTATGCGCATTCTTTACTTAAAGTATACATAAAAAACTCTTCTAATGCAACATTATTCATTTATCTATTGAATAAAAAATGTTAGTAGGTTCGAGAGCATGGAAGTGAAGAATATTTAACACATATAAAGTTCATACTGAAACTCATGGAACATGGTAAATTCCAAAAATTGTTGAGGATTACCTGCAGTGTTGCCTTCCTTAAATTTGTGCTTGAATAACTTGAGGCTGCAAACAGTCGTTAATTGACAATTAACTCTTCAGAAGAGCGAGAAACAGGAGAGATAAGTTGCAACCATCAATTGCACAGAGTATGCAGTATCAATTCAATATTAATCGAACGCACTTCGGACGTTAACGCGTTAGCCACTTACAAATCATTTTTTCCGTGCTTATCCCATGCTTTCCATATTTCTGAATTCCACATTTTACCAGCCATTTTAATTCCATGAAAAGCTTTTTACGATTACAAACAATTGTATTAACATCACAGGTTAACAGATTCCATTTTCCACCATTGCAAGCGTCCTCGAAGCTATCGTAGCGCGATCTTTCTTATACCATAAATTACATTTTAAATAGTAGGAAATCTTTATTACCAAAAACCTTTCAATACATTAATTACTTAATAATAAATTATTGCTATTAAGTACAACAATATACAGTTACAAAATATCTTGTTAAACATTTTGCTATTCAATAATAAAAGCTGTATCAATTAGCTGACTACAGTCGGTAATTTCTTTCGTAATATTTTATGTATTTTTGCTTCATTTATAATATTTAATTTAAATAAATGTAATTTATTATAACATAATAGTTCAATCGTTATATATAATTTTACAAAATTATTGTGTAGCCATTTTGCAATAATGTAACATTATGCAAAACCGATGAGTTTAGGAACCCTAGAAATTTGGTTCTTTTACATCGGAACCATTAGTGAGAAAGGTAATGTCAATTTTAATAAAACAGAATCCAGTAACATCTGGCTGTAAATTTTAAAAAACAGTTAACTTTTCTTAGAATTATATCGGTTAGTTAGTGTACAATAATATACGTTTCATATTATTATTATATAAAACATGCTGTATAACAAATACAATTGAGTTCACCATTATTTACCTGTAAACGTATATGTAATTTAGGCAATAAAAACGTAAACTAATACTTTAAGTTAATAGGAGATTAAGTTTATATAAGATATATTTATATTTTTATTGTAATTTGTGTTATTTTATTAATTGTATTTCAGTTTTCTTTCAGTTGTTTGGTTATGTCACGTTGTCATACTAACAGTTCCATACTTTGTTTTTAGTGCAAAATGGCCAAATCTACAGAGAAGAAAGGAAAGAGTGCTATCAACGAGGTTGTGACTCGTGAATACACTGTAAATCTTCACAAACGCCTTCATAGTGTTGGATTTAAAAAACGTGCTCCACGAGCCATCAAGGAAATCCGTAAGTTTGCTGAAAAACAAATGGGAACACCAGATGTGAGGATTGATACTCGTCTTAACAAACAACTTTGGTCTAAGGGAATAAGGTAAATCTCGTGCATTTGTTAATTGAAAGTAATTTAAAGTGCAATTAAACATACATATATTTTTTTCTAGGAATGTACCATTCAGGGTGCGTGTCCGGTTAAGCAGAAGGAGAAACGACGATGAAGATTCTGCAAATAAATTATACACACTTGTTACATATATACCAGTAGCTACTTTTAAAGGTTTACAGACAGAAAATGTTGATGCCAGTCAAGATTAAATTACCTATAATTAATAAATAATTTTCATCAATTGTTGTGTTTAAAATTTGTTTAGTGCAATGAACTCTCGCTATATTATCATTCGTTAATAAAGACTTTGATAATCAAAGGCTACATCGAAACAGCTTTCTTCATGTTGTCAGTTCTAAGAATTTTCCACTCCTTCATCTACAAAATTGGAAATATAGCAAGAGTTTGTTGGATATTACCTATCGCTTTAATTAACAATGTCGAGGATTTTAGTTCTTTCAAAACTATAATATAAAATTATCGGTTATTATTGAAAATTGTTTTTAGAACAAATTATAATTGTACAGTAATGAGCATGGGAGATTTTCTAAAAAAAAAATGGCGATGACCCATCCTTCCATCTGTCCCCGTTGGTGACCTCGGGGATACTACCCACGTAATAGAAGAAGGGCCCGTATATATAGATCTATGGCCTCCCCCACTACTTCTGTACGAACGATTACGCGGGAGAATTTGAATTGATATTTATGTTATTATTCACATTGTATAGTTATATATTAAATTTCATAACATTTAATAATAAAAAACTACACTATTTTGTTTCTAAATCATTTCTAATATGTGCTAATATTAATATTGACAAAATTAAGTTTCCCATAGTTCCTGTTTCCCCTATATCGCCATTTTCCCTAGAGAAACCCACTTTGCTCGATGCTGTACCAGACATTCGTTAATGACGTTAGCAAGAAATTAGCGAAAATTTTTGTTTACGTATGTAATGTGTTTTACTTACGAAAATGCATGTAATGCTATACAAATACAGCGTTAAGTGTCACGCATGCTCGAAAGTGTTTTAAATGTCAAATAGAAAAGCATTTATCCGTAGTTATACATTTTGGTTGGAGAAAGATTTTCATACGACCATAGAATTTGCATAAGTTATGTCCTTGTTGCGTGCTTCGCACGATTATCAGAATACTATGGCTAAACCGTGTTACAAACTGAGAACGTCCCTTTTTGGGCATACGTCTGATGTAAGAGCTGTGGCAACATTCGCCGATGGAACTATCGTATCAACCTCCCGGGATGAAACTGCCCGTGTATGGAAACCGTCTGGGTATTTAACCTGTTAATATATTTTAATTAACATTAATTACACTACACTTTATATCTAATCTAAATCAAGTAAGATGTTTGATTTCACTTTGTTGATACGTCTAATGTAATAAACGTTAATGAAATATCTTACAGAAGTGGCAAGGATTACGAGCATACCACCACACTGAAGGGACACTCTAATTTTGTTACCTCTGTATGCGTTATAAATCCATCAGAACGTAATCCTACAGGTTTTGTTATAACCGGCAGCCACGACAAAACCATACATATTTATGTACCGGATCAAACGGAACCTATAAACGTTATAAAAAGTCATCAAGATACAGTATGTAAGCTAAGTACAGGTAAAAAGGAAGGTATATTCCTTTCCAGCTCTTGGGACATGAGCGCCAAAGTATGGAATCTTAGCGATTTAAGCAAACCGCAGTTGAATCTGTTAGGTCATACAGCAGCTGTATGGTGCGTCATAGATTTATCAAGCGGCTTGTACGTGACTGGATCAGCAGATAAGTTAGTCATAATATGGACAAGCGATGGTTCCGTACAACATAAATTAACTGGTCACACTGATTGTGTTCGTGATATATCTGCAATAAATAACAATGAATTTTTAACTTGTGCCAATGATGCCACTGTACGTCATTGGAACGCATCCCTTGGAACTTGTTTAGGAACGTACTGCGGACATGAGAACTATATCTATAGTATCGTAGCCTTGGAAAATGGTACAAATATATTTACATGCGGCGAAGATCGAACGCTTAGGATATGGAATAACACCGAATTAAATCAAACTATTACCTTGCCAACTCAGTCTGTATGGTGCATCGCTTTACTTCCTGATGGTGACGTTATTGCTGGAAGTTCCGACTGTGTTGTCAGGATATTCACTTGCAATCCAGAACATTATGCGGATGCGGAAACGTTAAAAGAATTCGAGCAGGAGGTAGCCAGCAATAAACTCAATGCTCAACTAGAGTTAGGTGGGATCAAAGTCAAGGAGTAAGTTAAGAATCTGAGAAAAAAAAAAACAAAAAAAAAAAATAAAATAAATCAGATTATAAACAATAAACTGGCATGTTAATTTTTACACTAACAGTTTACCAGATGCAAAAGCATTGTTACAACCCGGTCAAAGAGATGGTCAAACGAAAATTGTTAATGACGGAGATGCGATAAGAGCGTACAGTTGGTCACAAAATGAACAAAGGTGGATAAAAATCGGAGATGTGATGGGCGCAAGTGGTGGCAGTGCGGCTACATCTGGGAAACAGCTATATAACGGAAAGGAATATGATTATGTATTTTCAGTTGACATACAAGATGGTGTTCCTCCGTTAAAATTACCTTACAATAACGATCAAGATCCATGGCACGTTGCACAGAAATTCCTTCTTGACAATGGTCTTAGCCAATTGCTGTTAGATCAGGTATACAGTTTAAATGATACCCATTATATTTTCCCTAATAACAAATCGTTTGTATAGTAATTGATTTTCATTTACAGGTTGCAAATTTTATAATAAAAAATTCTCGACCTGCACCAGTTGTGAAAGCTGATGCTCAATATGCTGATCCTTTCACAGGAGGCAGTAGATACATTCCTCAAGCAACGACAGACACAGTACCGCAGGAATGTGCGAAACCAGCAACAATAAACTCCTCTGATACGTCATTAACTCCTTCTTATATCCCTCACATTAAATACCTGAAATTAGAACAGGCTAATCTTCCTGCAATTTTGGGTATCTATATTTTTATTATGTTCAGATTCGTCGTTAATGTATTTATTGAAAGATTTTTCTATTTCTTTTTGCAGAAAAACTACGTGAATTAAATTCCAAACAAAGTGACCCTCTTAAGGTGTCGAATGAGCAGCTGGAATGTTTGGTAAAACTTGCAGGAAACAAAGCATCCGAACAATTAAGAGGCGATGCTCTGAACACGTTAATGGTCCTTTTAAATTGGTCTGATGACGTATTGTTTCCTGTTCTCGACATAACGAGACTGGTAGTACTGTGTAAAGATATTAACGATGTCCTGTGTACAGATGAATTGTTGCAAATCGTTAAGAATCATATTAGAAACGATGCACTTCCTTCTAACCAGATGCTCGTGTTTCGTTTATTAGCAAACATGTTTGCTTATGAAAAAGGTGAAAAACTGTGCATTAATTATAAAGATGAAATATTAAGATCTATACTGGATCTACAGTCTCTTGGGAGTAAAAACAATCAGGTAGAAATAGTACATAGGATAAAATTAAAATTCAATTACATTGTTCTAATTTAATTACTAAAATTGACTAAAATGGTTTCAGGTTGCAATTTCAACTTTTATATTAAACTTAACCGTGGCTTTGAACAAGTACAGTGATACCGTTGGTAAAACTCAATGTTTAAACGTAATATTTTCGGTTTTACCTCGTTTAAACGAATCCGAGGCGGTGTTTAGAACTCTGGTAGCATTAGGAACACTTTTATGTACGACAACAGATCAAAAAGACCGTGATCATTTAATCAAAGCGGTCCGACAATCCGAAGCTGCGTTAAATATACTTAAAACAATGTCAGAAACAAAAATCTCGACAAATACATCGAACAAGCTGGCGAATTGTTCAAAACAGATTATCAGCTTAATTATTTAAACATTGCAAGATATTATAGAAAATTATAAAAAAGAACAAAAAAAAAAAAAAAAAAAAAAAAAAATACGAAGTGATGAACTCGAGACTTTTAATGATTAATGTTGTAATTAACGAGTATACTTGCCGAAATTGCGTTAAATAGGCTTCTTATATTTTTTGCAATTTGATATTTAAAACATTATAGTTACCTATTACTAATAAAAGTACATTTTGCCATAATAAAAAGATAATCTTCATTTGTAAAAAAAAAAAAAAAAAAAAAAAAAAATACCAATATCAAACTTCGTGAAACGTATAAGTTTTCTTCATTTCTTTCTCATCTCGACGAGAGTTTTGTTTTTACTCGGTTCAGGTAAGATAAGTTGTATTTCCAAATGAAAATTAATTAAAATATATGTACAACGATGAATATAAAATAATAATTTATGTAATATACATAATATTTGATTAAATTTTTCGAGCATCGTGCTCGATAAACATACAACAGACAACAGTGTAATAGTAGAATATTGTTATTACATTAACGTCAAATATATATTTCCTTAGTTGTATATCAATTAACTCTTGCAAATAGTCAAGAGTCGATTACCACAACTGTTTTTTTTTTCTTTCTTTCATTTTTTCTTCTCTCCTTCTTTTAGTTAATTACATGAAAAATAACATTCACTGTGTACACTCAATATTAACTTCAATTATGCTCGATGAACAATACATATAGTACACGAAAGATAGTTACAGTATCAGGTCATTGTGGCTTATGGGAATGTGAATACGCGATTTCATTTTTTTTTTCTTTTTTCATTTTTACAAAAATAATTTTAAATATATATTCTGAGATCTGCAAGACAATAGAAACAGTGCTGATCGTACAATTCAAAATTTAGCATTCAAATTGTCGTACATAGTTTATTTTACTCTTACTCCTGTAGTAACGCGCACAGAATCGAGATCATCGTACAAAGAAAATTTCTTATTCGATAAATCTTGAAGATTAATTATACAGAATTACTGTCAGAAATTATCTGATCTATATTTTGGTGCAACATAGACTTGTCTGGATTAAAAGGAAACGCAGAAATCTCAACCTTTATACAGGGTGTTCCAGAAAGAGTGTTAGTCCTTTCAGGGGATGATAGTTGGGGTGAATCTAAACATCATTTTCCTTTGCAAAAATGTTGTTTGAAGCTTCGTTTTTGAATTATTAAGGAGAACCACTGGCCAATCAGAGTGCGCGGGCTCAGGGACGGCAGCCTCGACTCCTGAGCCCGCGCGCTATGCGCGCTCTGATTGGCCAGTGTTTTCCCTTAATAATTCAAAAACGAAGCTTTAAACAACATTTTTGCAAAGGAAAATGTTGTTCAGATTCACCCCAGCTATCATCCCCTGAAAGGACTAACACTCTTTCTGGGATACCCTGTCGATGAAGATCCCTCGTGTTTCTCTTTAATTAAGAGAAGCTCGTTTCATTTATGACGTTCAGATTCTCAAATTTTCTTTCTACGACGACCCTGACCTTTTTTTCCCCGTTTTCTTTTTTCTGGAAGTAGAAGAGATTCGGAATGCCCTATAGAAATGCACCGATCCATAAAGATGTACTCCTTAATTTTATTTAACCGAGATTATTTTTCGAGAGAATGTGCACACAACGTTGCATCTTAAAAGTCAGAATGCATCAAGAATACCCTTCTCAAGATAAGTCACTTTTGTGTATTGAAAAACTATGTCAAAAATTACGACGCTCGAGCTTCGAATTACCTCGTGTATAACTTTTTTTTTATCTTTAATCTATACCGTTGAGTACGAGAATGATTTTTCTCAATTTTGTACCTCCGAACTTAAACTTAGTTATGTGTGTGTGTGTGTGTGGTGTGTGTTTTCTTTTTAAGCAGTTAATTAGTTTATTTCAACTACTTGTGATTGCCTGGTGTTTCGACGACTTATTTTCATCAGAGAACACGTGTCACTTCGAATAAGCATCGTCTTGCGATAAAACAAACACAGCCTCGTTAATTGAAGGGTTCAGGGAATAAGTATTAAAAATATAGACTTTGTCCTTCGGGGATATAGTGTACGTATAAAATTGTATCCTAGAAATATACGAGGATAACATAGTGCTGAATAAATTCAAGGTATTTCAGACACTACTACCATTCACATAAAAGAAGTTTGAAATTGATATCTGGTAATATATCAATGTACAATGACGATCGTAGTAAGAAAGTACAGATTTCAATTTATAAAATACTTTCAATATTTAACACTATAGTGATAACTTAGAAAAAGTTGTTATAGAACCCTTTAACAGTCCTAGTTATTTTTCCTAAATTTTTAACATGACTTATGTATTATAATAATTTGACTATGTATTATATATATGAGAAATTTTAGAATCATAATATCTTATTTATCAAATTAAGTATCTTTTTCGAAAAACAAATTTTTTATTTGTTTTAGTAATTCATTCAACTTCTTTGTATGTAGTATAATAGAATTGTGGCTTGGAAAGCCTGGAGAAAACAATTGTGTGTACATAGAAAAATACTAGAAAGGCTCAGCCATTTAACAACGTGCGACGAGTTAGTTCTCTTCAGGAGTTAGTACTCAACGAACATTCCTAATTATCTACTTTTACACTGTGGTTTCAATTGTCCTAGGGATGTATTTTCCTAGCTGAATGTAAACTTTGTTTCCTGCACCCTTCAATTAAGGCTTTTCATTCTCTAAAATTGCATTCAGCATGATAGGAGGGACCTAAAATTTGTATTGGGTCCCCCCTTGCCCGTCTCATTCAGCCGGCGTACTCGACGCCCACCTATCAAATTCTATTCCCGAGTCTGGGCTTAGACCTAAATCGATGGGGCTAAGGAAACTGGGCGCTGGACAATTACAGGGTCCCCCGGGTCGGCAGGCTCCTATACACCTCTGATCGTTCCCTCTGTTTCGGTCACCACGATCTCTCAGTTCCTTTTCAAAACTATGTAACTGTTCCATAAAATGAAAATTTGGGGCAACGTTCGATTTTCGACTACGTACTAGATTGAAAGCATCGTTCAAACTGAGGCTACACTTGTGCATAAGGTAAGCAACGGTGATTGTAACAGACCGAGATACTCCAGCTAAACAGTGAACCAGCACTCCTTTGTCCGAGCTCCGTGCTTCCTCTGAAAATATTTTACATTTAATTCCCTTCATAGATTTGATGTAATTTGCTTTCCTTTCGTTATATATACTTACCAATGAATTGAATTGCTTGGGGAAAGAAACTAGCTAAGTTCTGGCTCCAATGATCACTTATAGGTATTTGCATGTATTTCATGGAACCCGCGCTTTCAAATACATTTGGCAAATCTGGGGTTACATTCAGAATGTATTGTATCCTGTGACGAGCTAGAGCCTCTCTATCTCCGCTATTTGCCGCGTTTCCAAGATACAAGTGGGGCAAGATTTCAACTGGGAAGTCTTTATCTTCTTCGGGTCCTGAAATAAGTTGCAACAGTTTTCATTTCTTTTCTTTCTTCCAGATATTTTATTAAACCAGACATTTTAATGTATACTAACCAACAGAATCACACGTACTATCACTGTCAGAGTCTGAGTATGACCTTGTCGGTGGAGTAGATATCCGAAGAGATCTGAGACCCATTAATTCTCCATCGTTAGAGTCCTGACCAGGAGGACCTTCACCGGTAGTCTGGCTACCTTCGCACCATTCAGGATATCTATTTCTGAACGCTTCGAAGCCATCTATAAAGAAATGAAGAAAAAAGAACCTTAGTAAAGTTGTAGTAAAATATATCCCTTCACAGAAATCAATATTTCATTCATTCTCAATGTTTCAATTGATACGTGCTCTAGAGTCTTTAAGTTTTTACTATAAAGTTTAGCTGAATGAAAACTTGCATCCAAATCAATATTACAGGAATACATAAATATTGGATCTACCATTGACACTTACTCATTAAAATAGCTACACATCCTCCGCTACTTCTAAGCCTTCGAGTTAAAACCTGAATCGTTTCACCCTGATGTCCTGCAGGGTCAGTGGAGTCACCGATCAATACGAATGTCCCTCTGCTATTTTCATCACCGCACAGAAACACTTCAACTCGATTTCTTAGATCTAAGCACCTTATCGTCGACAGCAGATCAACTTTACCCGCCGCCAATCTTCTCAGCATGATGCTAGGTATGGCTAAAGGAACCGAACCTCTTATATGAGCTTCAGAGAAATCAGAATGCGCTCGACAGTCTAATATCAGAAGTTTGCTCGGACCGTCTCGAGATCTAAGCTCTCTGAAAAGCCATTCGGGGTCCACAAACTCCTCCTCCGTAACATTTCCCCCTGGCATGGTTGTACGTTTTAATTAAATCTCCTGACGCTTCTTTGGCCTGTGACTTCTTTTATGTTCCTTTTAAAACGCACCTGTTTCTATTCGCAAATGTATATCTTATCTCCATAGATTCCAGCGTGTTCCAAGAAGCAGAAACCTGAGTTTTCACAGTGTCGAAAGAATTTCTTTCATCTTATGGCACTTCCATGTAACGTGTTATCAATGATTCGTATAAGATAGTTGAAGCGCACGCATGACATTTGTCTCGCAAGAGAAAACTTGTTACATATTCGCTCATTTATGATCAATGTGAAATAAGTATGTGTACATTTAGCGCGCTTTCATGTGTGTGTCTCTGTGTCTGTGTAGGTGCATGTGTTTCATATATATATATATCTATTATTAATATTTATTGAATATGATGAAATGGCACTTAGAGTTGTAATAGTAGTACGTATCCCATAGAGGCATCCAGACGCACGTTGTCGTTATTCTCGCGTGTCAATATCCCGATTCGAGGTTTTCTCACGTGTTGCCATCACTTCCTGCGGCAGTTTAATGCCGTTTTTACTCCTCCTCCTTCTCCTTTGCCGCTGCCACCGCTAACTCGTCTCGATTATTGATCCTTTTGTAAATAAAGACGACAAGTCCAATTAACGCCACATCCACGGAATGTTGTTCCTCGTACGAGAAATGCATGATCCACGCGTTGTCCAACCAAGGGTAAACGATCGATCTCAAACTATGATCAAAGAGGGTTCCACGTGAACTGACATCGTCTCGATTGGGTTGAGCGGGTGGCATTATCCTCACGACGGATAGACGGGGCCCCGACTATTCTTCCCGTACATATCCGTTGCTGATGTTTTCGTTTCGCTGTCTTAACCCGCGCGGTGGATCCGGTCACTCGAGCCAAGCTTCGATTCTTCTCGTTGGAATCCAGCGGAGAAAGGGATGCTGCGCGCGTGTACCTGGTAGCCGCGTCAACGGTTGATTCGAATTCGGTCTGAGCGAACTAGGTGCTTAGTTTGGGAGATCGGTCGCGTATCTCGGGCGCTGCGCGACTCGGGACCGTCGCCCTCACCTCACGAATCCCTCCAACATTGCCTCGACGCGTCTTCCCTTGGTCGCCGTACCGACTTCCTGTAATTTTTTTTTTTTTTTCCTTCTCTTTCGGGAGTCTCTCTCCTCACCGCCGACCCACAGCAGCCACGGCTCAACGATTCTCGTGTCTCCTCGCCTTCTGTCTTCCTTTCGCTTTCTTTTCCTATTCCTTCTATCTTACGCGATTCAACCACTGTCTCCGTCTCTCTCACACTCTCTGTCGTTCGTGGCCTTCTAGCCAGCCTGCTGCAGGCCACACCTTACCTCGAGCGTTCTTCCGTCCAGAATGGGCAAATGGCGCTTGGATCCTCGAGCGTAGGGGAAACTTGACTCTACGTTGATTGGCTCACGATCACGTGGTACGCCCTAACCGACCAATCACCGAACGGGCTGACGTCAGTTCATTGACAAAAGATGTTTTCATTAACAAGGCGTGGGTAGATGGGTCGGGGGGTCGGTACTGACCGAGCTGTTTGGTAAAGCGAAAGGGTAGGAAGCGCGAGGGGAGCGTATACTACACGCTCACTCTCTCACGCGTGCGTGGGCGCATATTATTACGATCCACACGAGAAAGACGGGATTCGTCTACTAAGGTCTATACTTCGTATCGACGTGCACGCACACTCGCGTCCACGTGCCAACCGTACAGGTTCGGCGTAACTCTTCTGATCGCCCCGATGAATTATTCATTTTTCTATATTAATTTGATGGTCCGCGATAGTAAGAAAAATTATATTTGTATCGTTGTTTAAAAATTTTATATTAACATCAGAATTAAAATTTAAAAAATTCAAATCAAAATAAAATATTTGTTAGATTAATATGAGTTACATTAATTGAAAATAAATAGGATTTAAAAGTAAAATTAATAATTTTATTTATAATAAAATTTGAAACAAGTCGAATACGTTAGTGTATGATCTCCTGCTCTTCAGATACACCTTAAAACAATAGAAATCAATTACAGTCTATATATCGAGTTTGTAATTCTGTAGACGAGTCATGATCAACCGAGTCATGAATTAAAATGAGAAAGATGAATGAAACGTCTGAAAGGAAACTGAATGTTAGCTTTGTACATACACGTTCCAGTTGACTCAGCTTGAACAAACAAATGTTTTATCGTTAATACCCTTGAATCTCTGATTGGCATCTAATCTCCCAATGATTAAAACAAATACATACCTTCATAAAATTATTTTCTCGATATGCTATGCACCATTTTAAATCTGAAATATATAGCACTACTAAATATTATTCGAATACGACGCCCCTTGAACCACGTATACGTTCCTGAACATTGGAGTACTGTACGCGAAGCCTCACCTCGGATCGAGCCAGCCTATCAGGCGGCTCTCAAGCGTGGGCTGGCATTCCATTCATTTGGGCTGCTGTCGTTGAAGATTTTCACGTTCGATCACGCGGACCGCGCAGGGCCACTTCATCTGCGACCCCTAGGAACGTCGGGGAACGGAAAGGACCGTAGGTAGAGAAGGATAGACGGCGTCGAGAGGTGAAGGTAAAAAGGGCCGGGTCGGTGTCGGTGGCCTTCGACGAGTCACGGACATTCGTGTATAGCGAGACGAATTTCGATTCGATCGCGTGGGAGTGGTTGATAAGGTGAGCGTACTATACCGTCCTTGATACCACGCTCGGATTCGATCAATGGTCACGAACAGATTTACGTGAGAATTTACGCGCTTCCTCTCCGGGGCGCATCGACGTCCTAACATTTACCCTATTCCACGTGAATCATCGATAAACGAAAGGTTGATCCCGATGGATAGTAAAAACTCGATTAAACTTCAGCACGCGAGATGTTAACTAATGCTACCGATGACGTGTCCGTACAGGTAGCGACCTTTCCGAAAATAAAAATGTTCAGCATTAGGAGCCGAGCAAACGATTGTACTAGCTAATCCATAGGACGGCGTAGGTTGTACCCTATATTTAGCGAAAAATCGAAATAAATATAGAGTACAAGTCGATACGTTGTTATATCCATGTTCTACGATGAACACATCGGTTCATTATAAATTGTATAAATCAATTCATTCCATTAAAACGGTTACTAAATCGCAAGTTAACGAGGAAGCGTGTATGTAACCAAAGAAAGTTTCCCCGCGGTATCATTATGGCAGTCACACCGGTAATGTGTACGCTAAGATGACGTAAGTGATACCTGTTGATGACCTTAACAGGTGTGCATACTTAATGGCACTGCCATTACGTATTTCGTGATGCAGTCGGAAGTCACACAGGCGCGCGTTACTCAATCACAATTCTATAGTATACCTTTTTTTCTCTTTTCTGACAGAGAGGAAATACGTTTACGTGGACGCTGACCACCTCCTGGCGTGGGAGGAGGGCCAGGGTACCGTGGGACTCCGGGGTGCTTACCAGAATTTTAGCGGATTCTGGCCTCGCCAACTCATTTTTCGGCTAGACCAGAACTTCTATAGTACTATGTACCTTCTTTTTTGTTTATGGAAGAGGAAATACGTTTACGTAGACGCTGACCACCTCCTGGCGTGGGAGGGGCCAGGGTACCGTGGGACTCCGGGGTGCTTACCAGAATTTTAGCGGATTCTGGCCTCGCCAACTCATTTTTCGGCTAGACCAGAACTTCTATAGTACTATGTACTTTCTTTTTTGTTTATGGAAGAGGAAATACGTTTACGTAGACGCTGACCACCTCCTGGCGTGGGAGGGGCCAGGGTACCGTGGGACTCCGGGGTGCTTACCCGAATTTTAGCGGATTCTGGCCTCGCCAACTCATTTTTCGGTTAGACCAGTACATACTTCTATAGCACACAGTGCCGGTTTTAGCAATATTGGCGTCCTGGGCAAGGTTATCGTGGTGCCTATTAAAATATATGTATATAAGTAAAAAACGCGTCAGGGATGATGTAGACGTAAATGCCGCAGCATATATAGCATATATGTAATATTACATATGAGATGTAGAGAGAAGAGATAATGAGAAAATATCGGTATATTCGCATATTAGGGACACTGGGCTGCGGCGCCCCTATAGATCTAGCGCCCTGGACGATTGCCCCCCCCCCCCCCCCCCCCCCCCAAATGCCGGCACTGATAGTACATATACCTTTTTTTTGTTTATGGAAGAGGAAATACATTTACGTACGCGGGGTTGACCCCCTGTCGCACTATTCGGCTAAGGAGGACCGGGCAGTGTGGGGCTCATACCACCCAAAAGGGGTATCTATAGCACTATCTTGCAGGATCCAAGCGTAATAGGTTCTCTTGTGTCCTATCCATAGAAGAATCATTGCAATTCAATATACAGGGTGTCCCGTAACGCATTTTCACCCTCTCAGGTGGTGGTAGATGGAGTGATTCTGAACAACTTTTTCCTTTGCGAAAAAGTGGTTTGGAGCTTCCTTTTTGAATTATTAAGCAAAATTCGTGTGACTGTCATTTAAAAAGAGATCTTGGCAAAGTACCATGACCATTTGACCATATATCAAACTGATCGCTTAACGATACAAGGTAAAAAGAAACATCCGCAAGACGGATACAGAGCCGGTACAGTTTCTACGAATTGAAAACAGCGTGGCTCGTGCAGCGCGCCGTTTATTTGCGTCTGGTTTCTGCAGGCTACCGGAGGAGGAAACCGATTATCGGGTTCACAGTGCTTTGCCAGATGTAACGTCGAACGTGCGGGCACACACGCGCGCTCATACGTGTACGTGCGTTAACCAACACCGATGTAAACGGGTGTACGCACCGGAAGCAATACTCCCTAGCACTTGGCTGGACATTAGTGCACGCACTTTCCTATGTGTGCGCGTGGCTCTCGCCTGTACGTACAGGGAAGCGTGGGCGTGCGCGTGTGATTACCACGAAAAGCGGCCCCAGGTTGACAGGAAATGGTTCGAGATAAGATAATGACGTCCCTCGCCTCTCCTGCATCCGGCAGGCTTTCTTTGCCGTGGCCGCTCGAACATTATAAAAGATTCCTTTGTATGTCACTTGAGGACAGGTACCAAACACCGTTCCCAATTATCCAAATTGAATGGGTTCTATAAATTTTGCATACTGTACGAACGCTGTTTGATACCGTTACATTAGATTTTTTGTTCATTGACCTCTAAAAATTTGACCTCTATAAAAAAATGTTAAAAAGAAAACATTTGTTTTATTTGGACAAAATCAAATTTTTAGTTTAGCGTCAGCTAAACTTTACTTAAATAATATTTTAATTACAAATGGCGTCCCAAACGAAAACCGTATACGTTGCTGTCAATAACTCGGATCCTCCCTAGCCTGGCTCCTAGCAAACGAAAATAGCGTACGAGCGTTTCCTTTGCGAGGATTTTTCAAAATATACAAACCCGACGCCGACACAGCCGCGTAAATTAAACCAGGAGCCTTTGTTTTAACAACGAAACCGACCTCCTACGTCTGCTAATATTCGTCGGCGTGTCGCAACGTGAATAATCGTATCCTGTCGTGTTCGATAAATAACCGAGAAAGAAATACATATGTACAAACATTATAAGATACGGCTTTCAGATTGGATCGAATAAATCTTTGGGCGTATGCCTTTTTTGTGACCAAATAAAGTTTTCGATGAATTGTCATCCATGCATTTTTTTAGGTTAGAGTTGTTTATTTGTTCCCGCCGTTTTCCCTAGTTTGAGAAATCTGAATATGGCCGGACGCTTCTCTGAATGATTCTCGAAACTGGTGCGCCCACATTCCTTTGGTCACGTAAGATCTAAGCGTTAGATCTAAAGTCACGGCACATTCACTAACCTCGATTATAAAACTGCCTACACGATTTCAATCCGTCCCTTTCTTACCTCCTCAGTTTTTGAATAGATGATACCTGCTTCACAAAAGACGGCATGCGGTTCGACGGTACCCCACTTTCGATTATCGATCAACAAAGAATGAGAATATATTATACCTGTCAGATTTATTCATCGTTGTACATACCTGTTTCATTCTGATTTATATCGTTGCAGTGTTTTTACTTGAAAGTAATTATTCGCACATTCGCATCTAAATAATTGCACCTTGACGGTTGAAACAAAAGACAGGAACAATGAAAGGTGGCGTTAATTAACCTAATTCCCCGCGTTTTTTAACCACTTTATGCAAATCAATGTTGATAACAATAATATATGTAAATAAATATTTATATATTTAGAAAGCAATTTTGCACGTTTGTCATTATTTTTCATATTTCTTTAATTATTTATAAATAATATAAAAAAAGAGGGCGCTGATAGGTTGTTTATTTGAATCATTTCTAGTATTTTTTGTCAACTGTTTTAGTAACTATATTTGAAATTTATATCAAATCTGTTATTGTTACATATTTCTGTAAAATATTTCAGAATAAAGTTTGTATATATCATTTTATTTTAATCGATCAAATAATATTTAAAACGAATTCGGTATAAGGGTAGCCACTCTGTTTTCCGCAATGATGGTTCCTCTTCTACTTCCGGTGCTTTCTATTTGCACAGTGTTTGGAGATCGTTTTACATTTTTATGAAATCCAGCATTGAAATGCCAATCGTAAGTATAATTGTTCAAGTTTAATAACAAAATTTTGAAGCGTTAACTACTTTATCCGAATTTTTTATTATTATCACGATTTATTTCTATTTAAGTTGTATCCATGTGTTTCTACACGATCACTCGATATCGCGTGCTAGATCCAAAACGCTAAATATTTCTACCGTTCTTTAGGCTCGCAAGCTTTCAACACTGTCGAGGATATCTGATAAACCTGATTACCACTGTGAAACATATTTTTCAAGGTTAAATACCACGGTGAGTAATCGTACGAGTTCGTGGAAAATTTGTTTAAAAAAAAAAGATTGCAAGATGTAGCTCGAACACTTTACAGGTGCCCTGTTGAAACGAAATTGCAGTAGGACAATGGATAATTAATCTTCCTTATTAGAGGACAATTTTCCCCCAAGGATCCGGAAATACGCTCGCACGTAGAAGGTTGTATAAAACACGTATAAGTTACGCGCTAATATAGACTGCTAGCACATGGCGGTATAGGTAGAAAAGCGGTGGCGAAGTAAAATAATCAATGAAGAGGCGAACGGGATCAGGAGGGAGAAAGCGAAAGAGCTTTATACGTTCGCGCCCACGCGGACCTACGGGCTCGTTATCCCGTGTTGTTTTTTATTCTTCCTGCCGTATACATTACCGAGACCTTGCTAGGAATTGTGCCGAATCCGCCTATTTTATCATTAGAAACGGGAAAAGGTAATGGAGCATAGAACCATGATCAAATATTCTCTCAGACACATCGGACCCAATTAATGGAGCATACGTCTCCTAATTTAATATTCCATTAATTATGCAAACCTTTCTTAAGGTTTACGTTGTTCTAACTGGTTCAATATTTCAGGTGATATGCAACTGCAATGAAAATCACGTAGAAGCTGACGTCGTATGATTCCTCTTTCTCTATCAACGAACGGCTCGCGTGCTTCTCAATGAACCGACCTTTAATGCACGCGCACGGAATACAAGACAGTAGTTCATTGATTTTAGAGAGGTTGCGAGGTGTAACGACGCCGGCCAGAGAAGTTTAACGTTCTCACCGTCAGACTGAAGAACGCGATTCTCCTCGTTCTGGTCTAACGAACTGGATAGCTTGCAAGTCTGCGCTTTTTTCCACGAATTCACTCTCTGCGCCCCGTCGTCCAGCCTACGCGACCATTTAATTACTTTCATCGACGGAAGTCGGCATTTACGACGGCTGCTCGTCGCCAATTCATACTAATTCGGTGAACGAACCAGGGTGATAAGTTCGAAAACTTGGATGAAAGACAAAGAACAAGATCAGAACGTACTATTATGAAATATCACTGGATTGAAATATCAGTGAAATAGAGGCTAATCGCGCCGAAATGAAGAACAATAGAATTAGAGTAATCAAATTTCTTAACTGAATTGAAGCTCGTCTGACAATTTGAAATTGTTAGCTTTGGAAGTTAGTAAATTTCCATTATCGAAAAGGAATGAACGAAATGTTCAAACACGATGCTTGTAACAAGGCAGAAATTGCAACGTAACGCGTATCTGGCTTTTAAAGATAAACGATAGTCGTCTGTTCAAGCTTTACGATCTCCAGAACCGATTGTAAAAGTTGAATGCCTGCATTTCGTGCTGCTTATCATATTGTTTGCCATATCTTTGTTCAGATTATATAGAAAGAAAAAAATGAAAATTATCGCGATAATTCTTCGAGGTGAATGGAAAATAATCAATGAGAGAATCATTGATTAGATACTCAGGCTGTATTCGAAGCAAAGCTATATGAGATTAAAAAATAAAATACCTAGATGTCCGATAAAATTGCTCGGATTCGCTTAATTAGCCAGCTCAGACGGTCTATTTTCTTTGACGATCGTGCTAAAATATTCATTGTGCTATTAGCTGAAAGAGATATATTTACCCGTACACCAATGTTAGCCGTCTAAGTCTTTCCAGGATTAATAATAAATCATGGAATCACTTTTAGACGGGACTAAAATTCTCTCTTTAAACGTGTATCATTGATTTTCAAAGTACTTCTTTTGGGTTCGATAAATTATTCACTTTCTATTGTAATAGCAAGTTTGTTTTTGTAAATTAAATGGGAAATGCTATATTCGTTCGAATCGAATCAATAAGAAATTATACTTATCGCTTGAAGGTAATTTATTAGCTAGGGATATTCTATTTTACCGACTGCTGTAGATGGAGCTTATTGTCGAGTTTTCATTTTGCAACCGACTAAGCTGACTTTGATTTTAAATTTTGATAAAAAATCTTTTCTTTTCTGAAAAGTATTAACTATTACTTACATGATTAGGTAACTGGAGAATGAGGAGTATTAAAATTGGAAAGTAGATTTGATAAAAACACTTTTTTTTCAGTTTGATTATAGCAATACAAATACAAGTTACAATTTTAAAGCATTCAAAGGGGACTGCAAGTTAATTACTCATTGAATTTTGGAACTTTATTGTACCAGTCTATTTTGCAAGTTTCTAAAGCTCCTTGCTTTAAAAAGTCGCAAATAATATAGACAAGAATCAAAATCAATGAGCAGGACATGGTATAAAAGTAATATACTTTATAACAAAGCGATGAAGTACATTTCTTGTTAATATCTATGCTTGTACTTACAAAATTTCAATGTTAAAGGAATACTTTGCTACTTGTTTAGATTAATGATAAAATAGACTAATTAAGGAATGTACGGTTTCAATCATTGATTGAAATTATTGCACTTTATGGCTTGTTCGGTGCACTTCTAAGTCTTTTAGGAGTTGTGTACCTAATGCACAGGAATACCAATACAATTAATACACTGACAATGGCTATTCCTATTCCTAGCCAAAGTTCTCCTTGTACATTAAGTCTATTCAGAGCAATTTCGTACAATGCCAGAGCACCATCAGGTGGTTCGCAAGCTGCTTGAACAATAATATCTTGCCTCTGAATTTGTTTTGGCTTGCAGTTTGTCAATTTATTCATTGTATCTGTTTGATGAAGCAGAGGTAGCAGCAATGACAGAGACCATTGCATGGGACTGATCTTCTGATACCATCCTGGCAGATTTTCTAAATGCAAAGTTACACCTCCTGCCAAAGTCATTTCACCAATCACGATTCCAGCAAACAGGGAGGCCAAATAAATCCACTTGCATGTGTGAGCGAACAGAATACAGATCAAGTGTTGCAGTATCAAATACAACAAGCCGATGCCAAGATAATTCCAAAGGGATGTCAGATTTTCATCCGGCACTAAGTGCAGTCCTGACATTGCGTAGCCTGGTGCTAAATATATTAAATAAACTATACACCAGGACAATATTCCACAAAGTAACTGAAAGTAAAAATGAGTTAAGCACGAATGAACTCATATATTCTTCAAGCAGAAACTTACCTCCATAAAAATGTATATAAATCTACCATAGAGGCCATCTTTAATGTCCCTTTCAACGTTTGGCCTGCAGTCGGCTACCTCGCAAATCGCCATTAGTGTCAGAGGCCAGAATAGGATACCTAAGCTAGCGTAATGAAAACCTACTCTATCCCTTAAATGTAAATTCGAGTCCCCGGCAACATCCCAAAATATTGCACCAAGTAAAATACTGAGCGACGCAGAGATGACTATCTTCCGCAGTAATCTGGTTAGCGTCCAAGGCTGACTGTAGATCAGCGTTCTCAACAGCAACGCATAGATCTGAGTAAATATATTAGGACTTGAAATGGAGGGTGGCAATGCACCGGGTGGTCCAGGATCGCATAACGGCGGTAGTCTCGTCCTTGCTAATTCAGCTAAGTGATCTATCCTCTGGGAGGATTCCAGCATCGCCTCAGCAGACAGATCATCCAGAGTCACCAGGTCAACTGAAAGAAGATCAAGTGATTTAAATTAATAAGAATGAAATCACGTGTCTATTGAACGGTAAAGTGATACGTACGATAATAATCAGAAGGATTCTTGAACGGAGGACAAGGGAATTCGGCTAGTGCAAAATATGGCAACATATCCCTCCTGGGACCAGAGTACATGATCCTGCCGCCAGAAGTGAGCGCAACCTTCGACACCATGGTCAATATTTCATAAGTGGGAGGATGCAGTGTCAACACCACTAACCTCTGCCCTCTATTCGCCCATTGTCTTAAATAATCCACCAGGAAGAAGGCGTCGAATATGTCCAAACCGTGCGTCGGCCTGTCTAACGCCAGGATGTGAGAGTCTTGCAATAGTCTACACGCCAGTGCCAGTCTTCTAGCCTCGGAAGTAGTCAAAGAGTTCACCAGACAATGCTTGGTAGCTTCCAGGCCAAGCTCCTGGAGTATTGCTTCAGCCTCGAGCTTGGAAGTGTTCGGGCCGCCCCTCAGCAACATGTAAAAGCTGAGGGTTTGTTGAGCGGTTAGACCTGGACTTAGACTACACTCTGTAGATAAGTAAGCCACGCGAGACCTATAAAAGGAGACGATGTAAGAACATGAGAAAAGTGATCTCACGTAGAAAGCATACCTCAAGGATCGTGACGACACTGATCTCCCATTTAACAGGATATCCCCTCGCTTGATGCGTTTTCTACCAGCAATCGTCTCCACGATCAGCTTCCCCTCTTTCTCTGTGGTCGCCATGATAGCCAGAACCTCAGTGGCTCCAGCTTCCAAAGTGATTCCACGAAGCAAGGGTAATCCATCTGATCCTGAAGCTTCCACGCCACGAAGTTGAAGATGAGGATGCTGAAGACAGGGCACTGGTCTGAGGGGCAATGCGTAACTTTCTGGGCCCAGGATACCGTGTCCTGAAATACGTTACCAAGTTGAAACAAAGTTGAAGAACCAAGAATAAAGAATATTTGTCTTTATGCAATGATGAGATGAACTTGAAACGACTGGTAGGCGTAATCGTTTAACTTGGTCGTGCCAGGTTTCAAGCCCAAACTTCATCCAAGAAGCATTTTTCCAGAGTAGCACCTTTTCTCACAGGTGCAGAAGATACCTCTAGGTTCATGGACCCCGTAACCAGGATCAATCGGCGCTATGCTGTGCCTCCGGTTGTTTTTCGCTCCTCCCTGAAGAAGATTCGCCTCGCTCGCGCTTCTTAGCCGCGGATTCTCCCGGGAAACCGTTAGCTGCGAGTGCGCGTGCTCCCTGGGCACCGCGTGAACGTGCCTGAAATCGGGATCGCTTCTGGCGGAACGCATAGCCGAGGTGGTCCCGTGGCCAGAGGTCCCGGCATGGGACACACGGCGTCCTTCCTCGCTGGAGTCATAGCCGCTGGACCCGTCGCGATTCCGTGAACTCGGAGGCAAAACTCGTGGCAGACCGAACTTTAAATAGGTATACGAGTTGCTAGCCAGAGGACTCTTTGGTCCGTATCTAGGATGCCTGAGTATGCTCTGCACCGTCGAGTCGCGTAGCTGGAAGTTTCCGTAAGGAAGAGGAGACTTTTCTGCTGATCCCAACGCCGAGTCCGTGAAGTCGGAATTCAAATTTTGCCTGAAACAATCGACGCTCACGTGGGCTCCTTTTTCGAAATATCATCAGGATGGAGGAAAGGAAATCACCTGTAGATGGACCAGGCATGCAAGTCTTCACTGGCGGGTGGTTCTAATCCTCTGGTGTCCAAGGCTCCCGGAACCGAGTATCTTCGTTCCAGCTCCCACGCTTCCGAACCCATGCTTTGCGGTATCTGAACAGTTCATGCGAGACTGAATTGAACGTTCCACGGATTACCGTTTCATAAACGAATATATCTAAACTCTATTATGCCACATTTGCAACCCCGCTGGAACTCTACTTGGACTTGAATGCCTCATTGATCAAGAGAAAGGTATGCTGAGATGAAATCATGGTACACTAGTGGAATTAATTCTGGACACATTTTTAGAATTAATTTCACCAGTGTATAGAAGATTAAAAATAGATATTTATTTTCTTTGGAAAGACTTATAATTTGTATTGTTTTATTATATCGATGGCATTCGTTTAAGTGGTTCCATGTTAATAACAAATGTATTCGAATGCGGCGTTATTGAAATCACCATAACATTCCAACACCATGAGTAAACACCGTGCGAATAATCGGCGCGCCTTTGAAATTACTCGCTGCCGAAGGCTCGAAATTGTTGAGGCCTGGTGGTGGTGTTGTGAAAGGAAAACGTGCGCTTAACTGGAATATCACTGATTAATTCTGTTGTCAAATAGAAACCAGTTCTATTTTTAATACTCGAAGCCAAAGGTTTTGATTCTTTTACTCCATAACGTTGGTAAATATTTACATCATTATTAAATTCCTATCAGATTACATGGTACGCGTGTTATTCGACCTGTAACCGTCATCGAGTACACAAAAATAAGTTCTTCTCTCGCTGGTTGCCCCAGCAAATATAAGCATTGTCTATAGACATTATTATGCTCATTGTACACGGATACGAGGCTGAGACACGCCGTTTAACGGTGATACCGACGATGAACTTGGAAGTGCATACGTGATGTCTATTTCAAGACTGCAACTTGGTAGAGATGATCATTGTGATTCAACCCTATAGACTTCTACTGAAATAAGCTATATATTCACCCAGTATTGTATTATAATGATACAAAACGCAGCTATGATTAAAAATAAGCACAGTAACAGAATAAAAAAAAAGGAACAGCTGTCATTGAATGCTGGTACTTATCATATCTGTCAGTATTACAATAAAACTGGGAAACTGGATGATAATGATACACAGAAGAAACTTGTGCATTGAATTCTCTATGCAAATGCTACTGTCCCATGTCAGATGCCATCAGGAAGATATTTTTTTTCCTGAAGCCACAACTGCTTTCCCGTTAGATGTTGACTCACTGGCTAAGTGTTTGTGCGAAACTGAACATCCTCAAACAAAACGTTCCCTCTTTTCTCCAGATATCAATCAGTGGATACTTGATATTGGTAGGAAAAAAATCAGTTGGTGCTGATCGTTGAAGCTCTCTCTCTGAGAATTTTGCCTTCCAACAAGGCTGCCTCTTGATTATTTGGTAATGGATTGTCCGTCTTCTTGGAACCGTTCACTGCTCGTCCACCATCAGCTGATATTTTTACCCGTCATGAAGTAACGGTATACCCTGTTCGTCACTCCAGAGCTAGCCAAGATTCTGTGTTATTTGCAACGCTAATCGTCGTTCTTGATCCTTATCCACCTGATCTCCGATCAAATGTAACCAGGTTCTTCAGATTCTCAAGTAGCATCAAACATCTTCTTTATAATTTTTGTTAATTTAATACCGGTTTGTTAATTACAGTCTCCGTCTTGATCACGGGTAACACTTTAACAGCTCCTCCAGAATATATTTTTCAGAATAGAGTATTCAGGATTCTAATCGAGGTCACTTGTGCCCGCATGGTGAACGCTGCGGGTTCCCACTGCCATTATCACCCTATGAAATGGAATTACGGATTCTCTCTGCGACTCTTTCTCCTCGTGGACTTCTATAGGGTGATACTCCCGCAAATGTGCTTAAAGGAAATGCCGCCACACCAGTATGAATGGACCTAAGCCCAAAACCTTTTCACGGACCCAGCCACAGTATGCACCCCCGTCGAGATAGCCCAGAAAAGAGCTTGGGTCCATTCATACTGGTATGGGGGCGTTTCCTTTAAGGGGGTAGACACGGTAATAGTAGTGCGTTGACATTACCGGCAAAAATGGGCCTAAACAGGGGTTTATGGGAATCGGTTACTCGTCCTTATATGAGAAGATTTGGGGCTGGGTGAGGGCTTATTCGAAAGAGGAAGGTCCAATGCAGTACGGTCAATTCATGCTTCACTGGGATTATGTTGAATCACCCAGGCGAGAGAACCACCCTGTACATTTTAGTACAGTAGTCCCTATACAGGGTGATCCTCTCGCTAGCGGACCCGAAAGGTAGTGCCGCCACAATAGAATGTAGAAGTCGACATCCCATTTCTGACGGAGGTGGCCCCCTCTGTTTTCCGCAGCGTTTAAATCCGGCGTTTTCGGTAATCCGGCAGTGCTCTGGTCCGATACCTGCCGAATTACCGAGAGACCACTGTATCTGCTCTAAGGTTCTACTCCAACTCTTCTTCGGATCGCAGGGTCCGCGACCGACCCTCTAGGACGCTGATACGCGTAATGACTCGCGTAACCGTAATCCAATTTACGTAACTTCGCGTAAGGCTTTTTTTTTTCACCCGATAACTATCTCGGATTCGAGTTAACTGTTCATTTGCATATCCCGTTTCTGCAACAGTTGTATCGGCTGCCCGGCGATTTCGCGTTACGCGCGCTGGCTTGTCATTATACGTTACATTTTTATTTTTTTTTTTTTTCTTTCCACCGACCCCTCGCGCCAGTTCACCGGCTGAGAAACGCGAGACACACGGGTCCATAAAAGTCGTCGGTTACTTTCTGAAATGCTTCGACGTGTCTGGCGTCCGGTGAACCGTGCCTCGTAAGCCAGCGCCAGTTGATATTTAATTAATTCCTCGACGCGACGGTTCGCTGATTTTCATCGCGAACATTAGACGAATAAGAGAGCACCGGCTGCCTGGTCGACATGCAAATTCACTTTTCAATCCACTGATGTTTAGAACACTGCCGGTGAAAAGTGATAGTTCTATGCTACGATGTCAGTCCACGAGCGTTCCCTATTGTTTTCTACGTTTCTAATAACGTTCCCAATATCGATGACATAAAATTAATCGAAACGAACACCTGCGACGTATCAATTTGTAGATGAACCATCGGAGAGAATTGTTACACGTACATGTTTCTCGACTGGGAGAGCGCACTTTATGAAACGAATTTTAAAATTTCAAGGAAGAAGCTGAATAGCCTGCTGGCTCGTTTAGAGGAAACGATGCTGTGATTTCGAAATGACTTCCGGTGGCTGTGGGACTGTCCCACGCACCAATTTCTACGCGTGCCTCTCAATCGTACTCACGTGACAGCGTATCTTAATAAGACGCTACCTGAATACGTGGCCTGGATACCACGTGCGCTCACCAATCTTGCCTGCAGACTTCTCTTAGAAATTGTGGAAAGTTCGGCAAATTAACTGATCAGAATTTATTATCCAAAGTGGTAACTGATACATTGAAAAACTTTGAAAGTAAAATTAACGCCATGGGGGTTACTAGTGACCGGACCCACAGCTTACACGTGCCTGAATAATTAAAAGAAACCAATAGAAAAACATTATTTTAAGTAATATTGCTATGGTACAAATAATGTGAAATGGTAAATGGTAAGCTTGAAATTTGAAAATTAATTATTACTATTCGTCCAAGAAGAAATGCCCAATTTCACTGTGGCATTGAACGTGTTAAAATAGACTAATGAATAACTGGAAGCATAAGCCAAGAATTTTTCACGTTTGTTTTCTTATTAAAAGAAGACACCAAGGTCAGTGTCGCTGCCTTTTTCATTATTCCATCGTGGTACGTACACTTGTGCGCGGTGAGGAAAAGTTAATTAACATTGCAAATACATGGGGTTCCGCGTAGCGTCCATGGCACGTGAAAAGGTGTAGAGGCACACGTCTTGTGCGCTCATTGAAGTCTCTCAACGTAGCATCGTCCAGCCCGTAAGCCGTGTAGCCACTTCAACGCGATGGCACCATGAAATTCATAATCTATACATACTATTGACTCTTCGGATTTTTCAGATTGTTAAAAGTGTTAAGAAGAATGTTTGACTAAAAAAGAAGCAGAAGAAACGAGATAGATTGAAACTGATCTCAGTTGCTCAGAATCGCACAATAATACAGAGAGTTCAACATTGGACGATTACAATATCCGAACGATTACGATTTTATTATCGACTCGGTGAAAGTACACGTGAAATTAAAAGCATTCGAAGAAAGTAACGCCACGGAATATTAAGCACGTTCCGCGTTCTCCAAACTCGTATCCAACGATGCAGTCAGACATGCTTTTTTAAAGAATAAAAAAAAAAGAAAAACTAATTCCCTCCTTGCCGAAAGAATTGATCGAGTGATAAACTGTATCCGATACTCTAAAAACAAAATACCGGAACGTTTCTAATCACCTGTTGCTTTCACCGTGTAACAGGTAAACCTTTCTCATTATGCAAAATCAGGTTTGCCAGTCGTTGAGGCATGACCGACGGCGCGGAATTAAAGCGGTGAGCACGCGGTGTGTTAACCGTTTCATTGTACTTTTATTTTCCCTTCGGCAAGAGAATAGAGAGCAATGATTCGGCACCTCGAGACACCGAGGACAACTCTGTACCGCTAATTGGCTGCTGCTTCGATAAACTCGCGTTGGAAATGGCGTTCCAGCCACAAACGCACGGATCCCTCGAGCAATGTTGCAACTCTCGTGAATCGCAATCCGTTGCGGTGCGTTATAGAAAAATAGAGCGGCATAATTGGAGAGAATTGGATACTCGCGCGTGTGCAAGACACGCTGGTGAAACTGGTCCCTAGGACCCACGCGTGACACCGGAGAGCTCGCGTGATACATTGCTGAAGAATCTTGGCGACAATGACTCACCGCCGGTATTCAGGATGAGCTTCGAAGAGAGCCACGTCCAGTCAAGAATAATGCTGCTCCTCCATTCCGAACACTTCTTCTTTCTCTGCGATCGTATCTCGAAACTGTTACCCTAAACACGCTACGTTTTGTCACCTGAGAAATGGCAGGACGCGTTCCGCGAACGCATCACCCGATCCGCGATCGCGATACTGCAATGGCATCGGTATGCCCAACGCCGGAGTACCTTTTCTAAACGCTGCCTTCTGACAGACGTGCCTTCCGAGTCTCTCCTGCGGACCCCTTCTCGGTCCTCCTACCTTCCCTGTTGGTCTTTCAAGTTCGTAGCGACGTAGCTAGTGACCCAGGGTACCCCGGACTTAAGTGATCTCAACGAAACTTTGATTCTTAGAATTATCTATTCTCCATTGCCTTTCAATTTTATTTTATTTTGATGGACTGGCAAAGTGTATTCGATGAACTGTTCTATTGTACTAAAGAATCTATTGGTTCCGTGATGGCTGCCGATTAGGTGATACTGTTTCAATGATACTTTTTGAAGTATGCGAGGTGATGATTTGGAAATTATATTTTCCAGGGGGCCTGGTTCGATAGGTACACCTCTGTGCTACCTTCGACCTCCCACCAGTTTCCTTCGAGAGGAGACATTCACCTCGCGAAGCCAACTCCCAGGTATCGCCACCAATAGCTGGCCACTTCTATGGCCACGCTGCTCGCTGGTAGATCATCCTGTTCGCTGTGCGTACGACTTATTTTCAAGAACTGACGCGTCAACTCAGAGAACGCGCTCGGTGAACGATCATCAGCCTACCGGAGACTCGAGTCTCTTTGTTCTCCCAGGTTGGATCACTGTTAAGGTTCCTCTTGATCCGTTTACGAGGAATGTGACTTAGAAAGATCCAAGATGATCCCATCAGACTGTACTTTGGACATCTCGAACGTGTTCCACTCCACTGCTGTGGTGATCGAGGGAAGTTGTCTGAGTAAATCGGAGCCAACTGCAGTATTGAGAGACGTGTCTGCTAGAGTACACGGCGGAGAAGTGTTGGCTATTCTAGGATCGAAAGGATCTGGCAAAAGAGCCTTACTCGATGTCATTGGTAAGGCAATGTTTCAGATACATCAATGAGTTGATTCTAACGGCGATTGCTTTTTAGCTGGGAGAGCAGAGGGTGAGACCAGGGGCAGAGTGACCCTCAACAATAATCTATTGACTCCAGAATTGTTCAGGCGTCATGGCGGATACGTAGCTCACAGATGCCACTTGTTACCCAGTCTGACTGTCCGTCAGACTCTGACCTATGCCACTTGGCTGGCTAATTTGAGCAATAGGGATGCCAGGGTACGTCAGACACTGGCTGATCTAGCATTGTCCCAAGTTGCTAACAGGCCAGTGAACGATTTGACCAAACCAGAGTACAGGAGACTGATGTTGGGTGTGCAACTTGCTAAAGACCCCACTCTGTTACTCTTAGATGAGCCTACATGGGACACTGATCCCTTGAACACCTATTTGATCGTTTCCATGCTTTGGTCCTATGCGACCAGAAGAGGATCCATCGTTGTTCTAACGATGGAAACTCCAAGATCAGACGTTCTACCGTTTGTCAGTCGGGTGACTCTTCTCTGTTTGGGCGCGGTGGTCTATTCCGGGCCAACTAGGAGCATGTTGGATTACTTCACTTACATTGGATTTCCCTGTCCAGAACTTGAGAATCCTTTGATGTATTATTGTGAGTACTTTAATGAAGGATAGGAATGATAACTGGAAATCAAAAGATCATTCCTCGATTTTTAGTGTGTTTATCGACCGTCGATCGTCGATCCAGGGACCGTTTCTTAGAGTCCAATCAACAGATATCCGTGCTGGTTGAAAAGTTCAAAGCTGAGGGTGCTGTTTACATGAAGGAGGCTCCGCAAGTGCCGCCCAACGTCAAGGACGCGGCTCTTGGCATTATGCACAAAGGTTTAGGCCGAGGAATCAAACCTGGCTGCTTCTCCACTCTTCTTGCTCTTTACTTGTATGTATTTGAAAATATGTCGCATTGCTCCAGCGATGGTTATGGCGTGTCCATTTTAGGAGAGGCATGGCAGCGACGTTTGGCTTCAATAAGTCTGGTTTAGGACACTTCGCTGCTCGACTATTACTGCTACCATTTTCTGTAGCCTTAATGAGCATCTTGTACTCCCATTCTACCCCCGTACAGTCTAGAATATTTTTACAAACCGGAGGCTTGATGTTCAACGTACTGACTCTATTTTACGTTGCTGGTATAGCGTCAACGGCTCTCCTCTGTAAGTTATTAGCCATCATTTTTCTACGTAACCTGTTAATAACACAAGCAAAAAGTAACATTACTGGCTCTAATTTAGTACATGGGCTGCTCCCTCCAAGGGAGGGGGTTAGTTAACTAATTTCAATAATTTTGAAATTGAAATTGCGTGGCCAGCCGGAATATTAATATAGCCTAACTTAACCTAATGTGGATTAGCCGCCATATTTGCAATCCTCATCCTCCAAGCTATCCAACGATATAGGTTACACCCCAATGGGAAGCAGCCCATATACTAAATGATGCCAAATTCAAGTTCACCGCAACTTTGAACCCCTATATCTCCTCCCCCATAAGACTTCGACACCTGCAGTCGCCATATTTGTAATCCTCATCCTCCAAGCTATCCAACGATATAGGTTACGCCCCAATGGGAAGCAACCCATATACTAAATAATGCCAAATTCAAGTTCACCGCAACTTTGAACCCCTATATCTCCTCCCCCATAAGACTTCGACACCTGCAGCCGCCATATTTGTAATCCTCGTCCTCCAAGCTATCCAACGATATAGGTTACGCCCCAATGGGAAGCAGCCCATATACTAAATGATGCCAAATTCAAGTTCATCGCAACTCTGAACCCCTATATCTCCTCCCCCTTAAGACTTGTGGGGAGTAGCCCATATATTAAACTGATGCCACATTAGTTAATCGTTCAGTTCCAGGTTATCGAGCCAGATATTATCAGGAGAAAAGGGAAGGTCTTTATGGCGGTGCGATGTTCCTAACCGCATACGCGTTGCTGAGTTTACCGCTGAGTTTCATCTCAACCATGATCACCATTGGCATTCTCACGCCCATCTTGGAATTAGATCTGTCCTCGTGGGCATACGCTTGCGGTGTTCTTTGGGCCAGCTACGTTGCAGCCGAACAAGTAACCGTGGCTGTGTTGATGGTAGTTGGTAAACCCATAACAGGCGCCATAACCGTACTCTATATGACATTAGTGTCTCTAGTGATCGCTTCTGGTGCAATCAGGAGTCTGAAAGGTTTACCCTACTGGCTCGCCGCGGTGTCCACCGCGTTACCAGCAAGATACGCGTCCTTAGCCCTGAATCAATTGGCCATCGACGTGCCTGAATCGTTGAATTTACATTACAACGAGAGCTTCGCCTGTCCTGGGATACCAGAGCTGTGCCGATATCCGGACGGTAGGTCCTATCTGATCGAACGCTTCACACGGGAGGGTGAAAACATTTCAGAAGTGTTGAACGTTGATTTGAATCTGTTAATCTCGTTGGCGTTCGCCGTTGGTCTGAGCATACTGAACAGTGTCCTTTATTTGTTACCACTTCCAGCAAGAGTGAAAGCGAAATTTCGAGAGTGAGCCGTTGTATGATTTATTCTTTTAGAAATTAAAATTATAGTTTATTTTTCAGCGTGTATATTACAAAATTATATTATTTAGTTCGTTAAAAACCTAGCTACCATCTTGCAGGAAATAGATTTACAATAAAGTATACAAACCTTAAAGTTACCTATTCATAAATAATTTTACAGTTTAAAATTGTATTTATCTGCACGAGTAACTTTCCTGTTGCTACGTTGTGCAAACTTAGAAACGAAGCAGGCTTTTTTCAAAGTTCATCGATCTTGCCGGTAATTGGAAGTACTTGAAATTAAGATTATCCCTATTGGCAATCGGTTAGCTCTACTTGACCCATTTCTTTAAGATCATCGGCTACTGAAAATTCGCAGCCGGTAGAGCTAACGACTTCGCTTATATCGATATTGGGTGCAATTTCGATTAATTTCAATCCTTCTCCCTGGATTACTTCAAATACAGCCATATCCGTAATTATTAAGTCCACGCATTGTTGACCTAGAATGATATACCAGAACATGAATAAAATATATTTAGTCGAAGCATAGAGTTAACTGGTACCTGTTACGGGTAATGTGCATTGCTTCAAAATCTTTGGGCTTCCATTCCTAGCCTTGTGTTCCATAGTGACCACTACTTTTGTACTTGCTGCAGAAACTAAATCCATAGCTCCTCCCATTCCCTTTACCATTGTTCCTGGAATCATCCAGTTGGCTAGGTCCCCATTCTCTGATACTTCCATAGCTCCAAGCATGGTTAAATTGACGTGACCCCTGAAAGAGCGAAGATTAATAGTAATTTTCTATGGGATATTTTATTAGCACGTACCCTCGAATCATGGCGAAACTTTCGTCGCTACTGAAGAAGGAGGCACCTGGCAAGACCGTTACTGTCTCCTTTCCAGCATTGATAAGATCTGGATCAACTTCGTTTTCATCTGGGAAAGGACCTAGCCCTAGAATACCATTCTCGGACTGCAAGATCACCTTCACGTTCTTAGGAATATAATTACACGCGAGCATTGGGATACCGATTCCCAAATTGGCTGTGAACAAATAAGTTCATTAGGCTCTCCACATTTTCATCACATTAGTTGCTTCTTTAACCGTCTTACCATACATTCCATTTTTGAATTCAAGCGCAGCACGTCTGATGATCCTCTCCCTCGCTTTACCCGCCGGTGTGACCTTCTTAGGCTTCATATTTTGTTTGGTGTATCGTTTCTAAATTTGTACAATCAGTTTTGTAAATGATCTTGTTCGAAATCATTTTTGTATAACTTAAAAAATGTACAAACCTCTACTCGTTTCTCGTATTTTGTTCCTTTCACAATTCTATCCACGTAAATACCAGGTAAATGAACATGATCAGGATCTATTTCACCAATTTCTACTATTTCTTCTACCTCAGCAATGGCTACTTTAGCTGCTTTGCACATGACCGGGTTGAAATTTCTAGCTGTCTTTCTAAACATTAGATTCCCAGCTTTATCTGCTTTCCAGGCTTTTACAAGAGCGTAGTCTCCTGTAATCGCAGTCTCCATCACATAATTTCTACCGTTGAACTGGGCCACATTCCTTGGTTCACCAGATATTTCTGCATTTCCCTTTTCATCGTATTTCACTATAACATTACCCTCTTGAACTATAGTTCCAAACGCAGTAGGGGTATAGAATGCTGGTATGCCAGCTCCACCTGCACGAACACGTTCTGCCAGTGTACCCTGTACAAATGTTTAAAATACAATTACAATATTCTTTGGATATTGTACGGTTGGATTAGAAATTCTTATTATAAAATATAACCACCTGTGGTGTTAATTCAACTTCTAATTTACCGCTAAGGTATAGTTTCTCAAATTCAGGGTTTTCACCGACATAGGAAGAGATCATTCTCTTGATCCTTTGTTGCTTTAAAAGTAAACCTAATCCAAAATCTTCCACTCCTGCATTATTTGAAACAACAGTTAAATCTTTCACACCCTTTTTTAATATAGCGGCAATTAAGTTTTCAGGAATGCCACAAAGTCCAAATCCACCAACCAAGAGTTTAGCACCGTTTGGCATATCTGATATTACTTCCTCCACATTTCTAAATACTTTTCCTTCTCCTACTGGTGGCGGTGGAGGTACCGTTGGTTCTTCCTTTACTTCAGGGATATCAGTTTTGATAGAAAAATTCACAGAGCATATCTGGTAATAGAAAGATTTTTATTTCATTTGTTATTAGTAATACAAAATGGTTATTTCATTTAATATTATTAACAGATAAAATATTCATTTTCAGGTATTCAGAAAAACAGAGGTTATTAAGTATTTTTAATGAATATTAATATTACATACCCTTGAGAGTTTGAAATTTTTATAATTACACCTTGAACCTGTGCTTACACGGAGAAGCAAACAACCAGCTCTGTTTATGGCAAAAATCATGATTATGTTCTATAAGAAAAAGCAAGTAGTTAAATAAGCTGTACGTTTATGCAGGTTAAATCTTGTGGTGCTTTTTCGTCAGCGATATCAATGTTAACTTGATATACAACAAGTTCTTATTTCAACTTCGTTAATGTTTAATTGAATATGCAAATATTTAAATTTAAATATTATCTGGACTGAGAAATCCAAGGATTAGAATAATTGCATACGTTTAAAAATTTGAAACGAATTCTGCTATGTTCATCGCGCGGGTTTTTTTAAACTTGGCAATTTGTTTGCCACTGATTATATCGGATGTTTTTTTAACTTTACTTTTCTCTTATTTCCGCGTTATCGCAACGTTATCTGTACACTCGAGTAGAAATGATGAAAACAAGTTGATAGTTCTGGCATTCGCACAGATTACTGAATCTGACGATTTGAAATAATCGATGATACGTTTCTGATCATTTATTTATAAATTTATAATATAAATTGTACAAACTTTAAACGCTAATACTACAAATAATTTACATTTTAATCTGCTTCGGTAGACTGATTCCAGTTTAAAGATCATGATTTTTCAACTTTTCTCTATTAATTTACAGAAATCCTTGTATCATCGATGCCTCCCGGCTCTGGCATCGGTAACAGCGCCCCATAATTCAATGACAAAATCGTCGGTGAATCCAAATTCTTCCAAATCAGAATTATCAATAGCTTCAGCAAACTCCATACTGTTATCTTTTCCTTCTGCGAGCTCCCAGATTTGTGTAGCTATATTTTAACAGAAAATTCAGTGCAATTCAATCTAAGAGTCTGTATAAATAATGTATATTCTATGTATTTGTAAATCATTCTGTGTACCTAATTCTGTATCATATATGCCCATGAAACTTTCCAGAATCACGTTAATCTTCTGAATTCCTATTGAAGCAGTGTCGTCCACCTATTCATTAAAAATAATAGAAAAGAAATGAAGATAATGATTGATAACGTTTATCGATCACTCTATGTAACTGATTACCTTTTCTATGATTTGCGCACTTCCATCGGCTTTAAACCTAAGCGTCTCTTTTCCAGAACCGTAGCCTGATTTCTTGCCTTTTTTCAGCTCCCCCCTTGGACCGATACCGGCGAAGCCATTCTTCAGGGGCTCGACAAGCCTCAACGTAAACGTGGTACCTTTTGGGATCTCTTTAAGCATCCTTGCCACCTCGTAGTGACGTTTACCAACCAAGCTTGTGGCGTCGATTTTCTCCAAGTGATCTCCTATTTCTATCACCTTTATCCTGTCGATCACAGATCCTTCCTTGATGCGCTTTATGAAGGAGTATCCTGCACCGTTGTCCGTTATAGTCAGTCCAAGGGAATCATCTGTCTTCACCAGTTCAATCTCTTTAGGCCTTCCTAGAATATCATTGGTAATGAAAATAAGTAAAACTACTGTTTATACTTAGAGACAGTAATGGTACCTTTCTTGTGGGCAAATATAAAGTCACCGACTCCTATCTGACCGCCCAGTAATTCAGTCATATCCAGCTTGTGTGTATTCAGCGTGCAAAACAGTATCTGAAATCATAAAAATTGTAAAATAATTAGAATTTGAATTCAAGGACACAAGGAACTGGAATTGAGAACAGCAGCCATCTGGCGGTGACTACGAGTACTAAGTAGATTCTTAGGGGCCCCTGAACTCCTATTTTTTTATGTATCAAAGTTGCCCCTTTCAGCTATCTTCCATCTTAACACCGAGGCTGATGAGGAAAAAAAAGATGAAAAGGATAAATGGCAACAGAAATCAGGTTTCTCTGTACCCATGATAAAAATGATCACTTGGTATCTAGAAGTTTCAAAAAACAGAAAAGATATAATTAACGACATATCAACTTTCACTGTGACTTTTAAGCAGTGTTACAGAAGGCGGTTCAATTCTGTGATTGGAATGACCTACTGCAACATGGTTAAATTGTAAACGTATGGGTAATGACGTTTGAAGTCTGGTATTACAGGTAGAACTCTGGTCGGGACAGAAAGGACGTATCCGGCAGGTCGAGAGACCACCATCCGTAACCGGTGTTTCCTGTATCCGGATCTCTCTCCCTATTCACAATGAACCATCCATTCGTAGAATAAATAGGGCATAGGGCATAAGCTATTAACCCTTAACATACCAAGGGGGTCCTCGAAGGACCCCAGAGAGTTATTTTTGGTGATTCTACCGTAACTATACCAACAAATATATCCTTCATTTTTATATGTGCCCCGGATCCGTTTAAGATAAATATTACATAATTAGTGCTATAAAACGTTCGCTCAAAAATATAAAAAGAACTGCAGAGCCCCGGTTGGTATACTGCATTACATATTTGGAGTGATTTATTTCTTGTTGAATGCACTGGCATTTATGGCATAATAATATGGAGGTGAGCGCGGGCCTGCCCATTTATGACCAGCCGGTTCCCTTGACTTCGAAATAAAAGGGAGCTGCTATCTTTGGGCCCACAAAAGCGCATCCGCCGTGGCCAACAATGCTTATTTAACTTAAATATATTTTAGTCATCCAAAGAACCTGATTTGAGTAACTTTCCACACTAAAATGTTGGGAAATTTTTTAAGTACCATGGGGTCCCAGAAGACCCCGCTTGGTAAACAACGTTGACGACTTAGGCTTGGTATGTTAAGGGTTAAATAGAAAAGCTAATTGTGCATTGTATAAACTTGAAGTTTATGCAAAACCAGAATCAAACGACGATATGAAACGAACAACTCACTTCTCCCGCTGGTAAATCATAACATTCCGCTATTTTCTGATAGAGCTCCCGCACGTTGCTGAAGCCCGATATCAGTCCCGTGGGACTTCCGTGCGCTAATTGACAGTGAAAGACCAAAGGCGATCTCGACACCCTGGACGACCGTCTTTGTTCTTGAGCGCCATTCTTTTGGTCGTGGGTTCCATTGTTATCCGACTCCTCTTGTTCGTTCTTGTTGCCATTTTGCTGACAATTGCCGTAATGCGATCCACCGTTTGACATCTCTTTGTCGGACGTCGGTGAACGCGGCGCAGCACGCGCTTTGAACAGCGGCATGGTCTCTGTGAAACCTAGCGTAGAAATTTTTTTTTTTATTAATAATTTAATAATCGTCATTTTATTTTTTATTTTTTTTGATAAATATATGTAATTGGAATTTTAATTTGAAGGTATGGAGAAGCAGATGAACAAAGAGTAAATGAACAGGGCCGGCCCTGAGATTTCGGGGGTCCGAGGGAAGTTCCGAAAAAGTAGCTCAAATAAAATTTATAAAATTAACATTACTCTTGCATTCTTAGACGCAAAATTGTCTTGTGGGGGCCCTGGACCTTGGGGGGCCCTAGGCGGCCGCCTAGTCTCTCTAGGCCCAGGGCCGGCCCTGAGATTTCGGGGGTCCGAGGGGAGCTCCGAAAAAGGGCCCCTTCACAAAAAAAAGTAGCTCAAATAAAATTTATAAAATTAACATTAAAGTTTGTATAATTAATTTAGATTTGCATTTACATCGATTAATATTCAAGTAAACATTACTCTTGCATTCTTAGACGCAAAATCGTCTTATGGGGGCACTGGACCTTGGGGAGCCCTAGGCGGCCGCCTAGTATCCCTAGGCCCAGGGCCGGCCTTGTAAATGGATAAAAGTGGGAATTATTAAAAATCAAAGGAATTGATAATATTAAGCCAAGCGACGTATGGGCGACGATAACAAGAACAAATTTACAAATGTTCAGGTGATTCATAATTTCGCAATTTTTAGATGATGATCATTCCAAGAAGGTATGTATCGTTACTTGAATTTTGAAGTAAAGTAGTTCACCTTTATAGGAGAACCACTGCAAGGTGATACTGATTTAACGGATCGTTGGCTTCGCGTTATAGTTCTCACAGTTATTAATTTTAATTTTCTAATTACTTTTAATCGAGCGTAATTCTGAAAGTCTACAGGCATATCTTCTTGTTATTGTATGCAGAACAGAAATCCTTTTATTCTTAATTAAACAAGCGTATAGGTCGCGCTTAAAACGAAAGGAACCACTTAAGATCTCTTACCTTCTCTCGGCTGTATACGAAGCAGAAAATGCTACTGTCCACAGACGGGGAACGAAACAATTGAATTATCAACAGGAAGCGATACACGAATAAACGTTACGAAGCTGCAGCATATCTGACGTCCTCCGTATGCAACGAGGTTTCAGTAGTCGACAATAATCTTCTTATCAAATTCGTTCTTATCGCAGCGCCAATTCATTGGCCACGCGATCCTACCTCATCGTAGATCGTTGATCCCACCTTCTCTCTCACTTTCGTGGATGCATACGGAACGAGAAGTTCGCGCGTGACAAGGATAGTCTTCGCCCTGTTCTCGCTTCATGCAAGTAGGTTAAACGATTTATTCGACCGAGGTGATTTCAAAACCACCTGTTTATACGTTCAAAGAAAAATTAACGCGGTCAATTTTCTTCGAGGCACAATTTCACAGAACTTGTGCGTCTAACACGATCAAGATCATAGGAGTGTATCACCGGATTCGGTGAACGGGGTTCCCTTATTCCCTCTTCAAATGTGACGTTCCCCCTCTCTTTTTACCGTCAAGAGTCGAAGTACTGTGACTGTGACGTATTATTGCAATTTAGGTGTAAATCGTATTGCCATATTCATATGTGTATGGGCGGCGGTTCAGTATAATGGCAATGTTCGAAGGGGGCGGGTGGGAGGGGGAGGGGGAGTAATACGAAACCCAAAGAATTGTTTTGAAGAAATAAACGGTTCCCGAGATATTTGCAAAAGACTGCTACTGCATCAGGATCTTACATCTGCGTGCACGTCCCTGGCAGCGCATGTGCTGGTTACGCTAACCAAACCTCATCTTAGAAAAATGTATCGAAAAAAAGTTGTTGAAAATGCTAATTTCTACAATATATTCAAATATCATCAAAATCGGTTAGGAGGTACTATATCTATATAATTATCTGTTACAAACATTTGAAACACCCGCCTGAATTTTATGTGCAGAGCAGGTTGCAGCATGCCCACGCATGCGTTGCCAGGGACGTGAACATGCAGGTAAGATCCCGATGCAGTAATAGTAGCGGTTTTTTGCAAATATCTCGGTAACCGTTCATTTCCTCAAAATAATATTTTTAGATCTTTACTCCCCTCGACTTCCTCTTTATAACTATGTATATCATACCCCTGTAAGGCGTTGTCACGATACTGAACTTCAGCCTGTGTATGGAATAAAAACAGGCGTTGAGTTTAAACGTTTTTTTTTTTTATTCGTATATAAGAAAAGTATCACAAACAACATATCAAATAATAAGATAAGAATGTTTGTATAAAATTTGTCAATGGTTCTAAACTGTACACATGTTTCTATAACAATTTCTTTTTTTCACTTGTTAAGTATACAAAAAGGTATTTCAAAAGTTTGTCAAAATTTTTCTTCGAATATTGTCAAAAAGATCTTAGCTAAAGATGTAGTAACTAACACACTTTTTTTGTTTTTTTAATGTAATACATTGTATAAAACAGTAACAATCACAGCGCACTTGTTAACAAAGAAAAATGAAAATGCACTATGGAATATGATCAGTCTATGTATAGGATTTATGTTAAGGAGCAGTACTACTTACTTACACAGTATAGTGTGTTAAATGTTTCGAATGTTTTGATGAATACTTTATATTCTATGAGTTTAGAAAAAAAAACGCTTAAATATTATTGCTGGCCTAGATGTAATTCAGGTTGAATAATAAATACTTTCCATACTTTTCCACAATTAGATTTGTGTTCCAGAGCTAAATAACTTCTCATTGGCATCAACAGATAGTCATAGGGATCTGTATTTAATTGATATTCTTCCATAGCTTGGTAAATTGCTCTAAAAGGTGGCTGTTTCTGAGAATGAAACGTTCCTCTGGAACCATGCAAAACCAAAGCACCTTCTTTCTCAGCCTTGGTACAAACAGGCATATACATACAATGATCAGGCCTGTAATTATATCTGCAGGAATATACATAAAGCTTCTCAGGATGATAATGAAATATTATATTTATTATATCTTGATCTCCCCATGTTATCTTCAATTTATATTCCTTATGTATAGGTATCACGTATTCTATCCACCTAAATTCTCTCATCCTTGTCAAATTCATTAACATCACGCCTGAGTTTACACCTAATTTACCATAATATGGGTGCTTTGCAAATCTATTATACCATCCTGTATTAGGATCTTCGTGTTCTGGACTCAGAGCAGCCAGCTGACTGGAATTCATCTTTTTGAACTCGTCCCAAATTGTCTCTGGTGGAGCTAGGAATAAGGTATCTGTGTCCACGTATAAAACAGCGTCCGTGTCGTTTAAAACTGTCTGCAATTTATAAAAATATGTATTTAATAATCATTTTTAAAATTTCATTTTTTAAATCTACTTACAGGTAGAAATAATCTTTGAGCTGCGCATGGTTTAAACAGTTTCTTCCACATGGCTGCGTCGCTTCCCTCAGGAAATGTTATAGGTTTAACTACGAAGTCAAACGTTTTATTCGATATAAGCTTCCATTCTGTTAGCTTTTCGTTGAATGCAGGAATTATATTAGTCTCTGCTAGAATAATGAACTGCAAGGGTCTTCTTGTGAAAACTAATGCAGATTTAAGCATAGTCAGAGATTCATCCAATCTGTCCCCACACACCACCACGCATATTGTTACTTCCCCTGTTATCGGGGGTGGTAAGATCTTTTTTGCTGGTATTGGGAGAATGGCAGCTTCTTTGGTTTGTGCATTGTATATCTTGTTTGAGAAATTGGTCAAATTAAGTAGTATTATTAAAGCAACAAAGATAAGGCACAAGAAAAACAATTTGTACACAGATTTCATTGTTATACTTTTACTTAAATTTCACATTGTCCACCGAATTTCCGTTGATTTACAAACGGTGGAGAATATCGTGGAAGAAATTATAATTTTCATTTTCTATCTCGTTATTTATCATTCAACTATGATTTCTTTCAAACGAGCACAATATTTATAACCTAATACCATAAGAGAACCACCATAGACAATTGGTAAATATTGTGTCTCAGGTATTCACGGATGCCATTTGAGAAAAAAATGTTAAGAAAATTGCTGGTCACATTTCTAAAGAGAAAATTCTTATTCCATGCGATTTACAGAAAAATGTTTATCGTAAAATCAACTATATACACTTTGTTACTTTCGAAAATATCAGTGTTCCAACTTGACAACAGAACCTGTTTTTAACTCCCACGTATACACCATACTTTTTCAAGGTATTGAGTAATCAGGGTGAATAATTTTGACTAAGGAATGCGTGTTGCATTCAGTATAATTTAGAAGAATTGATTTATTTTTCAACTTAATATTAATTAATACATGGTATTCATATCTATTAAGAAAGCAAAAATGACATAAAATTATATTTCTTTCTATGTGTAATTATAATTACAATTAAGTCTTCCAGAAAACGACATTTTACAATTAAATATTCTTGAACGTTTAATTTATTATATAGAAGGAAACAGGAAATAATAAAATCAAAAATATATAAATTAGTTACTGGATACTTTACATGTATCTATACATATATATATATTTGATACTTTGTTTTCATAATATATTACAGATATATAGTGATTTAAATAAGAAAATTTTATAAAAATCTTTTTAAAATAATATATATATATATGTATATACATATATATTTACAAAATTATTTTAAGTCTTCATGATTTTATAAAAACATACATTATTTTTAATGGAAGTAAATCACTGGTCCTTTCATGAATAAACTTATAAATCGTTTAATAACTAGAATATTGAGAAACTGTGTAAAAACGCATTTACAACCTTAGGAATTTGACTCATTTCCACAGAGTGAAATATATATCAGTCTGCAATAATCGATAATTCGTTTATTGCTTCAACAATTGATTTCATTATTTTATTTCTTCTTTTAATATTAATCTTCCTAGGCTAAAGTTTGCAATCCAGCTATTCGTACAAATAGTTGATTCAATGGTTCCAATAATTACACGTATCACGATGGTGGCTTTTCTAACGATATATTGTGATCTAAATGATCACAGTGTATAGGACACTGATGATAAGACACTGCACTCGCATGACCTGATCTTCCTGAAGTCATGGGAACACCCTGTTCCCATGTATCTTTAGCAGGATCGTAAATTTCTACAATACTTAAAAAGTGTTCACCATCGTATCCTCCTAAAAATATTAAGCAACAATGAATTACTATAATTATATAATGTTGGATCTGTATTTTCAAATGGTGCTTACCCATCGCGTACAATTTTCCATCTAGTACTGTAACACTGAGTGCGCTACGAGCAATAGTAACGCTACTAACAAATTCCCACGTATCTTTCTCCGTGTCGTATCTCTCAACAGAATTCAATTGTCTAGTTCCATCGTATCCTCCTACAACATATATGTACTGTCCAAGGTTAGCAACACCAGCTCCTGAACGACTGCACTTCATAGATGAAACCATTGTCCATTCGTCGTTTTCAGGATGGTAACATTCCACTGAGTTCAGTCGATCCACTCCATCGAAGCCACCAATGGCGTACAATAATCTGTTATTAAAATTCACAGAAATGATATATTATTTTGCATTGAAATCTTTATTCGTAATATTAGGTGTACCAATTAATTGTTAGTTACTATTTTAAATTCGAATAATTTCCCGCGCTTTAGTGAATTTGAAAAATGGCGCGAGAATATGATATCGATAACTGTAACTTCTTAAAAATATTTAAATTAATTAAAAAAAGAAAAAGCACCGAATTAATTTGTACACCTAATATGATATTTATTTTTTTACCTGTTAACTACCGCTACTCCAACCCCTAACCTCTTGATGTGCATCGGTTTTACGTTGCTCCACGCATCGTGCTCTGGATCGTAACATTCAACGCTATTGTGATATTCTGCACCTGCGCTACCACCGACAGCGTATAACAAACCATCCATCACAGCCACTCCTACCCGATGTCTTGGCATGGACATTGGACTACAAGTTCTCCATTGATCCATCACTGGATTATATCTGTCTACCCAATCACTGTCGTATCTGATGAAATTGTCATAAAGAATCTTTAATTTTTTTCGCTTAACAATCAAACATTGGAATTTTAAATATGCTTACGTTTTCTCTGGTGAATTATTTCTTCCACCGACTGCGTAAAACATACCCTTTAAGAACGCTCCGCCCAAACCAGACCTAGGAACAATCAGTTTCGCGTGTTGGGTCCAAGTTTTTTCATCCACATTGTAACCCTCTAAAACGTCTAAAGAATGTTTCAAGAAACCACCCGCTATATATATCACTCTTCGCGTATTGGGTGTTCTTTCTTTAACGATCGGTTTCTTATGAAGGGTTAAATCCTTAAAGATTTGTGCCAAGTATTCCCGGCACGCAGGTACTTTCTTCAAAACGTCGCAATTCTTCATTTGTTCTCGTAAAAAGTTCGGTGTAAGATACTGGCATCTAACTGCGTGCAGTATGTGCTCCATTTTAGGCCCTCTTGCTTCTTCATTGTACTTGACCCACTTTAACACAGCGTTGTAAACTTCTCTCTCTTCCTGAACATTCAGCTCATCCTTTCTCACTAGCGTTATCAACTGTATCGCTGATAACTGTAGAAACTCTTCCTCTTGACATATTTGACTAAAATGTTGAACAATAAACTGATTCGCTTTTTGATACAAACTCTGACAGCCGTGTTGTTCGGCAAAATTTGCAATTCCAATAGCATTCGTTGGATCTAACTGTCTTTCCAAGAAAACACAACACGCATCAATCACATTACTAACCTACATCAGAATAAGAATAAATGTAGAAACTTGTAACAGGCATATTTTTAGACGTGGTTGTTTTATTTTTATCTACCTGGAACATGGTGGCTGCCGATAAAAGCGAACACACTGTAATCTCTGTAACTCTTACTTGACCTGTATACATAAAGTACAGGAGACGCGCCATGCTTGTCGGAGAGACACCTTGAAGTTTTACTCTGGTCATTTCAGACTCTTTCAAACCTCCTGTGAACATTGCCTATAACATTATAAATTGTATCCTTGTCTATTTCTTGTTTACACGTTTAAGTATATAAATTACTACTCCGTATAAATTACCTTAAAATATGGACTAGCTGCGGCTAAAATAACTTTGTGCGCGTAGAACAATTCCGAGCCTACTTCCAGTACAACATCGGTGAGCATATGATGGCTACGCATTATGAACATCATTTTCATAACATCTTTAATGTAATTGGCCATACGAAATGTCATGTCACCCAGGTCTCCATGTTTCTCCGTGAATTCTAAGCCCTTGTCGTCTGTCATGAACGATGAATTGGATGCAACATTTTCAGACTTGAAGCTACCTGGAGCTTCTTTTTTTATAAAACAATCTTCTTCATCCATTAAAGTGAACTGTGAAAGTTAGAAATGATTATAATTATTTAAAAGGCTGTAAACACTGTGATGGAAATATGCACTTACCTGTGTGATTGAAAAGTCGCCAAAATATACAGAAAAGTATAAATTATAAAGAAAATTCGTGGCTAGATGATTTTTTGTACATCAACCGAAGTAAGATGGGGAGAGAAGGTGCAACTGAACAATCATAATTCATACAAGATATAATTGACGACTAATTCATTGATGTTGCACGATGACGCAGGGATTGGACAAGTATATCCCCGGGCCTGTCCCTCGATAAATGCGATGTTAACAGAACGTTAGCCACGTCAAATGCACAAATTAACATACGCACGTGCTTTTACGTGATCTTAAAACACTGACAGTTTTCCTTTTGTCTGATTGAAACATTTGATAAATCGTTTCGTCACTATCACACCGTTGTAGACTATTCTCGATGCGTTATATTATGCGTACAGCTCGACGCTAGTAAATTTTTAGAAACTGACAAGGAATTCATCTATACTATTCTCGATCAGCTTGTGAATGAAGAACCTGTATTCCACCCATGCTCGATATAACGCCAGTTGTGTATTTGTATATACGAAACGAACTAAAAAGAAAAAAAAAAAGAAAAGCAAAGATGAAATAAGTAGACGAGCGGACAGAAGATCGAGCTTATAGAAACGAACGATAATTAATGCAAAATCAATGTATATATTTACATGTCACTGTATAATCGTGACTTGTGCCCTGCCTAAATGATCGGTGAGAAATACTTTTTCGGTTATCACGAATCGCGCGCGAAACAAACACAAGCGAAAGTCCGACTGTGAAACAGCACTCGTGATCCTAAATGACGTGAATGACTTGCAATTCTTTCGCTTGTGTCTGGCTTGACGAAGCACGTAGCTTTATCCACGTAGCATTCCTTCTCTAGCTTTGAGAACGCTTTGTGCACTTTTGAACCATTGGTCTCCGATGATGATGATCTTTTTTATTTTTTTTATTCAGAAATCACATCTTTCCGTGAAGATCGAATAGTGCATTCTATAGATTGTACAGTTTGCCACATGCATATATATATATATGCCTTATACATATATGGAGTCTGCTCGGCATTATCTGAGAAAAAACCTATTAAAGCAATGTAAATGTGCAAGAAAGGATGATGTAGCAAACTCGGTGAAGGATTTTAAGCATTGATGTATTCAGTTTTTTCGATGTATTAATAATAATATATAACATTTTTTATTATGTATTTATAGTGTAAATATATTTAAAATAGGTTTTTACTGTTATAGAGGTGTATTTATTATATTATAAAGTAATATTTGTTTTAAGTATTTTAATCTTGTCATTTATTTAATGAATACACGATAACGGTGTATACATATATATATATTGTATACCGCAGTTCACCAGAGTCCATAACTGCGACGCGCAGGTTGGAAGATGGTGGGGGAACGTAGCGAGCTCTCTGCTAATCGCTTTCCACTTCGTTTGGGAGATCGCCAATCAGGGCGAAGATGCGCACTGGAGGTGCGCGAAGAACGAAAACTGGTCTTTTCGCAGTTATGGACTCTGATGAACTGCGGTATATGTATGATAATGGAGATTAATGGCCGAAGTGCTACAATGTTAACAATTTACTTGGAGGAACTGCAGGATAATGAAAAACCATGATTATTTTGAGACAATATATTTATTTTTTATTAATATGGAGTTTTCAACAATAACAGTATAATAGTAGGCGTAACAAGAGAGACGAGGTAGGTTACGAGGAACCTAACCTAATACCGTACGCCAACAAGTCACCGTAATAACAGAATTTCATGATAATTAATTAGTTATATGTATTTTCGTCTACCGTAGGATCTACAACAGTTATTTATTTCATTAAAGTTGTTCGTATCGTGCTTAGTTGCGACAGCATAAAAAGCTACTGAACACGAATTTTTCAACTTTAATGTATAATTTCAATTCTATCATTTACTAAATTAAAAGTTACATTGCTAGGTAACTAATTAAATGAACTTCACACATATCAGTGAGAACTAAGAGATACAATATGAAACACTTCATTCCTAATTGTAATAGTAAAATAAAGGAGACTCGTTACGTAATTTGGAACATCTTTGGCATTGTATTCTATGCAGAGAAATTTAATGTCAGATTTCCACGATACAAGAAGTTCCATAGTAGTGGTCATTGAAAAAATAAATTTCACAGATATCAGGAACCTTGCTCTGCAAATCGATAAAAGTTTATGCATAGAATTCAACGAACAAGTTCCTTTGCTTTTTGTTTTTAAGATAAATGTTGATTATTATAGTTTCTTATTTGTTAATATTCCATATATTCATTATCTTACTTAGAAATGTTCTCATAATAGAGTAACGAATGAAAGTTTTTATCGTAAACCTAAATAACAAGAAGTTTGACACTTTTTTTATTCAACTTTTGCTGATAAATTTTGAAAATTGAAGGAATACACTTCCGTGATACACGATGAGATTTTAATACGACAACAATATTATTTGGCAGGATTTTGAAAATCAATGTAACAATAGTTGAAATTATGGCAGTGTTTTGTAGTGTAGAATAATCTTATTGCCATTAGACATGGAATTAATATATTAAGGCTAATACGATGCTAATGATATTTTAAGTACTAATATTTAGAGTTATTTCTAAAAACTAAAGTGCAAAAGTTTATGTTAGATTTGTTAAGCAGTAACGTTAGCTTCTAATTTCTATTCACTGTGATCTCTTGCTTTCTATTCCATGAATTTTATGAGTAGCCTTTTTTCAAAATTGTAAATGAGAACACTTCACGATATTGATTTATCAAATGGAAAGAAGAGAGCACTGAAAATATTTAGAGTAATCAAGAACAAAAGATAGAGTACAGTTCTTTTTTTTCCCTTATAGTAGATAGGCCGATCTTGTGTTTCTATGTTTTCATAGTTAATAACAAAATAATTGTGTGCAGTAATTTTTCTGTTCAATTTATCAGTGAGGATAGAGTACAGATCTTTGCTCTGATCTTTCCATACAATGTTCCAACTGTACAGGTTCTTGTTGGCGCACAATGAAGTAGGGGGCTCGACCTTTAATTCAGTGCAATAATGCCTTTTCAGGTATCTAGAGTAGAAGACACATACGTACAAGGACTTTCAGAAGACAGGTTTTTGTTTATACATTCTGGAACGAATTCAGGAAGAGAACATAAGATCACTACTGAACCAAATTACTGGCAGAACCCGCTTTATCAAAGAATATTACAACTATAATTAATTCAATACGTCTATCTTTGATTTAATTAGGCTTAGGGTGACTCTAAACTGGCCCCCTATATTATTTGTATTTTGATTATCTCCTGAATCAATTGCAATATATATTTGTTATCCAGTAATATTTTAACTAACCAAGCCAGTCACGCTTCTCACTTCAAAGGAAAGTACCGAAATCATCTTTGTTGTTTGTAAAGCAACATTTTTATCGTTACATGTACAAGGTGCTTGTTCAAAATAACGATGATCTGTAAATGATGAAACTAACAAAACAATGCAATTATCCAGGACACTTTCAATGGTAGTAGCCATGTATTATCGTGCAGTCAAATGAAAATACTTACAAATGTATCAGCGAACAATTTGATTGAATCATGGAAGTTTTGTTCAAGTATAGCCTCGAACCAGTTCGTTTGAGGATAATAAGATATTATTCATGAGAGTCTGTACACTTGAAGACTTTCAATAATTTCATAATGATTCAAAGTACAGTGCCTAAACGAGAAAACTATGAAACTAAATCTCTATCTCTATACGTATAATTATAATTGTAATATAGCGAATTGCTCTTTAATACAATAACGCTATATATACAAGTAAAGAATTGGGCGGATCAACTACTCCTAAGGCCTCGCTCATCAATTATTTTTCATTAATTTAGTCCCACGCATTCGTTCTAATAATCTAGGTCGAATATAGTAGCATCAAACAGCTACTTTCGTTTCGTTTCATTCTAATCCGAAGGAAGAGAAGAAAAGAAAAAAATTGGATTCAATTCCGATGATGTCTCCCAATGCTTCTGCAATTCCTGAATAAATTTCGCCTATCACATTCGGATGAAAGGTTGCAGGATTTTGTTTCTTTTTAATGGAATAACAATGTTCCATCACCGACTGGAATCTTCAACAATAATCACTATGAGCAATGATTTCACATGTTTGCTGATTGAATCTGCTGGCGATCGGTACAAAAGAAATGATCGAAATTTCGTCCGCCTCTAATGATCTCCCTTATTTTTTTTTTTTTTTTCAACGGGCATGAGATAATCGTACGATTATGTGTTTCGCAGTAAGTGGTCATTCTACGCCGAGAGTTCTTTGAGCGAGTCTCTCCGTTCGCGATCACAAGAATTGTCAAAGTATACGGCAGTACGCGGAACTCTATAGATCAGCGTTTCTCAACATTCGCGTATCCTTTCATCTCGTTTTGAGTCGTCTACTCGATGTCACCAGAGTCCATAACTCCGAAAAGACCAGTTTTCGTTCTCTTCTGCGCATCGTCGCTCTGATTGGCTATACTCCCAGCGTAGTGGAAAGCGATTGGCGGAGAGCTCGCCGCGTTCCCCCACCATCTTCCAACCTGCGCGTCTTATGTCAGCTATGGACCTTACGTGACATATAGTATGTACAACTTGTTAATCCTCCTATCTTCGATGAACAACTAAAGGACCAATTTTCGTGAAGCATTTACCCTCACGTCTATGAAGGATGAAAAAAGAAGTTGAGAAATACGGCAGTGTATAGACGGGTGTCTATCAGTATCATTTACAACGAGGAGAGACCCACCCAGACTGACGGTTTAATGTAGAGTTAAAATGCCAACAAGAAAAATATTTTAGTATTCGTTTAAGTACTACGTATTTTAAGACATCTTCTCTACTCAAGTTTATAGCACTTTTTTTGCTTTTCTTTTTATCTTTTTTTTTTTTCAATCAACATACTCTATCATATTATCAATGTACATAACAACATGAACAGACAAAGAGATTTCGCTTCTCTCCATTAGAATTTCTCTCTCTCTCTCTCGCATACATTTTTTTCCTTTTTCTGTTTTTTTTTTTCTTAGTTTATTACATCCCCCCGCCCCCCAGAGACACTGTGTCTATGTGTTTTTTTTTTGTTTTTTTGTTTTTTTTTTTTTGGTTTAGTTATAATTTCTCGGATTCCTCTACAAATTGACCTATAAATCTGATATTGCTTAAATCAATCAAAGCCCCTCAGAGGCAACGATCCTCAAAGCTTGCTGCTTTCAAGAACTCTTCTAAATATTGGCGTGTACGTCTATCAAGGAGGATGGAGGTCGCGATGATGAGCTCTGGCACTTAAAATAGCTTTCAACTCTGACTCTAATTGCTTTTTCGTTCGTTCGCTTACCGACCGGCCACCGACCACCGGTTGGGCGGCGAGTCTCGGCGATGGTAGATCGGCCATCAGCTTACCGGTCTCCCTGTTCTCGTGACTCCTCGCTCGTCGTATGGGTTTCTTAACCGGCATCGCGTCGTCCTGGATCTTCTCGTGGCTCGGACGCTCCAGGGACAACGTCATCTCTTGGCTGAGGGTGTATGTCGAGCCTTTGGCAACGGTTTCCGTGGATCTGGCTAGGTCCACGGTACCGGAGCCCCATTCGCGGGACAACTTTCTTCCGATGGTAGAAGTTAACTCGTTCGGAGAGAGGAGAGGACTCTTGGATATTTGATAGCCAGATGAATGGGGCGGCCTCAACGTGGCGAACACCGGGAACGACTGGCCACGTTTCGCAGGGCTACGGGCGTATCTAGGCGTTGGCGCGCCGCCTACGCTCGGCTCGGCCTTCAACGTAGCCGCGGTACCACTCGTAGCTGTGTCGTTCCTCGCCGTGGCGAACGGTCGCAGGGTTGCACTGCCGCCGAAGTGGGATCCGAGGCGAGGTGGAGGCGAACCACCGTCACCGTGGCTCAATCGTCGACCGACCGTCTCCAATGGACTCCTCGCCCTGAGATTGGTGCTGCTCAAAGTGAACTCCCTGGGCTTCATCGGTGCCTCCAGACTGATGGGTGACAGGCCAAGCCTGGAACTCGACAAGTTCGTCGAGCTCCTGCTTTTCTCTGATCTCTTAGGACTTCGTGGCATCAGAGGACTCTTGCTCCTGCTCCTCTCTCTTTCTTTCACTGCTTTCTCTTCTTTCTTGAACGTTGTCATCCTCTCAGTCACCTCGAATACCGTCTCTATCTTGTCCTCTTGTTGGACTCTGTGGAATTGAAACGATTAACCCGTTGGTTACAAACGCGGTGATGCTAGCTGGAAGATTTCTGACCTCTAGCGCCTACCTTCGTATCTCCTGAATCATTTCAAAGAACTGCGCTTTACTTTTGCGTCTGCGACGCTGTTCGTGTTCCTTCTGGAACATGGACACCTTGCAGATATGCGAGGAACGGTTTTACATATGGCGGAAACAAAAATGTACTTACTCGTTTGACGCTTTTCTGGAAGAGGGATGCGATCTGTCCCTGTCGCACCGTGTGAACCAGCTCCCTGGCCGCGTGATGCGGGGAAACCAGCTCCACGCAGTTAATGAATCTGTACAGTTTCTGCGAGAAGAACATCACGTTACGGCTGCGCCATATAGAATCCTCCGGCCTGTGTCTCAGCCTGGGCAACGTGTATTTGTAAAACAAGTGCTCCCCGGCTAATATGATGGTGCCGAGCACCACACCCATCCCGAGCAGACAAAATACACCGGCCACCGATGCCACCCCTAACGGTCTAGGCTGACCCCTTTGCTCGTGCATCAAACCTGCGTCCATGCCTTTTCTTCCTCGAATACAGGGTAAACCACCGTACCTGAAAAAAAAAAAATGGGCGCATAATAATAAAGTTAATAATAAAACACTGGAATTTTTAAGTATAGAAAATGGAGAAAAACTATAAAAGTATTGCAGGAATAGCAACAAACTGTAAAACAAGAGTAAAAAGCTATTTAAAATTCTGTAAGCGATTTGAAAAAAGGATTGGCAGAGATGTCCCTAGGGTATTATGAAATAAAATGAAGGATTAGGATTATGTTCTTTGCATTTCATGTTACTATGAACTATAGACTAGTGGAACTAGAAATTTAAAATACAATTTACCATTTTTCTTGCAAAATGTCCAGCAACCCTGTACTCGTATAATTGGCAATCACTTTGGATATACTTTCTTTCAAGGGATGCCCCTTCGTGAGCGCAACAGCATAGGTATCCTCGTTTATGGTGTCCCCTATCTTCTGCAAACGGCACCCATCGTCCGTCGCTCGATAATAATCCAAAATAGGTGTGTCTGCTATAAGTATATCTAAACTGCCGTTCCTTAATCTCTCGACACCCTCGGCGACGTTCGACAGCGAATAACGTGCCATGTGGGGCCATAAATCTGGATTCGCTTTCTGTACATAGTATTCAGCCGCCGATGCCCTTGGCGCGCCAACTTTCTGTAACAGTAACTATAATACCGTCCGGTTTATTATTACACCGAGTTCGGTTCAACGGTATATTCGCAGGCATACTCACGCTTTTGTCGTAATTGCTTCCCGCTGAATGAAAGAAAAGACCGGCTATCAGGGCGGCTATGTTGGCCGTGTAGGATGCCACGAAAATAACCGAGAAACCTCCCCAAATGTTGATCAGAAACTTGTTAGGCCATGATTTTGGCGCTTTGAAGGCGACAAGGTGCCCGCATAGGAGGCCCCACATCACCCACAAAGCAGATGCTATAGAGAAGTTCTTGCTTCGTTGTCTGCCCCATGGATTCAAGCCGAACGGGCTGAACCATTCGTACAGAGCTACCGCTATGGCAGTAAAGTTCAGCGACGTGAACACAGCGATCCATAGCTCCGTACTGAACGGAAAGAGGAACGCGAACAGTGGTATTTCATAATTCGGCTTTGGCGCGGTGAGGAAGCTAACTCCGCTGAAGAAGTAAGGTGTAGTGAAATCTACAACCTCGGCTCTGCGGGCAGAGACGCTCAGAGGTGCGAAAGCCAGCTGGGCGCGACCAGAGACTAGCTCCCCCATTATCCCATTCCATGTACCGGTTCTACCGTTTCTCTTGCCGAACAGACCATCCTTAACCAGGTACAAATCATAACGGAATCCTAATTCACGGGACACCAGGGACATCAGGTCCATGGTTAAACCGTAACAGCACATCACGGTATCGCCCTGGCGACAGAATAGTCCTCTCAGGCAGATACCTTCCTGGAGGCTGGTCACCATGGTAAATGGCGATGCCAATGCTGTGACGATGCGATACATGGGCATCCCAATTTTCTCGCCACCTTGCTCCAGATAAGCTGGCACGATTCCACCTCCTGGCCAGATTATGGTATCCAAGTGTACCTCTTTTCCACCTTTAACAGTTCCCACTTTGGTCCACCTAAAAGAATTCAGATGTTTATTTTTCAGGTACCAAAGTGGAACATTGCTGAAACAAACCTCAATTGAGTCTTATTCCCAGAGAAACGTATAGCCTGCAAGTTCAACAAATGAAATTTAGCCTTGTCTTTGGAGATCTGGCTCACAGCCTTCCTCAATTTCTGTGCGAGGATTTTCGACACGTTCCTCCTAATCTCGCTGTTCAAGAATTTGAAGTTCCTCTCTGGAAAACATTCCGGTACAAAATTATCGTCCAAATGAGCCTCCGACATGTAATTTACTTTCGATTTAACTTCCACAAACGTTTCGTCCAATGCTTGCGAAGTCTCCCTTATCATTCTGGATAATATAGTGTCGCTGCCCATTAATTTGATGCCGGACGGCCTTAACGCGAGCATACCGACCGGCATGAAGTCCTTCGAGTTTAAGTCTTTGTTCATTAGCCTAATCTCTTCGTCGTCGTCGAAGTTATAAACTTTGTCGTCCTGTTTCCCGACAGATTTCTCGTTCTGCCATCTGTATTCTTGTAGTCGATGTATGTCGTTGGCCAGGCTCGGCAAAGCGTTCAACGATAACTGGCTCTCAGGCACGAGGTTCGCGGTACGGCTTATGCTCTCAACGGGAGCTGGATTTTCGTTCGTTGCTATCGAGGACCTTGAGCTGTGCAGGATATGAGAACTGATTACGTTCGGTTCGTTAGGTCTTAATTCCGCTTTCAGATCTAACCAGAGCCAAAGAAATCTTCCCTCGAGCATTTCGTATTTCCCAGCAACACCGAGTATCTTTCGAGCGTTGTTCAAGTCGCAACCCATCACTATAACTCCACCGCTTCCCCCCTCCTCGGCTACTCGCCTCAGCCTCATTTTCAACGTCTTATCGTTCGTTGGAAGGTGTATAATTTTTCTAGGCGTTAGGGTCGTCTGATTCGCGTGCAAAAGATGAGTCAATGGAAGCAAAGTTGTGTCTATCAGAAGAGTAAAGGCATGCCAGTTTGCTCTGTGCATCAAAGCGGCAGCAGCTGCTCCTACTTCCTTTGTACTCGAGCCTATACGACTTTCATACTTTCCAAGATTTCCCTGAAAGATAGGATTTTTCATTAGTTAGCCGCATATTATTATAGCCAGTGTGCGAACAAACCTGTCTAAGAAAATCTTCGTGTGTAAATGGTAGCCATAAAGCTGGAATGTTTAGAGAAGCTGCAGCTGTAACGAGGAACCTGGCTGCTGATCCTCCCCCGATGATCAGGCTCAACACTGTTTTACCGCCTTTAATTTCACCACAAAATTTATTCAATAACGATAAAGGGTTAGGGAGTAAATCTGTCTTCGGCGGTGCCTCTATGTAGGATACGTTCATGTCTGCATGAGACGACTCCAGCCTTGCTTTCTCCCATGCTTTTTGTACGTCTCTCTTAAGCGATCCTTGGGATTGAGACAAACATAGCACCACGCGCCATGCATTGTAAGATGTTCTTAATCTTCCTTTGACTGCTCTCGCAGATCTAGCTGCATCTGCAGAGCATGAAGCCACAGAGCAAAATAAAATTGCCGATAAGAAAAGAAATATGAATTTACAGGGGAAGCCAAACATCTTCATGGTTTCTCTATTTCTCCTCTTCATTTATTTAACTCCTTTCCCTCGCATCGTCCATGGAAGGTTCTGATCTAGAATTATTTCATATTTCTCAGTATATTGATACAAACAGTATCACATTTAATAATCGTGCGTTTGTCAAAATTAATTTTTTTATTTATTTTATATTTTCTTTTGACACTGTTTCTCGGTGGTTCTATTTTCTTGTACATTTACGGAATTCAATTAAATCCGATTTATTCGTTTACAGCGCGTTAAAATATGAAGTATCGAGAAGAGTTTACCTTTTACCGAAGCGAATTATATGCCGTAGATCCGGTGGTGGATGAAGAAGAGCACGAAGATTGCTTCTTAGCCGCGACATAATAGCTATCGATTAGATAACCGTGCGAATCGTCGTCAAATAATGTCAATCGGTCAGTGGGGAAGACAGGGATAAACCGTCACTTGCTCTTTTCTAGACGTCCTACCCCGTGCATAACAGCCATTTTCGTGAAGCCCCTCCCTTTAAGTTTCACCCCTACGGTATACACTACTTGCGCAGATATCTACTATATACAGGGTGTCTCAGAACTCGGGTAACACCCGGAAACAGGGGGTTCCTGGGGTGATTCTGAACAACTTTTTCCTTTACCAAAATGTCGTTTAAAGCTTCGTTTTTGAGTTATTAACGAAAAACTACTGGCCAATCAGAGCGCGCGTAGAGCGCGCGCTGAACCACGGGAGCGATGGTTCTCAACCGCGCTCGATCATGATCGTGAACAAACGCATTCGATATTCGTGAATAACAAATAATTCCATATTGTTTTTAATTTAAGACGATGTAACATTTCTCAAACGCTTCCCTCGATATCCACGCTGTGCAAATGCGTTTGTTCACGACCATGATCGAGCGCGGTTTAGAGCCAACACTTTCGTAATTCAGCGCGCGCTCTACGCGTGCTCTGATTGGTCGATGTTTTTTCTTAATAACTCAAAAACGAAGCTTCAACCAACATTTTGGTAAAGGAAAAAGTTGTTCAGAATCACCCCGGCAACCCCTCATTTCCGGGAATTACGAGACACCCTGTATATGTGTGCCTGTAAAACCACAAAGCATTGAGTAATGTCTCTGTCCCACCTTTTTTCCCCCAAGATATATAGTTTTTTATGTGTGAAAATGTACAACATCAATCATAGTGTCAGTTCGTCTAGTATATTTTGTAATTTCAAAAAAAGTATTGAAATAAATATTCTAAAGCTTTTATCACGCTTTTTAATAAAATTATTTGATAATAATTAGATTTAGTGTTTTTTCACTAGACGAACGGACACTATGATTGATATTGTATTCAATTTTTTTTTTTAATTATTATAAAGGAATTTTGATGAAGTTGGAGAAAATAATGATAATAGGCTGAGGATAGATTACGTTTATGATTGGGATATATTTATTAGATAGTAGATAAAATACTTGGCCGGAAAATATCTTTATATATTTGGAATCTTCCTTAATTTACATTTTGCCTTATATACATATATACGTTATGCCGCAGTACGCTTAATACAGTAAGTGATCTTACAAGGTTTTTATATGATAAAGATGCATATACACAGGTAGCCATCACAAATGCAACTTCAAACACTGCCCTTTCGCTATCGAATCCGTTAGATTTTTGTCGCTACAGCTAAGATAACATAGCTGGAATGTGTAACACGGAGTTATCTTACATTAAAATAATATTTTCGGGTCTCTTTTCCGCTAGGAACTACCTTTAATCATGGACATAAATTTCAAATTTTTTTTTTTTTTTTTCAGCAACAAGTAACAGCAATTGGAATTAACTAAATAAGTTTTGTTGCGATGCATCGTTCTCAAATGTACTCCATGCATTGTTCAGTTCCATAAAAATCAATTTTGCTATATTCTCATTGGCCGTCCCTGCTTGCTAAAACAACAAAAGAATACATATTTAAATAACGTTTCAAAACTAGTGATTAATTGCCCAGAATAATAATTTGATGCATATGATATACCTTGTCCGGATGCACAGCCAAGCAAGCTTTTCTATACGCTTTCTTAACATCCGCAGCTGAAACTAATTGATGCATCTCGCATCGTTGCCACCTGTCCGCCTCCGGCCACAAAACAGTATGCATCGAGCAAAGAAGAGCGCGTAGATTCCCCTTTTTCCCTTCCGTCCACTCGGCAATCTTCAACCTATCTGGATCCATTGTCTTAGCAGCCTCGACTTTTCTCATTTGATTTATCGTCTTCGGACTGTCTTTCTCCGCTTTCCTTGAACTAAAGAAGTTGTATCCTTGACTACCGAGTAAATCCTCGAAGGCATCGCCTTTGGTTGATTTATTGCTAGAAGCACCGGTATCCGCCATATTGTTCTCACCACTGGCTACGTTCGACCTGTGCGTATTAGGACTGGAATGAATCGGCGTACTAGCCGGGGCGGGGCTAGCCGATTGGGGAGTATTCGAGTTCCTCGGCGTTCCGTTCCAACTGGACGTTAAACCGGCCCCCAAAGAACTGGCAAGATTAGCGAACGGGTCCTTGCTCTGCGCTGCAAAGTTTGGAACGCTCGAGTTACGCGGAAAGCTCTCCTCGGTGGTCGAAGATTTCACGGTACTCGATTTAGAGCTTGGCATACCACCTAGGAAATTGTTCGCTGATGTTCCTCCGAGAGGATCGAATAATAAATCGTTCACTTGCTGTTTGCTATTGGATTGATTCTGTTCGAAGAACATGTTTAAGTTATTGTTAGTATTATCATTTTTCGTAGGCTGATCGTGTCCAAAGAGTAAATCATTCTGGGCAGGATCGCTAATCTTCGGCACGGTGCTTTTCGTTTCTTCCTGAGGAAAAACACCAAAACCTCCTAAGAGATCACTTTCGTTTTGACTAGAGCTAGAAAATATATCTAATCCAGGGTTCACTGGAGGCTGTGGAGAATTTAAGGTACTGGTATCCGGCATTCCTAGATTCAGTAGATCGGCTTCTAGCGGTACAGCCTCTTCCTTCATTTCTTCCTCTACATTTTCAATCGGTTCGGCTTCCTCTTCTTGCACGCTAACGTTGCTCGGCTCATCGGCTAACGGCGTAGCCGACACTTCTTTAGGAATCTAACAGAAAATTGCATCGTTGAAAAGCGCCGGTGTAACTGAATACTATAACACCGAACAGTGGCGGTTCGCGTATAGCATCCCCTATTTCCACTTGATATTAATTCTTTGTTTATACTTGTACAATATATAATCCTTAAGCTTAATGTCAGTAGCCATCCCCAAGTTTATGAAAAAAGATAGAAAAATCTTTGTATGGAACTGTGCGCTTCAAAGTTCCCGCGGCGCGGTGTTTGACCGTGTGCGCATGCGCACGTAGGAAGCTGCGCGCGAAGGCTGCGCAGGAGAAAGAGCACTGTCGCTCCCACTTTTTAAATTAAAGGCTAAACATTTTCTGGAGCATCACCCCCACTAATTTTACCTACGAGCCGCCACTGCACCTACATTTAATTAAATCAAGTTTTACCTCCTCCGGTTGAGCAGTTCTAAAGTTTTCTAACGTTTCTTCCATTTCTAAAGTGGACCCGAAGAGCGCGTCCGGTATCAAACTAGTGGTCACTTCTGCCTCCCATGGTGCCGGTACTCTGGCCAGTTTCGAATTTTCCTCGGCGACCATAATATTCAGAAGAACGTGGAACTTCCCTCCGATTTCAGGAGCGTCGTCCAGATCCTTCTTCTTAAACGTTAAAGTGTTCTCAGTCAAAGGTATGTAACCCGTGTGAAAGTGAACGGACGCGATTTTAATTCCTATTATACGACCGAGCTGCTGTCGGGCGTGGAATATTACAACGGTTACGTCGCCGCGGACCGTAGCGTTTCCCAGCGCCAATGAAACTTTCCCTTCCATCATCCCGAACAGCCGCATATCCTCGTACTCGGGCCGCTTCGTAGAGAAGACTAACGCACCGTTGCTGTAGATATCTATGTACGGCCTGGAACCATCCTTCGCTCTGGTGAACAACGGCACCGGTTGTATCATCAACGAGCGAAGGGCTAACGGTTTCGTGTGTGGCTGTACACCGCTACTTAATAAGCTCATGTAATTAATACTGCGTAGTTCCGATGGCTGCAGCTGTGGCGGTTGACAACGCCTGGTCGTGAACAACGATATCGTCTCTTCGGGGGTCGTCAACGCTCTGGCATAGATGAGTAAAGTACAGGCAACCGTGGCACTCGCTCGGTATCCATCCTAAAATTATTTTAATAAACGTTACAACTACAGATTCTCGTTTTACAATTTTTAACGCTATAAAACAATTTCAAGGAAACATACTCACGGTGCAATATAACACTACAACGTGATTGAAGTCCGCGTTCAGGTACCGATAAATATCCTGACAAATTTGGTACAACGCGGACAACAGCGGGGCGTGCGAATCCGACGTGGCATAGGCGAAGGAACAATCGATGTGCCTACCAGGAAGTCTGGTTACGTTCGGTCGTCCCCGGGACAGATTGTACAACTGTATGCGAGCCGGTGGCGGATGTCGTGCCTGAAGGAAAGCCCTGACGTCCTCCACGTGATTTGCTCGATAGGCGGACTCGATACCGTCCGCTGGATACGGCATTATTAATATACGAGACGTTAAGTAACTTGCGTCCAGTTCAGTCCTGGCCATGCTTTGTTGCACCGTGTGCATCACTTTGCTCGAGGTATCTTTTAAGTTGCGTAGAATACTACCAGCACCGCCTTTTAACGAACTAAATAGGCCAGTCGATTGAGCTACAGGGACCTTGGCGACGGCGGTTTGAACCGGCGCAGGCCTAGGTGGTGGCACGTTCACCGGCGGTGACGGCCTCGGTGGAGGAGCAGGCGTACTGGGCGGCGGTACGGGTCTAGGAGGTGGCGGTGTCTTTGCTGGAACTTCTATCTTCGGGGGTTCTCTGGGATCAAAGTTGTTCGACTCTGCTATCGCCGCGAGACGTTCCAGTATCATCGATGTCGTCAGCCTTCGTACAGGCGATACATCTAAACAACCTTTCACTATGTCATGGAGACAGGCTAGACGAGGATTAGCAGGAAGCGGTGAATACTTGCCGTTAACGATAGCAAGTTTATTACCTGTAAACACGTTGTTACCAGTGACAAAGCTGATTCTATTATTCGCGTTTTCAATGCGTACCTTCGGGAAACGGATGCCTCAACGTTATTAAGGAATAGAGTATACAACCGAGTGACCAACAGTCAACCGGTGGACCGATTGGCTCGTTGTTCCATGTATCCATCATTTCCGGTGCACGATACATGGGCGTTGTGTACTTTGCCATTTGATCCTCTAACGTGGCTCGCCTCTGAGCGTTCCACGATGGATTCGGTAAAATCTGCTGGGTCGACGTGCTACCGAAATCGCAGAGTTTCACTAAACCATCGGTACCGATTAAGAAATTTTCTAGCTTTATATCCCTATGAACGAACGGTTCAGGCTGTTGGCTGTGCATGTGATGCACAGCTCTGGTCGCCTGATAGGCTACTTTACATATTTGGGCAAGAGTTAAGGTATTCGTTGATAAACTCCTAAGTATATCAGCTACCGTCCCACCAGGACATAATTCGGTTACTAATAAATACTCGTATCCTTTGCGGTCCTCCCGCTCCAACCGCTGTGCGTACAGATACTGAATTACATTCGGATGACCGGATAGCCTTTTCAAAGTTTCTATTTCTTGTACGATACTTTTGTTAGCCTCTTCATCCACAGCGATGAGTCTCTAAAAATGCAGATGTAAGTGTTATAATTTATATTTAATTGTATCGCAATAATATAAATAGCAGGTGTTTACCTTAAGAGCGTATTCCTTTCCTGTATTAACATCTTCCACCGCGAATACTAATGCCCAGCCACCTGTTGACATTTAATATATTTAAATATCAATGGTAATTATATATTTTATCATGGAAATGTAAAGGAGCATACATATACAAATAACAAGCATACGTATTAAAAATTTCATTGTTTCAATAATATTTTGTTTTCAAATTTAATAACAGGGTGAAGTGCTTCTTATTTCTGAATGGATCTATAATATTTTATCAAACAAAAGAAACGAGAGCACTTGTCTGTTACATTTAGTTTTGATTTCCTCTTAAAATATCATCAACTGCATTGTATTTTGATTAAAAAACGTACGTTAAATTGTCAAATACCAATTGCCTGGTACTGCATGTGAAAATATTTAAATGAACGTTAGTAAATAAAATTCTATAGCTATTTTTAATATGTTACAAAACATTATTTAGGCGTGTAATGTATATAGATCTGAATGTCAAAACATATTTGACACATGTCAAAAGGTTGAGGATTTACGGTGTTCTCAGGATGTACGCGATTCCCTTGCATTACCATCGAATGTTAACACAACAAACGGATATTTTTGTGCAATAATTAAGAGGGGTCACTGTAAAAAACAGTTACTTTGCTTGAATATAATAATCATACATTGGGACAAGTGAAAGGGTTGACAGACTCACCCTCGGCAAGTAGCCTGTTCACACGTAATTTCACATTGTTGATTTCTAGTACTTGTCCAACGTATTCGTTCGTATTTGTGGCTCCGTTCAAGTATCCAAGAGCAGATCTTAAGTAATCCGACATATTTCTTTAAAATATCCCTTTGAACCCCCGAAAAGCGTCTTTCAAAGTTACAGTGCAGACAGCCGATGCTGTCCGGCCATACTGTCTTTGTGACGTCATCGGGAGCCATCGGCAGTACCGTACGAATCTGTTTTTTAACTTACGAAATAATGGAAATGGTTTATAATCATTTTTTCAATAATTCAATTATTAATTCTGTTAACTTTCTTTCAGAACGAAGGCTCCATTTGGTATTTCAATTGACTATTAGCGTTAAAACATATAAGACATACAGATAAATTTTAATTATTGTTCCATTTATATCAGTTTATAATAAAAAATGATTGTCATTATTAATTTTACAGGAAATAAGAAAAATGGTGGGGAATTGGTGGGAATAGTTTTATTGTTTTTTCATTCCTTTTTTGAATAATGTAATAATTATCATTGTAATTCAACGCGCGCATGCGTGCATTATTAATGTACAATAACATTCGTACACCTATGACACGTAAATTAAAATTGTTTTTTTCAATCATATGAATTTCGTATCGCTTTGTATCGTCGTAAATTCAGTCATTATCGACGATTATAAAGCGGTCGGAATAGGTTATTAAGATAAGCAGACCGCGGACGTATTCGGAATCTCCAACACACGCATTTGTGAGTTTTGTCATGTTGTTATCGAATAAACCATATTTTATTACTGGGCATAACATTAACGTTAAATCATTTTCAGATTCGTTGTTATCTGTTGGAAGCCTTAAACATGTCGAACTTTGTGAAATTCGCAACTCTCAGGTCTACCACAGATTGTACGTTTTGGGCAAAATTTGCAGAATTGAAAATAGATAAATTCAAATTGGATGAGAAAGCAGTGATTAATTTATGGGGAATTTATAGCCTCGAGTCTTTAAACGAGGAGAATACTAATCCGTTGATAATGGATTGTACGTCTTTCAACGAGTAAGTTTATATTTGTACGAAACATAATCGCTTGTAAATATAAGCATTTGTCGGAATTAAATTAGAATTACATGTAGGTCATTTTTAGAGACACTGAAACGTTCAGTCATAATTCATCTGTGGTTTGTTTGGGACATATGATCAATACCAACACCTTTGAAGCATTTCGAAAGATAGATCCTGAGAAACTCATTGATTCAATCGGAAAGGATATAATTCACAGCATTCAAGATGGTTCTATATTACAGAAACCTTGGAAACTCTCGTTATTTTTAGTAGTGGCTTATTCAGATTTGAAAAAATACAGATTTCATTATTGGGTTGCTCATCCTACTCCTTTAAAATTGCCTGAAATGTACTATGAAGAGAATCCAAAACCAATTAACCAGGAATTTACTAATAATTCGGATGATCTATGCAGAGGCTTTCTACGATTAGACAGCAGATCAAAAAATTATTTTATAGTCTTAATATCTAAAGAAGATAAAATGAGCATCGTTGATTTAGCCACAGGAATCAATACGCTTGAGATGAATAAAGTTGATTCAAATGGATCGCAGGTATTAAATATATAATTTTATGTAATTACATTGTTCATTTCATTTCCTATTATCAGTTAACTGTTTCAGGAATACAAGGAACTTTACTTTGCATTTTATGACCCTTGTACAACCGCACAACCTGGATGGCCATTACGTAATTTACTATGTTTATTATTATGGCATTGTCCTACGTATTGTTTCACAAAAATTATTAAAGTAATATCAATACGAGGAAACAAGGCCCAGAATAGTATCGTCTTTAAATTAAAGACAAAAGAGTACGAAGATTCGAAGAAAATCAGAAACTACGTATTTGGATGTTCTTTGGTTGGTTGGGAAAGAAACGCAGCTGGTAAAATGGGCCCTACTATTGTAGATCTATCGCATACCATGGACCCAGCCAAGTAATTATTTGAAAAATAAATTATATATAACATCTACATTTTTATGTAAAACGTTTCACTGGAACTTATGCTTTTGTATCAGATTATCAGACAGAGCTATCAACCTGAACTTAAAATTAATGAAATGGCGTCTTGTACCAGATTTAGATCTAGAAAAGGTTAGTAATCTTAGGTGCCTTCTATTGGGTGCTGGCACTTTGGGTTGTGCGGTGTCGAGAGTCCTTCTTGGTTGGGGAGTGAACAGCATAACTTTTGTTGATAGCTCGAACGTTTCTCACAGTAACACAGTAAGACAAAGTTTGTACACTCATGAGGATGCTGTGAAACATAAGCACAAGGCTCATGCAGCTAGAGACGCGTTGCTTAATATAAGACCAAGTATGGTGAGTAGTTAAACATTTTCTTATTTAGTACAAAATTTCATTATAAATTTCATTATAATTGCACATTAACGCTATAGAACGCAGAAGGTGTGGTCCTCCATATTCCAATGCCCGGACACGTCGTTGGTGAAAGCATGATGGCCTCTACGATAAAGTCATTGGAACAATTAGAGGAACTCGTCGAGAAGAGCGACGTGGTATTTCTTTTACTGGATTCTCGCGAAGCTAGGTGGTTGCCCACTGTTTTGTGCGCGGCGAAGAATAAAATTGCGATCAACGCAGCTTTAGGTTTTGATTCTTACACCGTCCAGAGACACGGTCCTCGGAACCTTACGGTTCCATCTTCTCCAGACTTGGACACAAAACATCCTTGCGGTTCAGATCTTGGTTGTTACTTTTGTAACGATGTAACGCAGCCTGGAAACGTACGTATGCTATGAATTAATACAAACATTTTCATTATTTCTTATTTATCTTTCATATTCTGCAGTCGCAAACCGATAGAACCCTGGACCAGCAGTGCACAGTTAGCAGGCCAGGTTTATCACAAATTGCTGCAGGATTGGCGGTTGAATTACTGGCAGCTGTAACGCAACATCCTCAAGGGTGAATAAGAGAATAGAAAGCTTTGGTTAATTGGTGAAATTTTATTTAACGTTTCAATTCTTTTTATAGCATCGAGGCTGGAGCGTTAGTGGGCAACAGCAGGGACAGTATTACTCAGAATGATACCGAATTAGTCGGTCTGTTGGGATGTGTACCGCATACGATACGCGGTTCTCTATGGAATTACGATACACAGTTGACGATTACACACAGGTTCACCGCGTGTACCGCGTGTTCCGTCCCTGTTATCATGGAATATAAAAATCGCGGTTTATCGTTCGTATTGGACGCGTGTAATATTCCAAACTATTTGGAGAAATTATCTGGTTTGGAACTGATATTGAAGAGACCCGATTTAGAGGATGTACGTATCGACTGGAATATTGTAAAATATATTTTCTATTATATTTTCTTATTTTAGCTTTGCTACGCGTTGGACAACATAAGCGACGACGAAGAAGAGAAAAAAGATGATACGCCTTGAAAAAATAAAATTATCATCGCTTGTACACATTTTACTTTGGACGAAGATGCGTTTGTTACATGTATAATAGATTAAGGTAATCATTACGCGCCGCGTAATCGAATAATATGTATTATAATACCATTGGTATTCTAGAATTTGTATAATTGAATTTGATACTCGACATTTATTGTAATTGTTCTTTTCTTTTTTTATAGATTGACACTCGACATATGTCTTTGTAAAGTATAATCTTCAGATCAATTTATTATTACAGATACAATTTTTATATAAAATTTTATACAAATACTGAGAAAAAAAAGAAAGAAACGCAATGCAACAAAATGTCTTTCAATCTCGTTTTTAACGATCGGATAACGCAAGCAGGATATAGATTAATAAATGTTAATAAATACAGTGGTTGTCTATGGTAGCAGGGTGAATAAAGTATTCTCTACATTATCCTTCAAAGTCCCATCTATCCCATCATCTACCATTGCGAAAATTTTATTTGATGCTTCGTTTCCGAATTATTAAGGAAAAACGCTGACCAATCAGAGCGCGCAGGCTCAGGGACGGCAGCGTCGGCTACGAAAAATGGGTCCCGAACGAACAATTTCGGCAGCCTGCTAGTATAGCAGGAGTCGAGGCTGCCGCCCCTGAGCCCGCGCACTACGCGCGCTCTGATTGGCCAGTGTTTTTCCTTAATAATTCAAAAACGAAGCTTTAAATAAAATTTTCGCAATGGAAAATTTTGTTCAGAATTACCCCAGCTACCGCCCCCTTAAAGGACTAACACTGTTTCTGGGACACCCTGTATTATTCATAATCAGATACATTTTGTTCTATAAAATTAATCGTACAAAACATTTTCTACAGGAGTGAGCATCCGAATGATAAAAATCATAATACATAGTGGAAGGACAAGAGGGACTTTAGACCATATTTATACGAAGTATAACGCGTCTATAGTTGACAGTTTTGTCTGCAGATCGCGCTGCAAGAGGCGAATGCCATACATTCCAGTGTAACGTTGAAGTAGTGGGGAACCGAGGCTGTCTCTCGTATGTCAAGCAGCCTGTGTTCCGTGTGTCCGCCCGCATACCATTAGATTTTCATCATTTTCAATGAAAATACGTGCTCTGTGTTGATCCGACATGCCATCGTACGTCGTACCGAATGTTTGATCGCAGTTTCGCGAAGGTGTCATCGCGTAACGTTCAGGTAAGTAAAGAGATACGCGAACGAGAGAACCACCATTCGATTTACCTTAAGGAATGCGTGGCTCGCTGACTTTTTTTTTTCACGCTACGCCGCATTCCTCTATCGATTCCTTTGACTGACGGACACGTTAACCCGGCGAATGCTTCTGTTTCTGTCGCTTGGTCGGTAAAAATGTACATTTTCAAATTACGTAGTTAATCGACTTTGCCTTTTAAAATTCTTTCCTATTTTACCCGCCATAATAAGAAAACGTTATTTTTCATTCGTTTCGGAATTTTCTGATTGGTCATGGCTGTACATGTGTGTACGTATGCCTGCGTGTTGTTACGCGATACCGAACTGCGCTCAACGTTTCGTTGATTCATCGCTTTCGACAAATTCCATTTATCGATAATTTATAATCCCTATCGATACGTTCTATCGTCAGACTTCAGTGGTGTCTGAGATTCATCGATAATCCGTATCCGTTGACACTTTGCAGGAGGTATCAACGACGAAAAAATTATTAATAATAATTAATGTGGTAGTTAATTAATATTTCATTGAGAATCAGTAAATTGCGAGAGTCGTCGACGGGGTGGGGTTAAAGGTATTCGATTCAGATTATGAGATCGTTAGGGACATTTTTCTTTCGTTCAATTTTCTTACGCTTGCACATTTGTATTTTATTAGAGAATTATGTAGAGGGATTGCATTGACGGAGTTTGGATTTTTCAAAGAGGAATATTAGGGTATTGAAAAATAGGAGAATTCCGGGAAAGAATGTCAATTTCGTGAGGCCATTGTTTATATCGTTCGAATGAAATTGCGATGCCGTATGATGCCGGTTGCGTGGAGGTTTGGAAAGAGAGCAGGGGGCGCGATACGGGAGTGAGAAGAGGAACAGTGGCTAGTGATGGATTGGAGTTGTTGCTGAATCGGTGTACAAATATCATTTCTTTATTCCAACAGTAATTTACAATAATTACATTCATTTCATTTTGATCTTAACTCTTGGAATCCTTAATTTTCTTCTTCTATTAAAAAGCTCTCAACTACATATATAATTCTATATACTAATCTGCTATTTTATCAGGTAGAAAATCCCAGCCCTTGCATGGTTCCAACGCATCTCCCAATCACGAGTCCAGTTATCCAAAACATCCATTGAACGAATTCAGTACCAATATAAAGAGAAGCATTTCAAGTGTCACAGGCTAAGAGGCTGGCATACCGCGCCAAATGCAGTTTTTATTTAGTCCACAAAATTTCCTTTCCTAAATATTTTTATTACTAACTTAGTGCTAAGAAACAATTACAAACCAAAGAAAATAGCCAAAAGCTTTATGCAGTAATAAGTGTGTCCTAGAGGCTCACTTTCCATTATATACTGACTCATATGTGTATCTGTAACAGAAGAAAGATTGTTAATAAACAATATTAAAAAAAAACCAACCCTTTCCTCATCTAACATTCCAAGACGTTCAAAATTCGATTCGCGCGACGCGTCGAGCCCGTCGCTAGCCATCGCGGTAACGGTGGGTGGAGTGGGATCGAGTGCACGGCGGGGTATGCGGAGACTCGCGAAGCAGCTAAGGGGCGCGCGGGATGAGGCGAGGAAAGAAGCGAGAGGCGGGCCTCTGGTGAGGGGTCCGCATTCCACAGACAATGTCACGTTTTTTAATCCCCGTTTTACTTTATTTGTGCTGGCTCCGGCCGCGAGGAAGGCCCCCAAACAGTTAACTTCGACTTCTGTCCCTAGAGAGCGGATTCCTGCGGACCGTGTGCCGGGGCTTGGAGCGATTATCCCGCGGACGAGCGCCTACACCGGGTGCCGTCCATCGATTAAGAATCCCCGTCGATCGCGTATCAAGGGTGAAGCCGTTTTCCACTCGAGAGGCGTACATCAGCGACGGTTCAGCGGTGGTTCCTTGGAAGAGGGAGATGTCCGCTGTCGAGAGCGCCTTGGACGTCCTCTCCAGGGCGGCGACGATGGTGCAAGGTCAGTTTGCTCGAAGGAGCCTTCCTTTCTCTGCCCGCTGTTCAATTCCCTTCGGAAATTAAATTGGCTTTAAGTTTTTATTTTAGCCAGCTCACCAGACAAGATCATGGAAATGAATGCGATATATTTTCATGGAGATGGAAGAGGGGTGAGCCAATGAAATTCTTTGGAGGAAATGTTATACGTTTGATTGGAAAATTGAGCTATGAATTAGCGAAACTACTTGATACGATCTCCTCAATCGACCATGCGCGTGTATGTGTGTACGTTGTCAGCTGTTCTGAACAATAAGCTATATGGTATTTTTCAATGTACCACCAGTAGACGTACGGCGCGCTCGTTAAATGGCATTTCCATGAATCCGTTTGTCATTGGTTGATCCGTACGACGATGGATTCTAGTTAGAGAGTAGCAAGGAGAACGCGATATTTCGGCCCAGTTCAAGCCTCGCATTCCTACGAAATGCCAATTTCGCGTCGAATTAGATAACATTGTGCAGTGTTTATTTTAGATCCCTTGCCGGTTCTCCAACGCGGCCGTTGGCAAGAGACACTCGATGCTTCTTCTTCTGACGCGTTTACGCTTCGCCATAGCGGAACGCACGTGATTGTCGTTTGGGTATCGCTTTCTTCGACGAGCACACCTCCCCTGTCTAACTACTCTTTGCTTTCGTTCTGCTTTCGAAACGTAAGAATGGAAAGTAGTTTTCTGTTAAACGGTCGAATTTTTTTCATTCGAATTCCAACCTCGTTACAATTGCATATTGACAGGGCCGGCCTTGAGATTTTGGGGGTCCAAGGGGAACTCCACATATATGACATAAAAAAAAAAGTAGCTTAAATAAAATTTATAAAATTTGCTGGACCCTGGAGGGGGGCCCTGCATATTTCACATTGAATTGTTTACAAATCTGCGCGTCAAGGTTCTTTTCATTTAATTCAGGGCCGACCCTGAGATTTCGGAGGTCCGAGGGGGGCCCCTTCACATATATAATATAAAAAGTAGCTCAAATAAAATTTATAAAATTAACATTAAAGCTTGCATCACTAATTTAGATTTGCATTTACATCGATTAATATTCAAGTAAAATCTTCTTGCATTCTTATATGCAAAATCGTCTTATGGGGGCCCTGGACCTTGGGGCCCTAGGGCCGGCCCTGCATATTGTTTACCAATCTACGCGTCAAGGTTCTTCTTTTCAATGGATTTAATTATTCAGAATTAGCTAGGATATCTTGCAAATATTTTATATCGAAACTAACGATATTTACTTATTAAAGTAATTGAATTTCAATTATAGCCGAATAAAGGACGCCGTTTTATCGGTACACATGTTGCGCAACAGTCGGAGGGAAAAGGTTCGATTTTCGAAAGCGATCAAGAGCAAATGAACAACGTGTCATCATAGTAGCTTTGGAAATAATTTTCATAAATCAATCGGGCTACTATCGGATCGAACGGCGGACCGTAACGAGAGGCCTGTAAGCTCGCTTGTGTGGCGAGAGTGTTACTGGTTTTCTCGTGCGGTTTGTTGTGATGGAATCCCGAGGCACCCGAACCTGTTCCGAATACCAATCGTAGTTCCGCTCCTCGGCGAACGATGGCGCTTTCGGTGACTTTCTCGGGCCAAAAATATGTTTACCATAAATTTACGAATTATTAATAACCATGTTCGAGGGGAACTGGTCCAGTAGCCGGATATTTTTAGGAATCTTCAATCCTCATAGGAATCTTGCCAATTAATTTTCGTGGATCGATCAGCGGGTGATCCATCGCTGTTGATGGATCTATTTTAAGCTCGCGGATAGGATTTATAGCAACAACAGATTCTTCATCGTTTTCAAAATCATCGAGAATTATTTTAGCATCCGAGGAAGGATATTTATTTTCACTGGTGTTTTGTTCCCAGCAATCTTTTTTTTTTTTCTTTTTCTAATTCAGCACATTCCTCGGGGTAGAAATTACATTGTTCTCGACCGGTGTAGAATCTACGAGTTTCGGTTTAGAAGAATGAGGAAGAGATGGGGCGACGTAGATGGTCACATCGCGTTGTGCAAATTCACGCCCACGAGCGATGGGATTCGCTGTTAAAGGAACGTCCGATAACCGCGTGCGATTACCTGGTCTCTTTGCTATTAAAATACTCGACATTCCTGCCCGATGCCTCACGATTCCTCGAGGATAACGTGGCACCTTGATCTTGCTTGGGAATTATGGCGCTGACAGCGAGCCTGACGAAAATCAATGGACTGTTCAAGGTCACTATCCCCCCCAATATTTAATTATCACTTTCCATGAAAAGGGTAAAATGGGTAAAAAGAAAGTTTATTAAATTCAAGGTGTTCTCTAGAATTTAAATTAAATTAAATTAAATAATTATTAAAAAATTTCTTCTGATAATTTATATAAATTATGAAAGAATCTCGTGGCAAATTTCTTCGCGTCCATGCTAGGATGAAGCGAGAAAGGAACGACGATGGAATTCGAGAATTCTCGGTTGGATCTCTTATCGGATGAATTTTTTTTTTTTTTTTTTTTTTTTTTTTTTTTGTAAACGTGACGGCGTGGATCGCGTACACGTGCACTCGATGCACATGTGCATAGGTGAGCGTGTATCGATCAGCTTTGCTCGACGTATTCTGCCTACCTGAGGAAAGAAAAAAGGGGGAAAAGAGGAAGAGGAAAGAGGCGAGTTAGTATCTCCACGCACACATGCATTCCTGTAACTACTTAGCGACGGCTTTGAGCTGTGCATCATTTCTTCAAGTTGGACTTTCGAATAGATTGATCGAAGATTTGATCTTAATTCAGATATCAAATCTTCAATCCATTAAAAAATTCTAGGAACCCAAAGTATGTATACCGCAGTTCACCAGAGTCCATAACTGCGAAAAGACCAGTTTTCGTTCTTTGCGCATCCCCAGTACGCATCTTCGCCCTGATTGGCGATGCTCCCAAACGAAGTGGAAAGCGATTGGCGGAGAGCTCGCCGCGTTCCCCCACCATCTTCCAACCTGCGCGTCGCAGTTATGGACTCTGGTGATACATTATAATTTCAAATTGAAATCGAATTTCACTCTAATGCTTCAAATATTCTTACTGCGTTCACATCAGTAATTTATATCAGTTACTCCAAACACTAAAAATCATTTATCCGTAGGTAGAAATTTGTTCGTATCGAGCTCGACAGGGAGCCATCGCTACAGGCATGTATGCAGCTCCTGCATGTGTAAAAGGCAAGCTTCTCCAACGTGAGGTGGAGGGTGGGGGCAGAGGACGGGACGAGGCGGATGAATGAATGAATCTTAAGACAGTCGTGTAAGAGGGGCATTCACGAATCCACCGGGTCTTTTCAGCGACGTTTCTCTCGGTCGAAAAGACCCTGCCTTTCGTTGTTTCATTCTCGGCCAACGTTTCCACGATTATGACCTTTGACCTCGCAAATTCACGTCTACCCCGTGCGACGATCACCGGTTGAATTTCCCGACCACCTGGCAGCTTTCCTAAGACGTACCCGAGGCCAGGACATCATGGAAGCCACTTTCTTCGGCGAGAGGAAGATCCTGGCTCGAATCGAGTCCTTGGACGATCCGTGTGCCAAATAGTGCTCTTCGTCGGTTCATCTTTTTCAATGTTCAATCGGTGTGCCGGACTTGTTTCGTGTACGACCCATGGAGACGAAGAATTTGTTAATCGTGTCTGATGAGTGGAGATCGGAGGGAATGGAGGTCCCGTCGAAAAGGAGATGCCTCTGGCAACCGTGGCTGAACACGGACAAGCCAGGAGGTACGTGAGGTTCTTCGTTACTGACCTCTTCTTTCGTTTCAACTTGTTGAGCCATTGATGTACTTACCTGTTGCAGAGGTATTATTTCTGTGGAATTTAATATATGGAATCAGAAGGATGTGGAAGGACGTCGAGCGACGAATTTCTGTAAAACAAGGAGTAAGAGAAACGAGAAAGTGAATTGAACGGAACGATTTGGCTCACCTTCGATCCACATGTTTCGTCCATTCATCCTTTCATTCTTCATCTTTAAACCAGTTTCGCAGTCTTCCTGACGATCCTCTCACGGCTATTAGGCACTTCCTGCCTCGTCCTGGGAACCGGACTCGTTCCACCACCCTATACACCGTCTTTCTTTCTCTTTCGGTCCTACGCTAGTTCTCGATTGTTCCAAGGGTTGTCGGGATCGATTTCCGATTTTAGATACACTAACCCCCGAGTATTTTATAAATAATATCGACGATGCTGGAGGCTCAAGGACAGGCACATTCTCTTCTCACATTCGTTATTATTAGGTTCAGTAAACAGTCCATTTGCTCTTGGTTTGGTGGGATTATGTATAAGGGACTTGGCACCATCTGACTTTTATTTATTTCAAACATTGCTAAAAACATAGATGAAGTAAAAACACAATTTTATGAAAAAGGAATATAGCTCTGAAACGCAGACTTTTTATTTCATGCAAATTTCCTTTCTTTCAATTTATCATTTCTTTGATGAAATGAAAAATTCAAAGTACAGTACAGAAAGCTGGACCTTGTTTCTTTCTCCAGCTTTTCAGAAGGATGCAACACATGCAGCAGCAATCATTCAAGATTCATTTATTTTCAATAAACATACATGTAAATCTATTGCATATGACACATATGAAAGCGCAAAGAAACTCATGCACCTTGTATTTCCACAGAGGAGCGACCAAAAGCGACGAATCTACACCGGAAGCCTAGCAGCGCGTGGCGCAAGGAGCGTAGGAGGGATCCGATTCAGAGCGAGGCACTCGACATGTCTGCGGCCAGGGTGCATCACCATCATCACAGCAGGCCCAGCGTGATCGTTCCAACCACGCCACAGCCTGGTAAGCGAGCCAGGCGGAGGCCGTACTTCGACCAGGACTCGTCGCGAATTCGTTAAAGCGTTGTCGCGTTATTCTTGCCCTCTCGCCGGGGGTTGGAAGGGTGCCTATTGTCCGAGACTGGGGTGACTACGCGCCGTGACAATGCGGCGTGATGCACGGGGCGCAGATGCGTGCATTCGAGCCGTGTTTCAATAGAGGAATACGGTTAATCTGCGGCCTCTCCTAGGATTCCTTGCGGGCTTGAACGGAAAATTGTCGCGTCTCCCTTGTTAGGCTTAATTAACGACGTTTAAACGTGCGAAAGATGGGCATACTATAGGGGATAGAAGTTGGTAGGAATTATTGAGAATGATAGAAAATTCATTTCTTAGATTTTATATAATTTTCATCTCGAGTGATTTATTAGGAATTCGTTTATTTGTATTGGGGTATTAATGTAATAATTATTATTTACCAGGTACAACGATCGAGGACACCGCGGTGACACCTACTCCATCGTTGACACCCTCCGCAGCAACAGCGGGTGGGCAAAGAACCGGTATTAGAACTGTGGGTGGTGTAAGTGATCCTGCGATAGACGAGCACTTTAAGAGATCATTGGGCCTGGAAGAGTACGCAGCCGTATTCAATGCTACTACTACCGACAAGGAGGCAGGTCTCAGTGGTACGGCATAGCGAGAAACTTATTTTCTTTAGAAGAGATATCTGCTTATTTTGATATACATAAATGTATAAATTATTTGCATGCATTAAAAGCAAAGATTATACAATGCGTTTGATATTCAGTATCCCTGTTCCTGGTATTTATTTTTCTTTTTTTTTTTATATATATATATATTTAATTTCACTTTGGAAAGTGTAAATTTCTATCTTTAAAATTATACTTACAGTGGACGATCATTTTGCAAAAGCATTGGGTGAAACATGGACGAGGCTGCAGGCGACCAGTCGAAGCAAGGACTCCACCTAACTGCCGGACAGTTAACAAGAGTTCCAAGGATGTCGCCGTTAAATACGTTGCTGTCCCCGTTTCGTCTGCGCGTGGATCTTCAAGTCCAGTGTCGTGTTCCAGTTACTCGTCGATCAATAGTGATCGTCACGAACAACAAACGTTTTCTATTTTGTTTTTTTGCTTTTTTTTTTTTTTTTATATTTGACAATCCGAGTCGGGAATCGACGGTCCACGTAATGATAGAGTACCTAAGTGTCCTTGAGTGCGCAGGATCACATTCGTGGATAGCGAGGGACGAGCTCGGTACGGGAAGAGGGAAGAATTCAGAATAGGAGAGCAACGTGCTTATCTCTGACCTTGTGAATCGAATATTGTACATAGACGGATAGTATTCTTTTATTGTACGCTAGTGATGTGCGGCCCGACTGATACGTCGGGTTCCCGAGTATTCGGATCGCTTCGGAAAACATCGGCCGGGCTCGGACGGGCGTCCGACGCGTACGCGCAGTCGGGCGGCCCGACTGTTTCGGGTCAGGTCGGATAAAGTCGGGCAGACTCGGACGAGCTCCCGCGGGCCGCGGCCTAATTCTTATTTACTTGTTAATACTTGGAATAATCATGTTCAAAATCTGTTTCATATAGAATTTTAGAATAATTTTTATTTGGAAAAATAATGCAACGAATTTATTTCCATTTTATACAAAATAGATTTTCAAGCGTTAACAAGTACACGAGAGTCGGGTCGCGAATCTGCCCGACTTTACCCGACCTGACCCGAAACGGTCGGGCCACCCGACTAACGTATGTATCGGACCCCTACCCGAGCCCCTAATATCGGGTACCCGCACATACCTACTGTACGCCATTATCACAGCCCTAGGGGCTAGATAAAGTTATTTATTACGAAGTTCCATACTGCCTCGCTAAATAGTTCATACAAATCCGTTCGCTCTCTCGCTAACCGAGATCGCGAACGGATCAACGTGTACACGTAATTAATTATTCAGCTAACCGTTTACGTTTCTATACATGTATGTAACGATTATCTTGTAATTATAGAAAGCCGAGAGACTTTATAAATGACCGTAGAGAATAAGGAACGTGGAGACGCGCGTTCGCGTTGGAAATCACACTGTATCGAAGAGAATGAAAAAAAAAAAAAAAGAGGATACATAAAGCGACTGATAACAATTTTAAATACCGTACGTATTTCGTTCCGCGAATTCCAACTCGAGCCTTCACCTTACGGATTCCCGGATACTGTGGATTGCTAAGAAGAGTAGTACTGATTTCAAATGGTGCTAGGAAGTCCATCGCAAACCCCAGCACGCACAGAAGTCAGTACCTCTGCCTTCTTACTGTTCTCACAGTTTCTTTCCATTTCCAATGTTCGTATGATGAGATGAATTTCGGGGGATACCACAGCACTTTGTGAAACTTCTTCACTGATAGGAATTTTTAAGCAGATACTTCACTTATGCGAATACAAATGAACACCGATGATATTTTAACTTTCCTCGGTGTTAGCGACACTTATTTGGAAGGTACGACACACGGGTAACAAGGACGGTGGCCAAGAGGCTTTGTGTATCGTAGGTGGGCCCAGACGGGCGAGCCAGACTGTCCCAGGAGCGCTCGGATGGCTTCCTATATGCAGGCAGCCTGTTCACTTGCCGTAAAGCAAAATGGTAACTTAATATTAGACTTGAATATAAGTACGGTAATCCCACACCAGAGTCCAAAGTAAGCCTACACCTACCCGCCGCCCCGTCCGGCAGCCATCCCTGGACCTCCGTTCCCCCTTGCGAACGCCCTCGAGCATAATAATACGATGGGATACTAGATATCGGTGCTCTCTGTGCTCTAGGTGCAAATTGCGACCACCTATGCCTCCGCTCTCTCTCTCTCTCTCTCCTCTTTTATCTGTTTCTAGCGCGTCTTCGCTCAGCTGCTCGTCCCTCTTCCTGTCTGCAACACTCCTCTTCTTGTTACAAGGAGAGACAACTCTGTTATGGGTATCCTCGATGGAGAAGCAAATGGACTGTAAAGAAAAGTTTTGTATCAACCTACTGCCAAATCGTTTCTGCTTAATGTAGATGGATACAATGGTACCTATTGTTTATCTGTGTTTCTTATTATGTTATTTTTTTAAGGTATTTATATGATTTGTATGATTGTAGGAATTGGGTGGTCCTGATGAATGGCATGGGATATGTATCTTAATTCATCAGTGTTATGTCATGATTATTAATTATCTCCTGATGGTTCTTAAAGGGAAAGCTCAGAATTCTGTTTATAGGATATTTTCAATGAAATTCATTCTTTTTTTTTTTTTAAGGAGGAAGCACAATAAATATATAAGCCTTGATATTGCATTAATTACAGCTATTTCTGTCGCATGGTTGTAACATTTAATATTTATAGCATCATTTCTAAAGCATTAAACCATGTAAGAATGTTCTATATCGTCAGGGGCGTAAGTATTGTACAGTAGTCTTGAAATAGTGACGTTGCCATTGAAGCACTCCCTCCTCGTCACTTTCACCGGTGGATGAACACCGTGTACTGACCACCCTCGTTACTCTAGCTGAGTCACGGGGTGTTCTTTGCTTCTCAGCTGACTCTCCCTAAGCTCAATAAACAAAAGTAAGCCAGCAACGATCATTCTGTTTTCATAGAATTTTATTTCTTATAAAATTCAGTGTTTATTTTTCTTAAATTTCCTTTCAGGATCTCCTACGGTTTCATTGCAAGGAAACATCTATTGTTGATTAATCAAGAAGGTGACACCATTTCATTTCTTTATTCAATTTTCTATTATGAAATTGTTAAGAAAGACACAGGATACCAGAGGAAGTAATCTATCCAAGAAAATTTTCTGCACCCTTCAAGAGAACACAGCAGGCTCTTTTCATAGAGTCATAATGAAAAGGTGTAGAATTCGCTTGCAATTAGAGGAAACGTGTACCTGGAACTCAAGTAGACTTTTCGCGGTGCGAAATCGTAGAAACTCGATCCATTTTTTCAACATATTTCCTTTTTTTTTTTTTTTTTTGCAGGGAAACAAGAGTGCGAGCACTCTTCGAAGTGCGACGACCTTCGCGACACGTAGAACTAGGATAAACCAGTGGTCTGCGTGTCTCTTTAGAGGCGAAGTAAGCTAATCCGACCGCGTATCATGTTTTCCAGCCCCTTTAAACGATACTGATACGCCTTAGTCCACTGAAATACACGACGTTTCGTTGAATTTCCTTCGTCGACACGCTTAATCCTTCAATTTTCCAACTAACACGTTCTACAAAGTGTTTTAATTAATTTATCAATCTACCAGTCATTGGTAAGGTTCATCAAGATTTTTGCAATTGCAATATTAATTTCTTAGTGGAATATTTTTTACTCTATCTGGTAATAATGAAAACACCTTTTCTAATAATGTAAAAAGTGAAATGAATTCACAGATGTTCAAAGTAATTCCATGATAATTTAAAGCTTTCTTTTTCCAGGACTTGAGCTGAGGGTGCCTGGCCGACTGATTTTCGAGTAATTTCAAATTAATCAGCCCCTGGGGAGTGAAACGCAGCTGTAAATAGGCCACTAGACCACGGACAGATGCACGTTCAAGTTATTTCCTTGGCTACACAGGTGTCTCTATAATTGGACACATCCTTTAACTCTAGAAAGACTAAGGGTCGTTTAGAAAGTATATTATTTTCCACAGAAGATTTCACTTGGACTTTCAAGATTAATACTGAAGAATTGTTCTTGGTTTATTGAAAATATTATTTTAGAAAAAGCATTCTTTAAATATGTATATTGTTTATCTAATACAGAAGATTTCACTTGTACTTTCAAAATTAATACTAAAGAATTGTTCTTGGTTTATTGAAAATATTATTTTAGAAAAAGCATTCTTTAAATATATATATTATTTATCTAATATAGAAGATTTCACTTGTACTTTCAAAATTAATACTGAAGAATTGTTCTTGTTTTATTGAAAATATTATTTTAGAAAAAGCATTCTTTAAATATGTATATTATTTATCTAATACAGAAGATTTCACTTGTATTTTCAAAATTAATACTAAAGAATTGTTCTTGGTTTATTGAAAATATTATTTTAGAAAAAGCATTCTTTAAATATGTATATTGTTTATCTAATACAGAAGATTTCACTTGTACTTTCAAAATTAATACTAAAGAATTGTTCTTGGTTTATTGAAAATATTATTTTAGAAAAAGCATTCTTTAAATATATATATTATTTATCTAATATAGAAGATTTCACTTGTACTTTCAAAATTAATACTGAAGAATTGTTCTTGTTTTATTGAAAATATTATTTTAGAAAAAGCATTCTTTAAATATATATATTATTTATCTAATATAGAAGATTTCACTTGTACTTTCAAAATTAATACTGAAGAATTGTTCTTGGTTTATTGAAAATATTATTTTGGAAAAAGCATTCTTTCCAAGGTTTCTAATTTATAATATATATATTAAAATTGTTGAAATGCAAGTAACATGTACAATTATTATTTTTCTAGATGAAGAACGTTTCCATGAAGATCTGAAGCGAGGCTTTTCATGTGATTCTTAACCGAAGCAATAACTGCAAGGATCTCCTTGAGGATCTCGAGATCGATTCCGACTATTCTTTGCAGACTCGCTAGGAGATCGTGTTCTAGCTTTTCTATCGGTTCACGGCATTACTGTTTGTTTATTTTAAGTCCCAGGCGTATCTTGTTTCGGAACCAGACCCAGCTGACCGCAACCCGGCATCGTTTTCTCGTTTTATTCTCTTGCGTTACGCTTGCGTCTCGTTGGTGCGAATTAATCGTGAAAAATCAAACTAACCAGTCGTTCTGATATGTTTCTTTTTAATTCACGCAAACACCTCCGTTGACCGCTAATTATCAGGTGCTAAATGAAATCTATATTTACGTTTCATCATTTTATAAATTAATTGAACCATCAGGCTTGGCGTAAATATTATTTATAAAATAAATAATTTCAGGTTGATTCAACGGTGGAATGGTTTCATTTGAAGCGCGTCAGGACGCCTCGTGCCGCTAGCCTCGCATCGAAATCCCCAAGCCACCCTCGACAAACGATGCTGCTGCAAATTCTATGTAAATTCTTCTTTTTTTTTTGCAAATTACCTCTGATATCTTTTATGTTAATTTACAATTGAAAATTAAGGTAAAACTTACAATCGTTCAAAGAATTCCAGATCCATCTCGGTGACCCAATACCAAGGATATGGCGTGACAAACATGTCCTTTCCAGTTAAAAAAAAAGAATCTCCTTAAGGAAGCCCGTAGGAATCGTATTCCGGTCACCAGGCACACACGCACACGGGGGATCGTCGATGGATCCCGGAAGCGGAGGAATAATCAACGGCGATCGCGCACTAGGACCGCGACGAGTCGACGCCGAGGGTCGCGGCGGGTAATTTTTAAAAATGTTCAGTAGCTTCCCTTGTACACGGTTCACGACTCCTATCACTGACCTTGGACCATGAATATTTAGGTCTCACCCTGATGGATCTACCAGGACGACGTAAACTACGCGCGGAATGGTGAAAGACGTATGGAAATGGAAGGGAAGAAAAGACGAACGAGTAGCACAGAAGGTTTCCAACGGCATGGGACTTCGGCCACGACTGATCGAGTGTCCGAGGGGGTAGCATTGTAAGAATACCCCTCCTCGTGCGCTTGTATAGAATTACGTGTGTGCCCGCTCATCGCGCATACAGCTCGTCCGTCCCCTTGGTTCCAGCCAAAGGGAGAACGAAGGGAGAAGAGTGGCTCTCCGTTCTCTCTTCCCCTCTTCTCATTGCTCCCCCTTCGCGTCTCTACTCTCTGTCGACGTCTATCCACACCTAAACCCCCCCCCCCCCCCCCCTATCTAATTCTGTCCTTGTCCCGACCGATCGGCCGGTTCCCTGTGACACGCGTCTCTCTCGGGTGCGTGAATCATGCATATCGATTTTCTTACGTTAGTACGCCGTTCCGTTCCGCGAGGTACGTTGTGTCGGCCCCGCGTAGTACGCCCGTGGCGATCCCCCTCTTCTTGCGCTGAAAGGCCGGGGGCCGAGCGGTCGGCAGAACCCCTTCTGAAAATCCGAGCGCGACGCCACCACCGGTGTGCCTTATTCCTTTTCTTTTTTTTCCACAATAGAGGATCTAGCTGGAAATCTCTTGGCGAAGAAACGAGCCACTGTTTTCTCGCTGATAGACCTCTGTTGGAAGGTTTTTAAATAATCATCAGGGGTAATTGAATTGAACTGGGATAGAAAGGAGGGGGTAGTTTTGGTTACACTCAGTGGCGTAACTAGGAGACTCGTCTGGCATGGACCAGTTTAACTTTACTATAAAAATGTTCTTTCATGTAAACATAGCTTTTATTCATATTTATAGGTAGTATAATAATTATTGTAGATTCAGCAAGTTTTGGGCCGAATGCTTCTATTGATATAAGGTCTCCAAAGGTAACAAATATTTCTTTTGCACCCTCAAAATTACCTAATTACATTTAAGGAACTATATCAGTGGGTCTATTGCAATTAAATTAGTTATAATCATATTTATTTTACAGGAATACAATGGCTCAATTATGAAGAAGAATTTTCTTGTTTTACTTTTGCTGGAATCTGAAGAGGGAACCTGCGTGTATCAAGCGTCAGTTTAGTAAGTTGCGTATCAAAGAAACTGCAAGCAATTTTACCAAGTGATTTCGATTGAATAGTGTCTGAAATACCCGGATCTGTTCCCGTCCCCTTCCTCGGGACGTTCAAAGAACCCCCTCCCTCTTCACGTTCTTTTGGTTCGAGCAAAATGTTCCCGTATGACGGGGAACAACGATGAGACGATGCTCTTGTACCCGGTTCTCCCCCCCCCCCCTCTTTTTCGCCTAATGTTCTTACTCCCCCTGAATCTCACCAGCACCCCGCTTCAATACTAAGCTTGGCAATAAACTTTCTTTGTTTTTGCTCGCTCCTTTCAATCTGTCGCGTACCCCGTTCATTGTTAACCCGATTCGAGGTAATTAACTTCTCTGTTTGTTGCAGCTTTTGAAACGCGAACGCGGTAAGGATTAGCATTCGAGGAATTTCTTCATTTGATCTATTTAATCTCTGGCTTTGAAATTCCACCGACTTCCGGCTGTATCAAGGAAGTATTATTTCTTCTTGTTCCCTTCAAAGGAATATTTTACATTTTCTTCAGCTTCTCTGGGCAAGGAATTTTTATTGAGTTTAAGGGTAGTTTTATTGTTTCAATGAAAATGAATAAGGAAAGTATTTTTATTTTATTACAGTTGATCTGAATGTTGAAAAGTGGGTAGTAAAAATTAGCAAGAAAGTATTCAATCCCTGGCTATTGAATTAGGACTAGGGAAAATTGAAAAATTTCCAATATAGGGAAAATTATCTTACAAGGGGAACTACCCAAGTGTTACACTCACTTATTAATGAAACTTTGCCAGCTTGTAGAGCTCGTCGAGCTGAACACGCCTATACCCCGTTTTGTGGGCGGACGACTAATTGTTTAAAAGATATTAATAATTAAAGTTAGTTATTACTTACATTGAGAAGTATGACAGACTCACACATACAACTCGCAATCTAGAGATCCACGGTTCAAATCCTTGATTCCCGACATTTTTTTTTTTTTTAATGATAATTTGTCTCTTTTTGAATAACTATTACATAAAAATTATCATAAAAGAAAAAAAAATTTTTTGGGAACCAAGGATTTGAACCGAGAACCTTGAACTTGCAAGTCGCGGATCTGCTCCGTGGTTAAGCGCATGGACTCGTAATGCAAAGGTCCTCGGTTCAAATCCCGGGTAACTGTTTTTTTTTTTTTTTTTTTTTTTTTTTTTTTTTTTGGGCGAGAATTATTCAAAAAGAAACAAATTATGATTAAAAAAAAGAAAATGTTGGGAACCAAGGATTTGAACTCTGCATTGGGGATTATATGTGTAAGTTTGTCATACTTCAGAATGTAATGGGTAACTAACTGTAATTGTTAATATCTTTTAAACAATTAGCCGAGCTGGCAAAGTTTCATTAATAAGTGGGTGTAACACTTGGGTAGTTCTCCTTGTTAGATCATTCAAATTATTGATAACGATGTATACGTAGTGATTGATTTGTTACTATCATGATAATAATCAAATTAGCGTTTACGTTAGCTGGTGATCCTAATTCAACGGCCAGGGATGGAAGACAGGGGAGGAGGGTGAATAGAATGAAGAGTATCAATTTATAAACAATTCCTTTAATAATAAGTAAACGTGACAGATATGGCGTTTCAACACGATAGAAATAACATTATATTTATATATATATACAATTGTACGACATTTACAACAATTTTTTACACAATCGTGCCGAGTATTATCATCGACAAAGAAATAAAATAAAATTTTACAAACATTACGGCTAATTCGAGTGATTTCAGAGGCTCGAAATAAATATTACATACAATTTCTCGCTATGCGAATGGCACGATACAATTGATAACCATTTCTTTCATTTTCTTTGAAGACGAATTAAGTATAAGAACAATCGTGACGATTCCCTAGGTTAAGTTGCCGCGGAAACTTGGTCTTCTAGTACGTGTAAAAATTGTTTAACATTAGTGTGAAGTACATATCGTGAAATGCAAATTGGAATGCATAATGTTCTTAAATACGTGTCCCTAACGGCTAATCGCGCAGAAGATTGTAAAACTTTTACATTATTCTCTACGTAATACCGACATGAATCGCGTCCCCTACGACTCGAACTTGATTATAATATTTATTTCAAATTACTCGTATAACTGTTTATTATTTGGCCACTTGATTACTGCGCTTACTTTAACGAATATGCTTATTATAAATTGAAAGCCTTTTGTATAACTTTCACTTTGTTCCCAGTTGAGAGAAACGATTCTTTCATTTCATTTTTTTTTTGCTCCATTATTGCAGTGTGAGATTGGTTATTGGAAATAATTTATACATTGCTCCTGGTTGCATTACGTCCACGAATCACAAGTTTCTTCAGCTCAATAGTGATTCTTGCACTTCATTGCTATTATTTGTACAAAATCAAATGGCCACTCAAGTCATCCTCAATCATTCTGCCATTCTGTTATATTTCAACTCTTTCGGGACAAAGAACACAAATATTTAACCCTATTTCAAGAATCCCAAATATAAAATTACATGTGCGAGTAAAGTAGAAAAAATGAATGAAACTATAACTGATGGGTATGAAATAAAAATTGTTGCAGTGTTTAAAATGATGATCTTGAGTAGCCAATATTTGTTGACGTGTTATCATTAACACTTTTGCATGTTTCTGTGTTGCACCCTCGGCGAAACAGAGTAGAGTTTCCGGAATATCTCTACAAGATTGTTCTGAGGGAACAGGGTTTCTATTATTCCTTCTAAGAGGACGTACAACAGTCTTCTGTTCAGTACAGGTCGTTGGAACAATTCGAACACTCTCAAAAGACCTCTTCTGGTCGTTTCGCTACCTATGATATGTTTTAATTCGTCGGACAAGCAAGATAACAGAGCGACTTTAGCTGCCACTCTTGTTCTGTTTTTCATCTCTGCGTCCCTAGCTGGTTTCTTCTCAGCCTTAACACCATTTGGCCAAAAGCTATTTCTAAAGTATGAAATAATAATTTGTTAAAATCGTGAAAAAAATAGTGAAGGGTAATTTTTCAACTTTTTTATGTAAGCCTATAATAAAAATTTAAAATATGTCTTTCGTGGATTCAAATAAATTATGTGTATGCTGAAAATTTCATCGAGATCGGTCAATGCTCTTAGAAGTTACTAGAGAAGTTACTAGTAATTTTTTAAAACGATGAAAATATATATTTTAATGAATTAATTTTTATAGTTTCTCAAAAAACTTGAAGTTATTTAATTCAATTTTAATCGAGGTATTCTATTTTGAACAGTGTCTACTCACTGTAGTTTTACTCACTTGAACAATTTCAAATAGCCCGCCACTCTTGCTGGGCTAGTTAACAACGACACGTACTCGACTATTCGTCTGTTAACTATGTCCCCAAACATCGTACGAATAATTTGCCTTAGCAAAGTGACAATTCGTCGTCTAAGCCATTGATTTCGAACTTTCAAGTCGAATATTTCATCCATCAGCAGTAACATTATACGGAGAGGAATATTATCATCAGTCTAAAATATGAAATTTTTGTAAAATATAATTTTTATTCTGTACCATTTTAAAGAAAAAGAAACACACCTACCTCTACATCCAGACCAGCGCCAACTTTAGTGTTCTCGTAAAAGGAATTGGGCTTCTTTGGATTTCCAAAAAATTTGCTTATATTATCCATAACACCGTCCACTGTATTCAGCATGTTATCAGGCATAGTTTTCACAGCTTGGGTTACAGTTTTCATGGATGTCTTCAGAGGATGCATCAAAGTGTCTATCTGTATTAAACAGAAAATTGATATTTTATATAGAACCTTCTCCCAATTTCATATTCATTACTTACAGTTTTTGATATCTGTCCCCCAGTGACACCCTTGTCATAATCCCCTTGCTCCAGAAAACTGAGCAATAAATTTTGCAGACCCATGTGACCATCCACCACTGCTGGTTTAGTTAATTGATACATCCAAGAGTTTAGCATCAACATTCTTCTCTCCAAAACAGTTCTTTCCATATTATGAAAAGCTTTCTTAGCTGGGAATGGTATTTTCGCCAGATCATAATACTTCTCTTTAATTTTCTGATGCAAATCATAGAAGTCAGAGTACCTCCTGTAAATGTGCCACTTCTCTTGGTACCCTGAATCGTAGCTCTTGGTCACAGCCACCGCATAAATACCGTAGGTTTTACCACGGTCGTTTACAATTCCAGTCTCAATGATCTTGGCAGTGATCACGAATCTACCCTGCTGTAACTTTTTAATCGCGTTCCGATCGTAAGTATTCTCATCTAACTTAACAAACTGTTCAGCATTCGACTCTAAATAAAACGACACATCCTTCCCCTCGTTAATTTGATCTACATCGATGCTAGAAGCTTTCCTCATACTTTTTATAGCTCTGATATTCATCTCCGAGTCCGTTTCGTCGGTTCCTCTGCCCTCGTTAGGCTCCACTATGCTCGCTAAACTGGTCGACGAATTTGATCTGAACCTACTGTCCTTCAATTCAGTTCCCCTAGTTTCATCCGGCTTGCACATCTCTGATATCTCGTCCAGGGTTTCCAGTTCATTGTTCGTACTTGATATACTGATGCTGTCTAAAGATTTACTGTCGTCTTCTGAAGTGGGATCTTTCAACAGATCCAGTTCAGCGAGCAGCTTCACGTACGCCATGGATCTCTTGAATCCTGGCAGAAATCTGTCTTCATTTTGCAGCTTCTCGTAACAACAGGTACGAAGATCATCGAACCAGGTTTCCTTCACTGGTTCGATTCTTATTCTGTTTAATAGTGTCTTTACTAAAGCGTCGTCCAACTGCAACTTTGGCGACGCTTTCTCGCTAAGGTATTGCTGATAGATCTTCGTAGCTGCCTCCTTTAAATTCTCCAAGTCGTTGTTCTTACGCCTGGTGCCCATTATACTGGTAGCTGCCTGGGACATGTGTAATTTTTGTAACTCTATGTCGGATATCTGTTGTTCAGCCGACACCCTCCATCCGTATACGTTCAAATAGAAATACAAGTAAGATTCTGCGTTTATCGAGGTCATATAATCGATGAAGTAACTTAACGCTATATTATTCTTCAGCAATTCGTCCAACGGTAAATTCACTAATTTTTGCCCTGGTATCAATAATCTGTTCCAATCGGGCTGAGCACCTATCCCATCTGTCTCCGAGTCCAATCCCTCTTGCATACCAATGATTCTGGTCTCCAATATCTTCTTCACGTACAGTAAACTGTTCAATTGTTGCTTTACGGATAAATCATCGTCTCCCCCCGAGTCCTTAGAACGTAGGTGAGCTATTTCCTTACAAACTATGCTTTTCGTCGCTGTTAATTCGTCTAAGCTATCCGTGACTCTGATCACCGTTAAAAACACGTCGCTTGGTAAACCGCCTTCCTTGGCGCACTGAAATGAATAATCATATCATCAGGTTTCTCTTCTTAACGAAGATACTGGTGAACGATGAAACATCTTACCAGCCATATACACGCCTGATTAATATAATCAGGGTCAGAGAATAAATCCAGCAATGGTCTAATTATCACGTTCACTAACAATTCTCTTAATATAAATCTCACAGTCAGACAATCGAAATCTCCCTTTGGTAATACCAGATACAATAATATCTCTGATATCTCACCGAGGAATTCAAGTTCCTGTGTGCTGTTGGTGCATACCGTATCTCTGCTGATCAGATTGTTCTCCATCTGAACCTCGAGGTCGAAAAATATCTTCTCTAACGATTCATCTTCCTTCTCCTCGCTCGCCTCGATCGGCTCGGTGAGCGAGGATAAATTAGGAATGTAAAACTTTGTCT